ATAATATGCTTCCAACAAGTTATATGACGGGTCGGGTTGTAAGATGGAACGGGTTTGACTTAATATTACAAAAAAAAAGAATATTATTAATCTCACAATTCAATACGGGTCATTTTACTACTTTTTTAACCGACACTAATATAAAACATGTATAATTAAACTAATTTAGTAAAGATTGATATTATGCAATCTTAATAATTATTAAATAAACTCTAACATCTATAAATTTTTAAAAATATGAATTTAAAAAAACAAAATTATCCCGCGGTGTACCGCGGGTCAACATCTAGTTAGTTATTATAATAAAGGACAATTTTCAAAATTAGTTACTATGCTAACAAGAGAAAATAATGAGAATACTTGAATGGTATAGATGGCAAGTGTATAAATAAATAAATCAAAAATCAAATGTATTTATTATTTAAAACCTTAAATATCTGGATGCAGAAAAAAAGATAATTTTTTCGCATATATTGTATAAAAAAGTCTTAAAACAAACCAAAAGTCTTTTTTTTATAACCAAAAGTCTTTTTAATTTAAATGTCTGGTTGGGAAAAAAAAATAGTAATAGATGTGAAAACAAGAAGTCAAATTCAAAGATAATAATATAATAAGTCAGCAAGATAAAAAGATTATAAAAAAAACTTTTTGATAGTATATTAGAATAACTAATTGTGTCTCAACAATCATATAAATAATTTACAGACAAAATAGTGGCCCATCAATGATAGTCAAGCCTGTTAATAGATATTTCAATAGAAGCCCATAATAGTTTATGGTTCAAAACTTCAATATATCGGCCTGAGGCCCTGAGCCCATTAAATTTATCACGATAAATTTTTCACGTTGCATGTTCCGCCTAATCTGACCACAAATCTGCATTTATGTTGTTCGGGTAAATTAAACAACACATAAAAACAACGTATATTAACAAAAACTGCTAACAATAAATATAAGTAAACATGTACGCATGTTAGATAGAAGCAAATGACAAATATAAGAAAAAATTGGAATCATCAATTCATATATTTTAGTATGTTGACTGCACACAAAAACAAAAACTATATATGATTAACACTAATTATTGACGTAATTGTTTTCTATTTATTTCAATTGGTTTAGTTGATCAATTGTTTCAAAGGTTAACATCGATATGAAGAAAAAACTGTAAATCATGTATAAACAGATTAGTCCAAAAGACAAACGATCTAAACATTAATTAACGGAGTCAAACTTTATTTTATGGTTAATGGTAATTCCTTTTAGTCCTACCAAAAAAAAATGGTAATTCCTTTTAATGATAATGGTTACATGTTTAACATACTTGGTAACTTCAAAATCTAGCTCCTTTTTTACAACTTTGACACAAAATCTTTATTGAAGTTTATCATGATTCTTCTTTTGGAAACCCGTTATGTAAAACATAATTAGAATGCAATTTGTATAATAATATAAGGTTATAGTATTTGTCCTCGTGGCAGTAGGAGTGTCGATGTGTTATAAGAAAGTCAACAAGTCAACGATGAACAGAGAAGGATGAGGAAGAAGACAAAGTCCAATAGGGCGTACCCAAAAGGTCCAAACAGAGAGAGAAAGAGAGAGGAAAGAGCTAAAAAAACACATCTTTCTCACTTCTTCTCATTACAAACTAGTTTCATTATTCTCACAAAGACTTTTCTGTCTTCCTACAGAACAAAAGGTTAGGCTTTTGATTATTATTATTAGCCAGCTCAATTTATCTTCCTTCTCCGAGAATTTTTCGTTTTCTTGAAGGTCTTCTTCAGTTTTTCGCTCCATTTTGTACGCCTGGAGCTGGGTTTGTGTTCACACACATAAAGCTCTTACCTTTTCTCTTCTTTGAATCGGAGATTACAGAGCCGAGGGAGTGATTGGTTTCTTGAGTTTTTTAATGGGAGGTTGTTTCAGTAATCGGATCAAAACAGATATTGCTTCAAGTACATGTGAGTCCTTTGTCAATTTAATGTCTTTCTCTTATTTATTGTTTAGTCAATCTGTGGTTCAATGATTGTGGTTCTTTGACACTTGCTCACTCCTGATAGAAGTAGGATTTTTTTAGATTTAATGAAGTTCTTGTTCAGAGTTGAAGATACTATAACGTTTCCATTGTTAGTAATAAGAGTTGAATCTATGGGAATTGAAGTGTCGGCTAAGTAGAATTGACTGTCACTTTATTCTCTCTAAAAAGGTTGTCCTTTTGAAATCTATATCATGGATGTAATAAGCACTTTATCTCATTATGTGGCTTTAGTTCTAGGCAGATTGGGAGAACTCTAAAAGGCTCTAAACAGCTTCATCATCCTTTCTTTATAAATTAGAGTCTAAATGCAATGGCTTGTGAAGTTTTTGGTGTGTTTAGCTAAGTTGGGAATTCTTGTAGGGCTAAGTTCGAAATTCTTGAGTAGAGATGAAAGCAAGGGCTCGTCGACTACTTCCTTCTCTCATATGCCTCGAACAGAAGGCGAGATCTTGAAAAATGCTAATCTGAAGAACTTTAGCCTCAGTGAATTAAAATCTGCAACTAGGAATTTCAGGCCTGACAGTGTAGTTGGTGAAGGTGGATTTGGTTGTGTTTTCAAAGGCTGGATTGATGAGGCTTCCTTCGCTCCCTCTAAACCGGGGACTGGGATTGTTATTGCTGTGAAAAGACTTAACCAAGAAGGGCTTCAAGGTCACCGAGAATGGCTGGTTAGTTACACTTGCATTTCTCAAGTTACCTTTTTGTTATTTGACAAGGCCCCATTTCAAGATTGTTGAGGAACTGTCTTCTTCCTTTTTTTTTCAACTATGAAAAACAGGCTGAGATCAATTACTTAGGTCAGCTGGATCATCCTAACCTTGTGAAACTGGTTGGATACTGCTTGGAAGAGGAGCACAGGCTTCTTGTTTACGAGTTTATGCCTCGTGGTAGTCTTGAGAATCACTTATTCAGAAGTAAGTTCAAATACCTTCAAAGAGAAAGAAGCTCATGGAAGAACTACTTATGCACAACGATTAATCTTTCTTTTGTTTTCTCAAAACAGGAGGAACATTCTATCAGCCTCTTTCGTGGAACACGCGGGTTCGAATGGCTCAGGGTGCTGCTAGAGGACTTGCTTTTCTTCACAATGCTCAACCGCAAGTTATATACCGAGACTTCAAAGCATCAAACATCTTGCTAGATTCGGTATGACACATGATTAACACTTTGTGTAGCTTTGGTTTTTTGGTGCAGCCAGAGATAATTATCTTTACTATATCTCTGTATCTGCAGAACTACAATGCAAAGCTTTCGGATTTCGGTTTGGCTAGAGATGGTCCAATGGGTGACAAGAGCCATGTCTCCACCAGAGTCATGGGAACTCAGGGATACGCTGCTCCAGAATATCTAGCTACAGGTATATTTGAGTATACTCTGTTACTGTGATCAATGAAGAGAACTTCGATTCTGATGTTTCTATCAATTTTGAAAGGTCATTTATCAGCGAAGAGCGATGTGTACAGTTTCGGGGTTGTGTTACTGGAGTTGTTGTCGGGAAGAAGAGCAATTGACAAGAACCAACCAGTAGGAGAACACAATCTAGTGGATTGGGCAAGACCTTACTTAACAAACAAAAGAAGGCTTCTCCGAGTGATGGATCCTCGTCTCCAAGGTCAATACTCGCTAACCCGAGCTTTGAAAATTGCAGTTCTTGCACTCGAGTGCATATCTATAGATGCCAAGAGTAGACCGACCATGAACGAAATCGTCGAGGCACTGGAAGAACTTCATATCCAAAAGGAGGCACCAAAAGAGCAGCAGAATCCTGAAATCAGCATTGACAACAACAGCAACAAGATTGACAACAACAGCAACAATATTGACAACAACAGCAACAAATCTCCACCAGCTGTGAATTATCCTAGGCCTTCAATTATGATATAAAAAGGCAATATTTTTACCGCGGTTTAGTGATGTATAGACTCTTTACCATCTATCTGTTTAGGTATTATGCTGTCTGGTAGTAAAAAAATAGTCTCTTCTTTTTTTATCCCAATATCCTGGCAATGTAAGGAAGAGAACGAAACTTAATAGTTGTAAACTTAGGTTCTCTTACAAAGTTCAGATGTTTATCACACACAAAATCCCGTCGGAATAAGAAAACCACAAAAAAAGAAAGACCAAGAGGTGAGATCCCACAGCAGACAATCAATCTCTGGCTCATCGTCCTAACAAGGCAACGCGATCTGACTGTACAGCTTGAGTAAGATTGATGTCGAAAAGCTCGCAACGGATAGGCATTTCAATCTCATAGAAAGGATTCTTCAAGACATAGTCAGTGTAGAGTTCATAAATGTATCTAAGGAGGCTCTCCATGTGAGGAGTCCCAGGTTCACAAACCACAAAGAACTTTGTTCCTGAGATATAAGTGAGAGAGAAAAAAAGCAGAATCAACAATCAAGTGAAGGGAGTAAAACAAAGGAAAGGTGATGATATCCTGCAAATGGCGATGGATATTACCAGGGAGAGACTGGAAACAATGTAGATCAAAAGTGTCGGCTTCAAGAAGCTCAATCCCAGTACAGCCATTAACAGGTGATAGCTGCTGAGAAATGGCGTGCATTGAATGCCATAAACTAGCTACTCTCAAGCTATCATTCGTATCCATTCTTCCCTTTGTTCCACAATCCTAAATTTTCCCAAATCCAAATACACAGAGATCGTTTGAGTTACACACACAATAGATCAAAAAAATCAAATCCAAACACATTCTCCGAGTTAGGATTTTTCAGTTTCAGATTCTCAATCTCCAAGCGAAGCAAACTTAGTCAAATTTATTTCCTTTAATGTTTCTGGAGAACCAAATTGGAGCTTTAAAAAAAGTCCAATTCTTTAGCAGCTATTCACAAACCCTAGAGCAATACCTGAATCACAGCTTCTTCTAAACCTAGTGAAAATCGATGAATAAGGCGTAATTAACATCGATCAGTTCGTCACTCTCCAGGCATGAAAAGTCGTGAGCTTTCTATACAACTACGAGATCGAGAACAAAAGATCGTACCTTGTAGAATATCAAACCACCAGATTTGTTGATTATGTAAAGACTGTAAATCGCTGCCATTTTTCTCCAGTAATTTTCGAAGATCCAACCCGATAAATCAGCGAAGACGATGAAGAAAGAACAGTACAGATCTCTTAATTAGGAAAATCAAATTATTATTTCTTCTATTTAAAACGACATAGTTTTCATGTCAATGGTCTCTTCTCGCGCCACGTCGCCTATTTATAACAACGACGTCGTCGTAGGTAAGAACTAGCGTCTCTTAAAGCGCCACGTGAGCTACTGTTCAAAGTGTTAACCAATACGGTGTCGGTTTCAATAACTTTTCTTCTTCACCAACTACCAAAAACGTCTGAAGAAAAAAGTATAAGTAAAGCAGACAAGAAGAGTAAGGGAAGAGAAGAAGTACTAAAAATGGCGGTGACGGAAGAAGAGAAGCGAAACTCAACGGTTGAGATCTCCGGATTACGTTTCACGTATCCTGGAATCGACGGTCATCCACCTCCGGGATCGAAACCACTTATAGAAGATTTCTCGATCACGCTCAATTCCAGCGATCGGTGTCTCCTCGTCGGATCTAATGGCGCGGGTATGTGACAATTCGTTGTGTCTTTATCTTGAAATGTGCGTGTATTGGATCTGAATTTCATGGAATGGTTGATTGGAATCAGGGAAAACGACGATTCTGAAGATACTGGGAGGGAAACATATGGTGGAGCCTCACATGGTTAGGGTTCTGGGTCGCTCGGCGTTTCACGATACCGGATTGACGTCTTCCGGTGATCTCTGCTATCTCGGTGGCGAGGTTCGTGATAAAAAAAATGTCAATTCTCTGTTTTCTTTTTTCTGTGTATGTGATTGGATAATATATTTAGTGTGAATCCTGAGTTCTGATTTTGGAAGTTAAATTCTGTAATTTGGATTGCTCAATTCCAGCTTTTTTAGAGACTAAATCAAGAATTCGTTTTTGCCTTGGTTCAATTTGTGTTTTTCAATGTACTCAAATCCTTACTGTTCACTGAGAACATTGTTATCCTCTTTTTTTCCAGTGGAGGCGTGATGTTGCATTTGCAGGATTTGAAGTTCCTATACAAATGGATATTTCAGCGGAGAAAATGATATTTGGAGTGGCTGGTATTGATCCGCAGAGAAGAGATGAGTTGATCAAGGTAATCTGACTTTGATGAGATGGTTAAGGTGCTCTTAATTCATCTTTGCAAGTGATTCGGTGAAGTTTTGGGAAGGATTCAAATATAAATTAGTATTTGCCATCTCTTGAATCTCTTGTCTTTGTGAAATCCCAATGTTAACATGAACTCAGCTAGAATATGGTCTGAGCTTCGATCTTTGTCACATACCCAACTCTTAAGCTTCATAACTGTCATTACTCTATATTTTACAGTCTGAGATGAAGTTGCTTGCTTTTACATCAAATGTATGTGATTCGTAACTTTCAGTTTTGTTCTAATTGACTGTTGGTTCTAGGTGTTGGATATTGATATCTCATGGAGATTGCACAAGGTATCTGATGGCCAAAGAAGGCGTGTCCAGATTTGTATGGGACTCCTCAAGCCATTCAAGGTAAACTACATTGTCTCCAAAGATACTTATTAGAAGAAGAAAGGGTTTGATGGTTAAAGAATGGAGTAAGATCCTAACTGGAACTTATTATCAAACGTTGTAGGTTCTCCTTTTGGATGAAATCACTGTTGACCTTGACGTTCTCGCAAGAGCCGACCTTTTGAAATTTCTAAGAAAGGAATGTGAAGAACGAGGAGCAACCATAATCTACGCTACTCATATATTTGATGGCCTAGAGGATTGGCCAACACACATTGTAATATAACCACACCAGTCTCTTTTCTCTGTTTTTAATTAAGCTCCTCTGCTTCAGAATAACAAACCCATAACGTAACATCTGCCATTGTAGGTGTATGTAGCTAACGGGAAATTGCAGTTAGCATTGCCAATGGAGAAAGTGAAGGAGACAAGCAAGAAGTCATTGATGAGAACAGTTGAGAGTTGGCTCAGGAAAGAAAGAGATGAAGAGAGGAAGAGAAGAAAAGAGAGGAAAGCAAATGGGCTTCCCGAATTTGAATCACGGGCTGAAGAAAGTCGTGTGACTGGTGATCCAGCACGAATGCTTAACAATGGCTGGGCAGCCGGGAGACTTCACTCAACGATTGCAGGCGGCGAGGATAATTTCGTCTTAAGCTCAAACAGAGTTCTAAGATAAGTTATGCAACGGAAACACAGACTTCATTGGAGTAAAAGGGAATACTCATATTTTTTATGTTTTTTATGTTTTTGTTTTTGGTAAGATTTTTGTTTTTGTTTTTAACCACGGATAAAATTGTATCTTCTTTTTCTAAAACCTATATTATTTGTTTCTCTGAAATATGATTTATATTATTTTTATAATTATGTTTTAATTTTGAAATGGGAGTGGTCAAGACTCAAGAGTAAAAAGACTCCAGAGACTGTAAAAGTTCCTCTGTTTTTTTTTTTTTTTGCACCAAGGTTCCTCTGTATTACAGTGTTTAAGTTGATGTTTTTGTTTCTCAAATCTTTGGTTCCTGATAAGAGCATGCCAAAGTTTAATATGTGATTAGTTTTATTACATATGTGATCTGTGTATTCGTATCATTCCCTAAATTCCTATCAGAAACATTCAGCTAAGAAGACACAATTTGAAGTCATCTCCAATTATCTTACGTTCGTCTATTGTGTTTTGTTCTGTTGTGCCGAAAAAAATGATGCTCTTACGGTTGAGATAATAATAGGATTTATGCTCTCCACCATCTTTAATCTTTCTATCTTTTTTTTTTTTCCTTTTTGCAAAAAGTATCCATTGATTTCCTCATCTTACATTCATTTAGATAGACCGACCAAATAGACAGCCCACCATATTCATATTTTGATATTTTCTATTATTTTTTTTAACCGTGTGTTAGTGTATTGCTGCAAACCAGTTGAAATATTATTCGGATTCATGTTGTTGGCCACAACTGAGCTAAAAAATATCAATCTCGGCCAGCCACATACACCCACCCGCACTATTCTTTTCGTGTTGTGATTCGCACTCAATAGACAGGGGCGCTAAATATGAATGAGCCGATCATGATTCTCTGCTTCGTAAAAAAACATTGCAAGAGACGACGATGCATTAGTTTATATTTGCAAGAGATGACAGCTATAGACTATTTTGCGTATATGTGTTGTTGATTAATTGAAAAAAATAATGTTGTGCTATCTATATATGATGCATCTAGATGTAACCATGTGAAATATATATTGTCATGGGACAAAAAAAAAAATACAATAACATTTTTAACAAAATATCTATAGATTTTTTTTTAAAAGCATTATACATTTGTTGGTCCATCAACTAAATTATCAGAATATAAGATAAGATTCTGTAAAATCTTATATGCAATTTGCAATATCTTATTTGTTTTCTCTAATAAATTTGTGATCGCAGGTTTGCACATGATGATGGTGTACGTAATGCATTTACATCACATCACATGAATTCTATTCTCCTTAATGCATCACCTATAACGTAAGTACATACTAATATACGTATGGTACACCGTATATCACGGAACTCTGGACCGTATAAATCTCTAGATTCCGAGGCGTATAGCTTTGACTGATCATCTCAATGTATAGCGACGTTATAGATATTGCGTGCATCGATCGAACTCCTGTTATTTGTCTTGCATTTACGTTTTGCTTGTCTTGTCTTGCATAGTTGCATTAAGGTATTTGTTTATAGACTTTATATATGAATATATGTTGTTATTCATTTAATCACAAACGTAATGCAAACACAAATAGCCCACTACATATAGTATATATATAGTAAAATTTTAGTAATCTGAACAAAGTAGCCAATTATTTTATTTATATAAATCGAAGATCCATGCTTCTTTCATAATATATATATATACTTAATACAATCAGAACGTAAAAGAGAGCTGCGGGCTACATTTATCTTTATCCCAACCCTTGATTTTTGCAGCCGCTTCAGCCTCTCTACATACCAAACAAGACACAAACACACCAAATGAAACCAAAAAAACAACAACACAACCCTAATCTTTAAAATAAAGCCCTAACTTTCAAACCAAGCAATCCCAATACTTTCCCTGAGAAAATAAGGGAAAAATGGTAAAACCCCAATTCCAAATTGTAAGCTAAATCAAAGACACGTAAATATATATATTTGATGAAAAAAGAAAAGAAAAAAAAGAAGCTTCAATATATCTTCCGCCATGCGATTCTTTTTATTTTTCGAGAAATCAGACGCGGAAATTCTTGCCGGAGTAAGTCTGACCAAATTGCCAATTACTCGGAGCAATGTTGTTGGAGGTGGAGCTTCGGCCATCGGAGGTTTTGACTCGGAAAGAAAGAGACTGGCCGACAAGAACAGCGTTGGACTGCCAGTTCTGTCCCCAGTTCCGGCTTAGATCTAACCACTGAGTGTTGGTTCCTTTGACACTCACCTTCCTGACGTCTCCTGCTCCGGCTACGTTGGTGACAAGCACCAAGTTGAAGAACTTGAATCCGTTGATTGTGAATCTTATACCTCCCTTCTTCCTACATGGGATCCTGCAACATCCCATAAATTTATTATTGTTATTAGTTACCTATGAAAATGTATTTTCTACAACAGTAACAAAAATTGCGAAAATTTAATAATAATGGACTATATTAGATTCGACCATCTGAATATTTTTTTATTGTTTTACGTGACTTCATGGAACTAAGTGAACTCATAGTACGCAGTGATGACCCGACTCGGTTTTGGGCTACGCGGATGACCAGGCAAATGTATGGGGTGGAGCGAGCAAGTGTCGGTCCTTTGCTCTTAGCTAAGTTCAAGGCACTATAGGTTTTGACCCGGATCCATGGACTAATAACCGACCCGGGTTTAAAGGGTATGTTGGTAAGTTCAGATTGAAAAGTTAGGTTAGGTTCGTTTGATTTAAAGGTTATGGCTTTAAAGAGACTAAAAGACAGGAAAGGTGATTGCATGAACTCAACTAAAACAGTACGTTAATAGAAAGAAAATAGGAATAATTGGCAATATAGTACGTTTTCAAAACATAATATGCTATTTGATACATTCACTATTTATAATTTGCAAAATACACATAAGTCACTGTTCACTTTTGCACACAGCCATGTTTTGCCATTATTATATCCATCTATTTACTATTAATGCCACTGAACATTTATCCCCCCAAACCGAAGAGATCAACTCCCACTTTTAATTAATATTTTTCTTTTTCTTTTTTTCTTTTTTATTAAATTTCTCCTTCAATCTTAAAACTAAAATACTAGTAAATGAAAATTTGAAATTATAAAAATTTCAGATATATAAAAATCTATGTTTTTTTCTCTATTATATGATATGCATTTTGTTTGATGATTTTATTTGATAATAACAAATAATTTTTATAAATTTTAGATCTGTACAACTTACTAAGTGTACAGATGTAATCCGTACAACCTAAAACGTGTATATATGTACATCTGTACAACTTAATAAGTGTACATATATTAGTGTACATGTAGTAAACAATTGTATATGTATTTGTACAATAGGATATATGTACAAATACAATTGTACAGATCAAATTGTACACTTATTATATGTACAGAAAAATGTAAGTATAACAGCTGTATACAAAAATATATGTACAGATATAATTGTATATATATTGACTATTATATTGCATTGTACACGTATTTGTACAATAGGATATATGTACAAATACAATTGTACAGATCAAACTGTACACTTATTATATGTACAAAAAATGTATGTATAACAGCTGTATACAAAAATATATGTACAGATATAATTGTATATATATAGACTATTATATAAATTTAAAATCATTTAACAAAATGCATATCAAATTGTAGAGAAAAAAACATAGATTTTTTTGTTTGTGAAAAATATCAAAAATAATATATATATTGGTGAACATTTTAGTTATTAGATTGGAATGGTGTAATAAAAAGAAAAAGAAAATAATTAAAAAAAAAAACTATTACACACCTCTCTTTCTCTCCAAAACAAACGACTCACACCAACAAACACATGCCCTATTTTTGTCTTTTCACCCAACAACCTCTTACCCCACACAAAATTCTATTACACACAACCCTTATTACACAACACCTATTTTGCAAATTATGAATAAAAAATGTACTAAATAGCATATATTGTTTAAAAAACGTACTAAACAACAAATTTACCCAAGAAAATAAACCTTTTTTACATGTTTGGTTCCCGAAAAAAATAAAAAGAAAAGGAAATAACTTTCTCGGGAAATCAAAAGAAAATGGAATAAAGAATAGAGTGGAACATGCGAAGGCTCTGAGAAAAATCTTCAAGCTCACAGATTCTTAGATTCGTGGGATCCTAATTATATATACTCCCAAACAAAAAGTCACTTCTGAAGCAATATCTTTTTTACATCTTTGACTGAGCAACATTAGGCGGTTTCATAGGATGGATCTCGAAATGTTACCCATAAATAAGTGTACTTTTTTAAGTTAGGTGTTTTAGTTATTAATAGAGTCAATGCTGCTCCTATGCTCAGAGTTTGCAACTTAAAAAGGTTAAAACAGAGTATATTTAGTGAAAACAGAGTAAGAGAGATTAAGTTACCTGCGGTAAGAGACGGGGACAATACCGGCTTTGTACTTAGCGATGGATAGAAACATAGGCATGGCGAGATCAAAGTGCTCACGAGGAGGGTTGCACCAACCACCATTGTCGCTAGCTTGGGCAAAGTTTGGAGGGCAGAAATTAGTGGCGGTGATAAGGATTGATGGGTTACCGGGAAGACACCATCCTGGATCATTGATACACTTGAGCTCAAAGCAAGAGCCACAGCTTAAGCCATTGTTGAATAAGGCAGTACTTAAAGCCGCCGTGTTAACGCCGTAGCCTTGGCTATACAAGTTCCCGTACCCACACGCACCACCTACATATTGAATATATATACAGTGAACATTTATGGGTTCAAAATAGTTAAACTTGGAGATTTTTATCAAGAACGTAACTTTCTAGTGAAATGTTGCATTTGGAGATTTATGTACTCTGTTTAACACCACAAAAAAAAGATAAATAAACCCTGTTTCCAAAACAGAGGAGGTGAGAGAGAGAGAGAGTGTACCCATAGTGCCAGAAGCATCAGCACCACCGTAGAAGGTGGCGTGAGCGTTGACCCAGGGACCACCGGTGTAAACTCCGGGGATTCTGGCGTGCACCGTGAAGGCAGTAGCCAACATAACCGCCATTAATGTAATGACTTTAGCCGCCATTTTTTCTAACTTTAGTACGGAGCAAAAGTTTGGTTTATTTTTTTGGTTGTGGAAGAGAGAGAGAGAGAAGAGAGAAGAGAGAAGTGTGAGAGGGAGAGGAAGGTAGGAAGTGCTACTTATGGAGGGAGAGAGACGAAGCCTTCAAATCACTTTACGGCTTTATTTTATTTTATTTCTAGTTTTTTAGTAAATTTTTATTGCTTTATAGTTTATCAAATTAAAATAAAACCAGTAATGTAAATTCCCATTTTTTAATATATGTATTTCTATTATATTAATTCCACCGAATTCGTGAGTAGTATATCGGAGTGTTCAATCAAAAAAATATATTTTATTTTCGCTGAGAAATTCAGTCACAAATTTGATTTTATTTTTATATAATTTATTGAATAATATGAACAAAACTATTCTAAATTCAATTTTAAAAAGATAACAACAAAAATTGTTCATTAGATAATGAGAAATATCAAATCTTTCGGTGCTTATTATTAAAAAAAAAAAACATTTGGTACTTATTCTGGAAAAAGAATGAAAAAGAGCAACTGAACACTTGTTTCTGACTTTCTTTAAAGCAATAAAAGATCTTCTACACTTTTATAATTTATTTATTTTTCATCAAAAGTTTTCGTAATATTTAATGTATTCGCGTTTTTGGTTCTTAAGTCTATCATAAAAGCCTAAAAGGTGGTGATTAGGTGAATAATCTAAACAATAATTACAACATTAAAAAGAGATTACATAAAGGGTAAAAACTAGAGGCTTCTATTAGTCGGCCCATATAGAGATGCATCTCGGCCCAGTAACTAACCCTTGCGGCAACATAAAGTAAGTGGCTTTGTTGATGAAACGTAACCACGCGTACATGATGCGATTTATCCTTACGCGCGCAAAACTAACGGCCGAAATTGTAGTCTTGGGGAAAATCGTACGGCAGCGCGTAGGCAATAGGTCTGCTAGATATGCGTCACACTGAATTTAACTGGTAACTAATTTTAACTAAAAAAAGTGATAATATGACGAATTCGCTATTAGTAAAACTTGTCGAATTTATAGAATGTTTTCTAATATTACAATCATTTGAAGTGGACATATTCTTGTTTTTACTCAATTTTATTTATAGAAAATCACATCTTCAATTTTTTTTTTCTTTTCTTTATGAACTATGTATGAATGATATCTTCTCGGATCGTTATTATTATTGTTTTGTATCGAACACTGATATAAAAAAGTAGGAAAAATGTTTTAACACAAAAGAAATATATAAAGAAAAATGCAACATTGTTTATTCAATGTGTTATTAGTCAGCTCCGTTTTTGTATGTAAGTATGCCATTAGCCAAAAGAGATAGCAAAAGCACGTGGTCCTCACATGGGCACCTCATGCAGTATATATATATATTTTTTTCTTTGGTCAATTTAAGCGAGTTGTAGAGTGGCCGGCCAATAGGAAAATTATCCCACATGAACCAAAAACCACCTCCGATCCACCGATCCGATCCAGTTCATATAAATTGTATTTTTTGACATAATTTTTGAAATGATTGGGTTAATATATTGAACACAAAAGATAAAATGGATACGAATGTTTGATACTAGTAATGTCCTAATATAGTATATTAGTAGTATACTATATTGTAAGCTTCTGATAGAAGTATAGTATAATATAAGCTTTTTTTTAGTATAGATGTTAAATCATATAGAGGTTATATAATAAAGAAGAATGAGAAGGTCCGTATAAGAACACGGAAAATACGGCAAAAACATTAAAAGAGGGGCCGTGCGTCGATGCAGTTGGGCCTCAACTGATTGCGGAGGGGGCCATCGTCACGTTTTACCTCATTCTTCTACATTACGCCATCTTTCATTTTATTACAGATGATAAAATATACACTACTACTACTACTACTATAGTATAAAACCACATGAATAAATGTGTGTGTTGATTTCGAAAACAATATGTGTGTTTTAATCGGTTTTCATATTAAAAAAAAAAAAAAAAAAAGATGTTGTTTGTTCGTAATGTAATGTATAACCGTTACAAAATGTGTTCTTCTTGTAATACGAGATTTGTATATTTATAGAACTTATACCATTATATGATACTTGTTTATAAAATATTCGACCACTATATCCATGTGGCTTCATTTATTGCCACTATCTTTTTTTACAATTCTTTAAATAATTGATATCACAAAGGTGCGTAAGCCATTTCCACCTTTATATTTTATTTCCTATTACTACTACTACGTTACGTACGTACAGTTACCATAAATGTTTTCACACGCTCTTTCTTGGGGTTTAATTTGTCGATTTTTACAAAATTGTATTTCTAATTACATTCTTTGTTTACACGTAATTAAACTAAGTCAACAAAAGTCAGAGATTAATTTTTTTTAAGTAACAAATTTTCAAAGACGCACATGTGATTGTTTCCAAGAATGTTCACCTAGAACTAATCATTTATGGCATTAGACGACAATTTGGTACAAAAATTTACTACTTACATGCGAGTTGTTTTTTTTTCATGTTGTTAATTAAGTATTTATCGACATGTTTACGTAATACTAGTAGCTACCTATATGAGATAAATATTAGTTAAGGATACAGATAATGAAATAATGCATGTGCAATCAGTACAACTATTTCTTAGGCTAGTTTTAGAAGCAAACAAATCCTTAGATCTCACTTCGTCCGTACCACTTGACATAGAGAGACGACCACTAACTTACTTGGTGTTTCCCGATGTATAATCGAAACCGTCATTCTTTTCATATAAAATTTTAGATTTACTTTGGGATACATCCCTTTGGTTATATAGATCATTTACTTTGAATATCTTTTGATATGTGTCAATTAGCTTTTGCGGTCGTTCAAAATGCATGAATGATATAAAGTATGAGTTTATACTTAAAGTTGATACATGCATAAACTATATCAAAAATTAGCAACTAGTCGGTGACTGGTATTAATGGTTATAGAAAACATAGTGTAAGGAACATAGTAACATGGATATATTCTTTAATATGTGTGTTGCTTCACATTTAATTTTTGATTGATACGCTTATCTTCAACGACGTACACTTTCAGCATTTGACTTTTTTCTTTTCTTCCACCGCAAAACTAATCTCTCGGTACGATTTTGACTTTTTAAACAACGTACGAATTCTTTTTGTGTTATGTTGCTTATCAACAAAAATAATATATAATCCCAACTTATCATTACCTTACAAGTAAATATATATTTCTTGTGTTGGGAATTGAATTGGATTATACTAGACGTGGATCGAACGAGAAGCTACAATCTCATTTGGTTCAATCATTAGCATATAAGACTATATGTTCGAGATTCGAGAGAGAGTATTTGCATAAAGTCATTCCAACTAGAAATTAAAACGCTAACTGTTTTTGGTCAACCCATATGGTGGTGCTCGGAGATATATTTCCACATGACCTCTAATTATGGTTTTTAAGTTTTAGGAAAAATAACTAAAAAATTATTATGGTCTTTACGGGCATTAAATATATCTTTTAAAAATAAAATCAAACGTTAATCTTATATTCAAAAACAGAACATCACTATTTAAACGATTAACCAAAACCAAAAAAACTAATAGACAACAAGCTTAACCTCTAATTAAGGGATTCTATATATTTCAGGAGGTAGCCTAGAGTTAAGGGATCAAGAATGTGCTCCATATGATTATATCTGACCTAGCTTTAACTTCAAGCCACATAATTTGAAGAAACAAACAATCTCAACATCTTAATATATCAAGTGAATACTTTTCTCAAGGCCTTCGAGCGCTGTTTCAGACATTAGCTCGATCAAATTCGACAATGAAATACTATATTCACATTCCCTTCTTTTTTTTTTCAGTTGCTCTACAGAACAAAAGCAAGTTTCCTATATTGACTTAAACAATAACAACATGATGTAAAATTCTATGAATCCTAAAAGCGCGTATCCATATTACCATGCGATCAGCTCTTAAGGCAGATCATAGCTCGAGTCACCACTGGCTGCGTCCATCAGCAAGTTTCCTTATCATCACAAGAGTAAACTAGTGTCAATGACAATGATTCATCGATTTGGAAGCTTAGGATGCACGATGCAGATTGCAGAAACAAAAATTTCTTTATAAGAGCCGAAGTTGAAATATGAGTGAAGATTAGTTACCTCTCTTGCAAACACAAGCTCTCTATTAGTTTCAGGCTTCTCCATAACTAGAGAAACGAGTTCTGATGAATTTCCCGGGAACTACGTGTTTTAAATTCTTTAGATAACCTCTTTGAAAAGAATAAGATCGTCGCGGGGATGAGCTTCTTCTACTTTAACTTGGATTTCATCTCCCACTTGTTTGCCTTCTGACACCCACGCAGTTGCTTGAAAACCCACCTGGAAACATTTTACCAGTGATTCAACTTACTATAAACCGCTTATTATGAGAAAATATTCTGGTGGTATTATACAATTACCTCAACCAACAAAAGTGATGCAATCCGGTCTTTGACAAATCTCAAGATCAATGCGGTGTACTTTTTACCCTTTTGTTGTCTTCTGAGAAACTCTATTACCCAATAGCGGAGACTGCTGTTTGAGAGTTTCCTCACCACTTTGCTTTGCATGTTTACAGATGCTGCTATACCTTCTAACTCACCAGCCGAGAATGGAAAATTGTCACCTCCTCGAAGAAAAGCCTTAATCTGTAATTTTGAACAACATGGTTGCCAAATTATTGAAGTAAATAATGTTAAAATGAATGATGAGGCAGAAAAAAAAAATTACAAGTATGTGTACTTCACCCCATTGGAAACAAAATAGATGGTGAAAAGGTCTACCTGATAGTGTGCAGTAAGATCCATGTATCGACGAATGGGAGATGTGAACTGAACGTAACCAGGAATTCCAAGCACTCCATGTCGAACAGGACATCTAAAATTCATTTCTGCAGCACGCATTACTTTGACAATGGATGACGAACGTACGGGTCCTTCTGGAAGATGCGCAAATGCAGATACATCAATATTTGACTGTGGCTGTCCTCTATATGGCAATGGGATATTATGCTGAGACCCAAACGTTGCTATAACCTCCCCACAAAGAATCATCATTTCGAAGACAAGTCTCATCGCTCGTTCTGCTTGATTTTCTACATAGAGATTTATCAAAGGTTCTGGATCCTCAGGATTAACCACTTTGATACGAGTTTCTAGAGTAGTTGTGTCCACTGCACCCTGAGTAAGCCCAGGAAAAAGCAGGTGTTACAAACAATAAGCAGCATCCAGCAAGAACCATAATGCTCAAAGAAACCTCTACTGAACTTTTCACGTTGAAAATGTTAGAGAAGATAAAACCATTAGCAAAACTATGTTTATATGACACGATTTTAATAACAACAGACCACAGAAAACTCAAAACAACCTGTTCACTGCGCCACTGAGAGCGAATGAAAGCTGCCTCAGACAGCAATCTTAGTTCAGCTTCTTCTTCTAGGTTCAAGTGAAGCAGCTCAGAAGCACTTTCATATGTCAACATATAGGTCGGTCTGATGATTGAGTTCTCTACTGAATATTCTGCAATACTGTAGCAGGAAGTTGTAAGGTACTCTTAAAGTTCTCAGCATACAATAGAATAAAACTCGAGAGAAGAGCAATGATTATTGAGTTACCACTTACCAGCCATCAGGACGCAGGACAACAGATACAGAGACAGCATTGCAGTTTTCTCCTTGTCTTAAACTCATTCCTTCCATGGCAAGCTTCTCTGGAAACATTGGATAAGTAGCCGTAGGCAGAAAGACAGAAGTTCCCCTTCTGCGTGCCTCTCTGGAGCACATATTAATAGGTCAGATTGCCCAAAGTTTGCTCCGATAGTGATAAGAGACATGCATCAAACTTACCTGTCCACTTTACTCCCAGGTGTAACATATCTAGCAGGATCAGCAACATGTATCCAGATCTTTATCCGTCCATCCTGCAATCTAGTTGCACTGAGGGCATCGTCAAGCTGCAGAAATTCCATAGCCGAAAAGAATACTCACAGTTAAAGGAGATAGCAATTACGCTTGATTTTTGAACCTAGACCTTGTAGAATAAATATAGGAGACTTGAAAGCATTTACCTCATCAGCCTCATCAACATCAATTGCATAAACCTTCAAGTGTGTGAGATCAATCCTCCTAACCTAAAAAAAGTATGAGAAAGTAAGCATTTTGAACCTCAGGGAAATATTGTGGCAAGAATTTAGTAAAGCGCCACAAAAACGAGAATAAATATCTTCAAATAGCAAAATTATCCAAAAGCAGGGCAAAGTGCTCACCGCATCAATATCAGATGATTCTGAAAGAAGAACTTCAGCAGCTTCAGTGATAGCTTCTGAGTGGTGGGTTGGAAGATTTAGCTTAAGCAGATCAAGATTGACATGTACAGGAAAATATCCAATATCTATGAGAAGGTTTAGTGCCGAGACAGATGTTTTCTGTAACCCCATGGACTTTAAGATCTGTCATGAAGCAGCCAAATAGTTAAAAATCGAACAGAAGACGTGAAATGAATAAGTTCCTTCAAAGATGTTGCTTCACATCCATATAGTACCAGCGGAAGAGAAATTAGTATTACCACAAAATAAATGATGGATGACTCACCGTTCCGGCAATTTTCCGCTGGTCAGTGCTTGCCCATGCATCAATAGCATAAGCTTCAAGTGCGCGTATATTATCTTGCACTTTATCATCAGCTAGCCAAGAAGATTTGAGGGGCTTGGCGTGACTAGGCGCCTTCTTGGCAGACTTCAACAACTGAATAAACTCCTGAAACTCTTTTTCTTCTGCCTCCTTCATGCGTTGCCTGCGTAAAAGCTCTTCCACCTACCAAAACAAATTGACGTGAGATCATCACAGGAAGAGAAAGTCTTCAGGAAAAAATCATGTCAAGCAATAGAAAAGTCCAAACTTGCACAATCAAGATCTCTTTGGATTAATCACATATCATCAAGCCTGCTAATCAAACAAAAAAATATAGCTACAGAGAACACCCTTCTAGTGATATTGATCACCTAACCTAAAAGAGAACACAGACAAAAATGCAGAAGAAATACCTGTTCAGTAGGCCGGGGGCTATATATTGATCGAGAACCTTTGGACTCTAAGACAGAAAAGTATATCTCGTCTTGTGATAACAAAAAATGAGCACAATAGCTTTCAAGAGAATCTGAGCGACCATATATCATCTGCAATTTTAAAAGTATTATCAAACCACAGGCTCAAACCGTGATATTCACTCAAATATATAGTACCTCTGCTAACTCTTCTGGCGTTACAGGTTTGTTCTTCTCAAGTAACTCGATCCAAGCAAACTCAAGCAGTTGGGGATCCTGCATCGAAATAATAACTAGAAGCTCATTCATAGGTAACATAAAAACTTTATCTTAGACTAGACGTCCTAGAAAAACAGTTATAAATCTTAGACAATGTCATTACGTACCAAATTTTCCTGAGCCCTCTGGAGAAAATCAGTAACTCCTGTATGGTCAAAATTATAAACACCCGGAACGATGTACGTAATTTGCTGCGGTTTGATGGAACAAGTAACACCATTCTGCACCATTAAAGTTTCTAAGTCTAACAATCTGCAAGCACTGCACCGAAACAATAGCATGAAAATGAGTACTTAAGTTTCGAGTGAAACCTGATCAAAGACCATCCAGTTCTTCTTGCCATCACGTCTATGAGAAACTGCCAACAATACTCTGTCTGCGTCCTTCTTAAACTCCAGAAGCAAACCGGCCTCTAGTTCCTGGTTTACTAGCTTATCCTCCAGAACCTCTCCATAGCTTGTTAATTTAACCCTACAGGTTCATCTAATTACACAATGAACTACCCACTCCAAGAAAAAAGCACTACCTATCATAATTCACTTTCAATTTTCGAGCTCTACTTCAATTTTGCTAATAATCAAATATATACTTTTAAAAATAAGGATACTGAAACGTACTTAACACTGGCACGAACTCTGGTACGGCTTCCCTTACGCCTGTTTATGGACTGGAGCTCTTCGGAAACACTTTCGACTAGACTATGAATGCAAGATGAACAGCTCGTAGCATCACTACCTCCATTATTCCCGAGAAATCGCCTATTAATGCGAAGTAATGGAAAATCTAACCCTAATTTTGAGAATTCACGGAGATGAGTTGCTCTGAGGCGCTGAATACGGTGGCGAAGTAAGGAGACGGGAGGACCACCGCCGGAAGAGGCGGTGCGAAAGATGGAGCAACCATTGATTGCCCTCACCGACATCATCGATGCTTCAGATAAAGAATCCACCGAACGATGAAGAAGAAGAAAAATCCGAACGATATCGGAAGTGAGCAAATCGCTCTCTCCGTCTGTGTTCTTGTGGCGATAGCGAAGCGGGTGATAGAAAACAACAACTTCTATATGTTTCGCCCTGTATTTTCAAAAAATCATCAAATGTTTCCCATAGTTTAAATTATATATTTTCATACCCAACAATTTTCGTCGAATTGAAAATAACGCACTTACTATTATGGGCGCCTTTCGAATTGACCCCCGAGATTTGTTTTTTGAAGATTTGATACATTGCATCCCAAATGTCCTTATTGTTCCCTCTAGCTTTGAACCAAGATCGAAAGCTTTGTTCTTGGCTTCCTCAAATAGCAATGCCTATAGAAAGATCAAGAATCGAAATTAATTACATAAAAGGATTGAATAACGCGAAAGGAAGATTTGATTTAAGTAATTAATGGAAGGTGAGTCACCTGAATGCAGACTTCTGCAACATCAGCCCTATGGACAGTTTTGGTGTCTGTCTTAAGAAGCTTGTGTCTTTTCCAACTAGCAGCTCCCGTGCATCTCCTTCCTTATCTAGAATTCCTCCGGCTCTAATTCACCAACAAACAAATTTTGGAGTAAATAAGAACATATATAATTAAGTAAAAACAAGCTTAAGAAAACTACTCATTGACCTTTGCTTCAACACCAAGTCCAAATCAAAAGCCATCTAAGAATGATTTCCTGAAAAGACGAGGGAAAAGAAGATGAAATGAGTCAGATGAAGTTAAAACCCCCACATTGCATTACTGAAATCTCGTTAACGTAAAACTCCTGCATAAACAGAACCGAAGAGGGAATGTGAACAGGTTATGTGATCTGATCACTACAATTAGTTCTAAAAAGTTAAGTTCAATATTATTAGACTGGGAAATTAGACTCAACCTAACCTCAATCAAGGTCTAGCGAATGAGAAAACCTTGAACCTGGAGCCATTCCCTATGTTACGTAGATACACCTGCAAATAAAGGGGACGAGTATGAAATATTTGCTAATTGAAGGGAGCCAAGTTGTAAAGTAACAGTTTTGGTTCCTTTTACCCCTGTAACCTCAAAGTCGTGACGCCGGATTTGATCAATGTTTTCCACCATAATAAAGTAATATTGCAGCATCTCTGAATATATACATACACCTGGAATAAACAAAACATATGAAAATATGTAGAACACAAGAGTCGTGATAGAAAGCAATATGTATTCATCTGTGTACATCTAAACACGACTTAAAACAACTATAATTCGAAGTTACCTTTGTAATCATAGAGCTTCGACTAGCAATGAGTTCCAACAAGCTTCACCACTCTGGGATTTGCGTTAACCTTCTTTCTCGTTCTTGATACAAAACTTTGAGTTCTTGTTCCAGTAACTAGTTACAGATGGATGCACCTAAGAAATATCACAAGTCTCGTTGGACACGAAACAATTGAATCATGCTTCCTGCATAAATAGAGCCAAAGATGATGAACAGTTGATGATGATAAAAACAAAAAACAAAATCAAAGTAGGAAAAGGTTCGTCTTACCAATTAAATTTCCTCTTCAGTGTTAGCTATTTGGTTTTAGAATAATACTAAGGAGATGAACCTTCGAAGTCTCAACAGACATATATGAAAATTATCAATGACCCAATCGGAGATGGCTCTCTTAGCCGTCCGATTAGTTGTAGAAGACGAAAGTGTAAGCAGAGATTTGTGATGTGGGAATTTTGCAGACAATTTGATTTGGGAGAAGAACTCTCGTATAAATAGGAGCACCAGATGCGAGTATCACATCCTAGTAAACAAAACGAGAAAAGGAAATTACTGAAGTTTTTTTCAGAAAAGGAAATTAATGAAGTGTTAAAAGAAAAAAGGAAATTCACAAACGGCTAGTTGTTAAAAAAATATGGAAATTCACTTGCGTTAATGGTAAGCTGCTTACTACTTGAGATTTTTTTTTAAAAAAAGGAAATTAACTAACGTAATTAACTGGGGTCAAACCTAACCGACTCAATCCACTACATTGCTAAATGTTAATATCCGGTTTATCTTTCCTTTTTTCTCATCGTAATTATGCTGACAGCCCAACTAATCTTATAGAGCTTTAAATTTACGATAAGCCCGTTTAGAAGTTGTGAGCGATAATTGCTCTATTTAAGAGCACAAGTAAATTAAGAAAGCTTTTATTGGGTTGGGCCTTCAACCACATTGCTTTTTTTGGGCTTTTAATACTTGCCAATTAATTACTTGGAGATTGGACGGTTCTTGCTAAAAAGCAAGGAAAGTTACAGTTATGACTGTAAAATGAATTCTCCTCATGATCTGACGGTCAAGAATCATCGAGAATCCTTCCGATTGAGAGTATGTGAACATTTTTAGTAGACCATTAATACATTGTGATCGGACGGCTCTCGCTGAGTTTTAACCTCATACGCATCAGCTAATGGTTTTAAATTTTTTCCCCTAACGCCCATAAGATGATAAGAACAACAAAAAAGGAAATTAAGCGTAAATGTTTTGAAAAACGAAAATCACAAACAGCTACTTATGGAAAAGAAAAGTGGAAATTTACTAATGTTAAATTCTAATTACAATTCAGTTTTATATTATCTTTTCCGTTTCTTTTTTTTTTACATCAATTTTATCTTTCCCTCGGAATAAAGTAAATCATCAAACGTTCCCCATTGTTTAATTTTTATATTTTCAGACCCAACAGTTTCTTCGAATTGAAAATAACGTACTAATTATTATGGGCGTCTTTCAAATTGACCCCGGAGATATTATTTTTGAAGGTTTGGTACATTACGTCTCAAAAGTTCTTAATAGCAGCAAGGATCTAAAAACGAGACGTAACTTGAGAGAAGAGAGCCTTGAAGTCTTTGGTTGGAGTACTGGTTCCCTCTGGCTTTGAGCCAAGATCGAAAGCTTTGTTCTTGGCTTCCTCGAATAGCAATGCCTATACTTGTAAAGAAGAAATATCAAGATCCGAAATTAATTACATAAAAGGATTAAAGAACTAGAAGGGAGGATGCATGAGAAGATTTGATTAACTAAACATAGGCAGGTGAGTCGACCTGAATGCAGACTTCTGCAACATCAGCCCTAGGCACAGTTTTGGTGTCTGTCTTAAGAAGCTCATCATCTTTCCCAACTAGCAGCTCTCGTGCACCTCCTTCCTTATCTAGAAGTCCTCCAGCTCTAAGTTCACCAACAAACAAAGTTCGGAGTAAACAAGAATGTATATAATCAAGTAAAAACAGGCTCAAGGAGATCAAAGAAAACCATTCATTGACCCACGGAATAAAAAGCTGGATCAGTTACCAGGACAGCAATATAAGTGAAAGTTTCTTAAAAGCATTATAAAGGGTCTTCTCGTTTAAATAGACGCATTGTAAAGAATTTGTTTAACCTGATTATGGTGTAAGGAGTTCCAGAATCAGCAAGGTACTGCTCAGCTTTTCTCTTCCAAACCTGAATGGATATAAGGTTGCCAAATGTGAGCCACATAAGCCAAGTGTTGCTGGCCATATAAGTAACCATTCACAATTTGGAAAAGTAAAGACAAGAGAAATTTTCACCAACCAGTATATTCCCATTTCCAAGTTTGTTCAAAGGATGATCCTGATTGGTTCCACCCATTGACCCGACCAGGACAATATGCTTCACACCAGCAACCTTGGCTGTTCACAGAAGCTCACCAAAATTAAGCACTTTAACCCTTAACAAGACAAATGCAATGAAGCACACAAGAAACCAGTGAAAACGAAATGGAAAGAAAAGTGCACCAACCTGCATCAATTTGATTCTTCTGGCCAATCCAATCAACCTACATAGAATCAAAACTGTGTTAAACTGCAATGAACAAAAAAAGAAAATCAAGGTGAAATTCAAAGAAAAACTTTTAGATAGGTCAATACTTGTTCAGGATATTGTCCATCATCGAAAATGAACTCAGGTCTTCCACCTTTAGTGGGATCAAAACCTGGTTTCATTTTAGGCACAGCGCTAGTGAGAATCACAAGGGCATCGATCCCTTGAACCGCAGGGTTAATGCTATCAGCATCTGTTACATCCCCAATGAAAACATCAGCTTCTCCTCCAATTTTCTCTTTTCCGGCAGCAGTTCTAACTAAACCCTTTGCTACAAACTTGTCTGACCTCTCCTTCAGCTTCTTGTACACAATCTGGCCTATCAATTCCAAGAAAACAACCACAATTTTCATCACATGAAGGAATCTAAACAAAAATCATTCGAAAATAACAACTAAATTCGAGATTGGTTCAATTGATCATTACATGCATAAAACTCCACATCATGACGCGAATTTGAATTCCAAATAACAGCTACGACAAAGAGTCACACGTTTAACTCGTAAACCATAACCTCACTAACCCTAGAACTCTACAGAACCTCCAACATATTACGCGGTTTTATCAGTAAACCTAGCAGAACGAAAGAGAACTAAAATCAAAATCGAAAGCAACGAGATGATAAGATGAAGCAGTGATTACCTGTTCGGCCACTAGCGCCGGTAACGAGAACGGTGGAAAGATTCGCCATTGGAGAGGCTTGAGAAAGCTTAAGAGTTGTTTGCTAAACTTAAATATCTCTCTGAAAGCCATTAAAGAGAAAGAGCATGGGAAGAAGAATCAGTGTGTGAGCATTCATGACCGTCTGATTGTAATAGTTGTTTCTTGGTGAGGACGACACGCGTCCTCTTCTTATCGGTCTGTGACTGACACTCTTGTTAATCTCTTAATTGCATTTTTGGGCCCATCTACAATATCTCTTGTTCAGTAATGGGCCAGGTTTGTTATTTATGAGTCACACAAGCTATGACAATCGAGCATTTTGAGTATATAACTACGTGCCGTTTCCATAAACAAGTCGCCAAATAAACGACATGCTTTTCCCATGTGAAAGTTTTTTATGCCAAACTCTTTTCAAAAATGTTGACTTTTTCTATTGCTCTGTTTCGAAACAACTGTAATCGACATGTCAAATCTGTCCTGACTCCTGAGACTCAAAATATAATAATATAAAATAAAATACTTATATAAATAAAAACTACTCAGCTGAGGAACTTGTGATCTAAAAACAAATATAATATTTGATTAACTTAACATTTTTTTTGGTGGAACTTGATTAACTTAACATAATTAGTATCTTAAATACGACCATATAAACATTTTATAGTATATGGTGAAAAGTATATAGTTATCTGCTTCTTGTTTAATTTAATAATGCAATGTATGATCTGATTCTATGGTTTTCAAAGATATTAATAAATTAAAAGTTAGGCCAAATAAAAACAACTATTAATCTAAAATTATAAAAATGATTGTTTTTGGTTATATATGTAACGCTAAAACAAAACAAAAAGGTAATATTTAGTTCTAGATGATACCCGAATAATATTTTTATTTTTATTTCTCCTACAAAATACAAACTAGTAGATGGAATGGAACTTATTTCCTCATATTTTATTTAAACTTATAAACACAAGTCGAGAAAACAAAAACCAAAAATGACATTACGTCATTTGAAAAAAAAAGGAAAAACAAGAAATTGAAAATGACAGTGGTGGAAAATTAGGTACAAGGGCGAAAAGGCTCCTAAGCTGTAACAGATGTCTCAACGGCGACCTTGCCGGAATATCCAACATCCGACGACTTCCTGTCGGATTCCCATAACTCCGGTATGGCCTCTTTCAGGTTGTGAATGTTTTCCAACGCGTAATCAGCTCCTTTGACTTTGTTTGATTTACCAACCTGAAAACAACAAGCTCCAAAGTCAATTTCGAACCCAATATATTAAACTATTTGATTCCGGTTAGGTTAAATCGATTTTATCGTACCAGAACTGTGTGAAGACCAACGCGTTTTCCAGCTTGTACGTTTCGGACACTGTCCTCAAAGAACAGCTGCGACGATAAATAATAATATGAAACTCTGTCAGTTTTGTCCACGTTCTTGAAGATTCAGATTTTAAGTAAAGTTTTAAAAAATTCGGTTTGCTATACCGTTCGGTTAGGATCAATATTGGCGATTTCTAGAGCTCTCTCAATAGCAGATTCAGACGGTTTACACACAACAGGCGTTTTGGGAAGTGAGCCGACGGGTTCAGACCGGTCGAAATGTCCAGCGATATCAAAAATCTCGGGATCTTTAGACGCATCGGTTTTGTGCATCGTGTTAAGCGTTTCGAAACATATGATTCCTTCGAAACAGTCCTCCAATCCCAACTTCTTCAACGCCTTGGCCGCGTGAACTCTGTCCGCGTTCGTAAAGATCTGATTACGCGAATTAAAAACAAAATGTTGATTAATTTTCTGTTTAATCTATAGTATAGTGTATGGTAATAAACTATATAAAAATGTGATTGTGACACGTACGACTTTACGGAGAGGGAGGCTAAGCAAGAGACTGCGAAGAACAGGGTCGGGTTTAATGTTGTCGTACGGTAAACGACCGTGGACGAAGCTATGGTAGTCATCGTAGTCAAATTCATATCCGATCGCCTAGAGAACAAGGAGATGTAATTATTACAAAACTTTAATTTTTAAAAATGTAAATGATAGCTGAGGGATGATGATCGATCACGTACCCTAAGACCGGCCATTGTTGTTCCATAGTTCTTGTAGAGAAGATCAGACAATTCTACAATTTTGTCTTTCGGAATACCGAGTTTCTCGACCATATAATCTATCAAACCGGAAAAACAAGAAAACAGTTTGGAATTTTACTGTTAAAAAAAAAAAAAAAAAAAAAAACTGATTGTGACTTGTGAGATAAGAGAATCAGAGATATTATTACCTTTGATGTTTTTGCCGCATTCTCTAGCGATTCCGGTGCTAAGGGGATAAAGAGTATCGTCCAAATCTAAAGAGAAATTTTGATAAACCGGTCAATAAACTACTATTCGTGTGAGACAGTAAATCAAAAAGCATTTGGTTTAGTCGGGTTAAGTACGTACCAAACAAGAGACAGTCGTACATGTGCGACGTAGCAAGCCCGTACCGGTTCTCGAACTCCATTTTCTGAAACAATCGATTCGATCAGAGACGTGATAATTGGCACTTTAAAAAAGGGTGTTAATTCTGAATCACAGAGATTTTTTTTGCATGGATAATAATGACCGATTTGGATTTTTTCAGATCAGATTTGTACCTTTGAAACAAAAAACAGAAATAAATTTGTGTAAAAAAATGAATGGACAAAGTTGCTTATGTCCCAAGAAAGTGGGGATAAGATTTTTTTTCTAAAACGTGAACGGAGAGATTCAGAGAATTGGAACCACTAATTGACTCCTAATCATTTATTAGTACTACGTATACAGACAAATAATACGTATTGTATAGAACACGTGTGAGGAGTGGACAACCAAAATTAACTTGGGTACTATGCCTATGCAATATGCATGTATGTATTAACCAAAATTTTAGCAACTATCCCAACTAGAGATAATAAATTGAAAAGAAGAAAATAAAATGGTTTATTTTGGCTGATGGAGTAATCAATATATTAAACCGGTATTAGCCGAGTTTTGACCATCATTTGACTCCTTTGATTTCAAAAATAGCTGCGATCGGTTATGGATCCGGACCATCCGGTTAAATTTTTGGCTTGAGAGCTTAATAATTTTAGCTTTGATCAAGTAAATCCTTTTTTATATATAGAATTTGTTGTACAATTTGAACCAATTCAAGTTTAGTTTTTCAAGTAATACCATCACGAACAATTTTAGATAAATGTACGGAAAAGTAATGAATTTGCGACGATGAAACCGAAGAAACGCAAAATTCATCAGAGAAACAACAAAAAAAATGGGTAAAAAACGGCATGGAGTTCGTACGCAAAAGAAAGATCCGACGAAATGTTCATAAAAGTAAGAAAGAAACGGAAGAGATTAGAGTAGTCATTATGTATTTACCTTAAAGAAGAGAAGAGCGAAAGAAAGATGCAGCAGCAGCAGAGAGAGAGAGTGGGGAGGAGAGAGGGGAGGGATAGAGAGAGGCGACGAAGGGGTTTATATAGCAAACTCTCTCTGCCTCTTTTCCATCTTTAAAAGCTATTTTCCTTTTTTTTTAATTAATTAATTATTTGTTTGTCCAAAAAAAAAAATTAATTAATTAATTATTTGTATTTCTCCTCCTAACTACTTTTTTTTTTTGTTTAATTGAAATCCGCGTGCTTTCTAAGTTCTAACGTACAAGTCAAATTATGAAGGTGACTACGCTAATGCTTTTTTTCTTAATTTCTATAATGATTCTATTATATATGATCATCAATTTCTTTAATTTTCTACGAATATCGTATATGATGTCACACTTCATAATTCTCATGGAATTTTGAATTTTTTTTAGGTTGTTATATATATATATATATATATATGTTTCGTAAAAGAAAAAAACTCTACGAATTTTAAACATACTTGTATATTATTTATCTTCATATATCATCACTCTATACCTATAGAAAGGTGTTCTAGAAAGAAAATGATCAAGTAATGTTTTCCTAAATATAATTAGTTTTGGAGAATTAACACTTATACATGGGCGTTATTTCTCAAACCCAAGCTTGTCTTGTGTTATCTAGATATATCGAGAATTTACGTGACTGATTATTACATTTCCTCCCCTTTTGTAGAATTTACTAGGTTTTAACCCGCGCTACACCGCGGGACGATTGTTTTGACTAAAAACTATATATATATTTAAGTTATATTTGTTAATTTTATCATCTTTTTAGTGTTTAAGATTGTGTAACTGTATTTTTGATTGTTATTTTTATTACTTAACTCGCGGGATATTTTTTTATAACTCGTGGGACTAAAAAATTATGTTTAAGTTATATTTGTTATTTTTTTTGTTTTGTTAACCCGTAAGATAACCCGTAAGAAAATATAAAACTCAAACCCCGTTTTCCTGGAACGGTTCGTGACTGTCGCGTTGCTTCCGCGGGGCCATTCCGACTGGGGCAGGTATCGTGCTTCAGTGAGGAGGGCGTGCAGGACTCGAGTTGTCGAGTCCCTTCGAAGGAGTCAGGCGGGAACCACTCGATAGGTTCGGGTGTCCGTCGCTGATCGAGGATCAGGCTTAGAAGAAGGGATTAGGCCATCCCTGCACAAACTGGTCGTGATCTGGAGCCGATCACCTGATGAGCCCAAAGCAGGGCGAAACCAGTCGAAGATGGTCTGAGGCATGAAGGCTGACTCGATAATTAATGGCTATTATCGAGTGCCGCACGGTCTTCTGAAATAAGTCCGTGACAAGTGGTATCAGAGCCAGGCAACGTTGTGTGCTGTCTGCGCCTAGCGCCCGATACGAGACGGGTTGGCGGGGAGCCTCGTTCGGTGGCGTAACGATGGTCGAGGGCGAGGTGTCCGTAAAGACCAAGGCGTGGTGCCGAGTCATCGAATCGAGTGGGGATATGAGGTATCCCACAATACACAACGTACGATCAAGAGGATTCTCCCCGTGCACGAGGGCGTGCACATTGATGGGTGGGGGAGGATGTCACGCCCCGTTTTCCTGGAACGGTTCGTGACTGTCGCGTTGCTTCCGCGGGGCCATTCCGACTGGGGCAGGTATCGTGCTTCAGTGAGGAGGGCGTGCAGGACTCGAGTTGTCGAGTCCCTTCGGAGGAGTCAGGCGGGAACCACTCGATAGGTTCGGGTGTCCGTCGCTGATCGAGGATCATGCTTAGAAGAAGGGATTAGGCCATCCCTGCACAAACTGGTCGTGATCTGGAGCCGATCACCTAGTGAGCCCAAGACAGGGCGAAACCAGTCGAAGATGGTATGAGGCATGAAGGCTGACTCGATAATTAATGGCTATTATCAAGTGCCGCACGGTCTTCTGAAATAAGCCCGTGACATATACCTTGCTTCTTCTTCTTCATTATACTTTTTTTTTTTTTTTTTGCTTGGTCCAATAATTAATACTCTCAACTTTTGATACTTGGATTTTTGATTGTATAAATCTTAATCCAACACAAACCAAGTTGATTAACTTAACATCATTTATATTAGATTATATACGTTATCGAAAGTTGGGGGCATGAAGTTGTTATTATTATACATAATAATCAAAATAATTAATGGATAAATACGTGTATGTATAAAAATTCAATTATATGGTCGAAAGCTATAGTGATTTCAAGCTTTGTTTCGTTTCCATCAATAATTGTGTTTTCATTATTTAAACAAACGAAGATAGGATCAAAAGCCGATCCTATCTCTTTGGTTCCAATTATTGAGGAACTAAAAATCATTTAAACTTCTTTCTTTTGTCTTAATTATATGACTTTGTTGTGCGTCTAGCTTCCTAGACCCATGGACACCATATAATTTATGAACTTAAGCACATGTTGTTGAGACTCAAAATTTGGAATTTATGGACTCACTTTAATTATTTGTTTTCTGAATCTCATCAATAGATGTGAGTCTGTGACAATATACTCTTCTTGACTGTTTCGTCCGTGGATCGTCCATACATTATTAGCTTTCTCAAATTTGCTCACTAATCAGAGAAACAATTGTTTTGTGAATGGTAACGCACTCATCAGAAGTAAAAAAAAATTTTAAAAAATAAGTTCCGCGGCTAGAAAATAATTTAGTATTTTTGTTTTGAATGATGACTTTAAGCTGTAAAAAATAAAGTTTCTCAGTTTATATATACCTAGGAAATTAGTTAATTATATCTCTTGTTATAGAAGATTTTTTTTTGTTTTAGTTTGTTTTGAAAAACGTAATATGATGGACAAGCTCGGTTCATTAATTGTTGCATGCATGCAACCTTGAAGCTTCCACTTGTTAAAGCTTCCCACTCATGCTTCTGAGTCCCTCCACTTGGAGTAAGAACTTCATGCAACCTTTGAAGGCAACTTCCACTCATGTCTCTGAGTACTCCTCCACTTGGAGCAAGAACTTCTCGAAGATGGCCACGCGAAACACGAGCATGATCACATTTTATATAGTATTACTATGTTCAATTATTTTGTAACTTATTTATAATATTTACCATGATTAGCCACCTATCAATCACGAATCACCTCTGGTTAATTGGTTATTGGAATAGAAACAAATAAAAAGTGAAATATATATATCGTTGACAAATGAATGTGAACATATGTATGATGGTGATATAGTATTTAATGACATGTGCATCATGCTTCAAGTTTTCCATATTAAAATGCTTTTTATTTATTTCTGCCGTCCATACCGGTAGACATTTAAGTAAATTGAGTCTCTCAATAGTTAAAACTTAAAAGTTATAACTTTGGGGTACAATCCAATCTCGGTTTAGTTCGGTTACTTCGATCAAAATTATTTTGGTTTGACACAAGTGTTCATGCATTGGTCTATCTATTACGTGTCTTCCTTATACAAAGTTGCAACTTGCACGATTGTCCTGAAAGCAGATCGAACGAGATTTATTCCTCAATGGTTTATATTTTGATCTAAATTCTATTATATACAAACAATCCTTTCAAATATATATTACCGATCTTCATATAACGATATCTAATTCATATGTTATTAAATACCAGAAAAGATTTTTTTATGGAGAATAGTTTAACCTTTTACCAAAAAAGAAAAAAAGAATAAAACATAAAATATTTTTTGGGAATCATTTAAAGGTGTGAACCAAAAGATTCACATGTATCATTGCATCATAAGGTGTCCCCATGTAACTTAAAAAGCTTTCGAGATTCAAATATCCAATATAGTATGTATTATATATATCACCAGTTTTTTAAAATATGATGGTATATACGCAGGCATACTTAAAAAAAAAACTGTATCTATATCATGAAAATGCATTTATTTTACTAATCTATCACCAAAAAAAAAAAACAAAACAAAGCTAAACATGATTCAACTGACACAAATGGTAAAAAAATTAGTATCGCATTTCGCATACATCTATATTAACATTTTTGAACTACCTTTATTGTTCTACCCTTTTATTTTTAATTATTTGCAACCATAAACCCTTTCTTTTTCTTTAATTTTTGTAATTTGAGGGATTAAATTTGAAAAATAACTACAAACCTATACCTATTTCGATCACGCAATATAAGCACTGGAAATCCTCTAAAATCTATATTAATAACTACTGAATCTTACCTTAAATTGATCCCATTTTTTCATCCAATAAATTATAGATTACGATCATATTTACTCACTACTCAAATCTCGGCTACCAACTTCAATTCTGCAATTGTAGCCATTCTTGAATTGATATAATATATTATTGCCATATCTAAATATATGATTTTATTTACTAATCGTTTGATAATTAATACTACACCATTTTTGAAAGAATCACGATACCATGCTGATTTCTTGGCATTTTAACCAAGATATTATCAAAATACATTTTTTTATCAAGATTTGTAGAACGCATTTCTTGGCATTTTAATCAAAATACAGTTTAAGTTGTTTCCAAAAACCGAATAAGAACGCACATATTTACCTTTACAATCAAACATAACCACCAACGAAATCAAAACAAAACAGTCCCGATTTTAATGTTTATTCAATCAAAACTAATCACATCTAAATCAAGAATATTCTTTGATTTAATTTACTTTCTTTGTTTCTCACCAATTAGTATATACCCAAAGACATCTATAAATATCACCTAAAGTACAACCTTCAACACATCAGCATCTTAAAGAATTGTTATTTACTCTTTACCAAAAAAAAGAGAAGCAATTTTTATTTACTTCTTAGTTTTGGACGATGAAAATATATTTTTTGGTTAATTTTTCTATTTTGATTTTGTCGTCTCTACTATAGTTTGTTTATTTTTATTTTTTACTTTAGGGTGTGAAGATCTATCTTTAGTGAGGAGAATGATAATGTGAAGGATGGGGTGAATATATAGAAAAAGGTCGACTCAATGAAAAAGAATAGCATTAATTAAGTTTATGATCGACAAGGAGTGATATGTTGATGTGTTTGTATTTGTAGTTGAAATTTTTAATCTCTTTTGTACATTTATATTATTTCTTAGACATTACAAGTTTTTTTTAAAGTTTAAAGTGCTATACGGGAAAAATTTCTTGAATTTTAAATTTTCATATAAAGCATGTATTTATATGATAGGACGGGTTTGGATCGAGAGTAATATAAAATTTAAAATATCATGAAATTATTATATTATTATTTTTTTAGCACGATCAATATTAGTATATAAGACATATCAAATTAAGTTAAATCAGTTGTGTAAAACACAAATTTATTTCATGATGTACAACGGGTTAAATCCTAATTTATTATATTTTCTACTCATTATTTCACATATTACCTAGGTTTCTTTATAGAAGAATGCAAAACAAATTATATAATAGTATACTGCTGTTCAAATCATAAAATAAATAATCAAAATACATTACACAATCTTAAAAACTAAATAAAATAACAAACAAATACATTTTCAATTTCAATTTTTAGTTAAAAAATATTTCCGCGGTGTACCGCGGGTTAAAATCTAGTAAAAAGTTAAAACTGAACACAAAATAATCTTGCGTGGTAATGTGTAAGACTAATCAACAAAAATTTCAAACTTTCTCGAAATAGGTCTCACGCCCCAAGTTACACTAACACATTAGATCGCTCTAAGCTTTAATCCCAAAACTAATTTACTATAATAATTTTACATTATTTTTTTTTAATTTGTATATCTATTGAATTTTTTTTTTTTAAAAGATTTAACTTGGGAGTGTGTTTTTTTTTTTTTTTACCAAAATAAGCTAAGAGGTGAATATAACACACTAAAGTGCGAATCTGTCAGAGTATAACTATGTCATAAAAAATAAAAGTATATGTTAAAACATAGAAGAAGAAAATGAAATGGATCTACAAAGTGGCCAATATAATTGGGTACCTTTCGAAAAAGACACGAGAGTCGAAATTTAGGAGGAAACAACACAGCTGTTTGCAATTCAGCTTTTTCTTTCTTTTATTATAAAGTTTTTTTTTCAAAAAAAAAAATATTAAAAGTGGCAAATAATTGGACTCGTGGATCGTAGAGAAGAAATTACAAAAGAAAAATCAATAAACGCAAGTGTCCTAATTAGAAACTTTGGTAGCCTTTTAAAATGTTAGATATTTGTATGAAATTTCCTCTTAATTATATAGTTTAATGGTTTTTGGAATTACGTGTATAAAAAAAAATGTCACTTTGATTACAAGGATTTAGTTTATAAATTGGTGTTCCTGATTTTGACTTATTCTAACTCTTAGTATTATTTTCTTCGAACTGTTGCATTTATATCCAAAGCTTGCTAGTTGGCATTGATATTGACATCTCTGCTCTCTCCCTCTCTCTTTTTTTTCCCCCTAATTGTTATTTGATTATTTCTGAGTTTTAGGGTTGAATTTTTATATATTTTTAAGTTTTTCTTCCAGTTTTTTTTTGTACTTCTTAATTAACTCCAGTTAACCATAGATATCAAAACTAGCCTTGCCATGATATTTAACTATACAATAAAACATGAGAAAATAAACATTAAAAACATGTATATGCATAAATAGATATATAATCCCAATTCATGTATCCTAAATTCCACAGAAGAGTTAAAAACTAATTTTGGAAAATAAGTAGTCATTTTAGAACACAGCTAATTAAATATGTGTTAGTAGTACAACGATTTACGTTAAAGAAAATGGTTGATTACTGACAATTACAATATGTTTAAGAAATATATATTTTTCTTATTTGTCAAAATTTAGTTGATATTATTATAAGAAGACATCAACATGAGATGACCGTAGTATGTTATATCATGACTGATGTATGCAGAGTCATGTATGTAATAGGTTAAAAAGAAAAAATAATAATTAAAACAAGTATAACCCTTGTTTTTTTTTTTGGTCATCTTATATGTATAACTAGAGAATAGATTAAAAATAAACGCGTTATGGACTGTGAAATGAATTGCTAATGAACTTATTAATTGAAGTGCGACCTGCAACGTTATGTTGCTTATCGAATTATTATTAGTTTCTCATAATCATAAAGACCATGTAGAGTATATAGACCTAGAGAAATATGATAGGTTCTCAATGTTCACATATACGTTGACATTGACAAAAGTTGCAAGATTTTTTTTATTATCTTAACAAAGACCTGCAAACAACTATGTTTCCACATAAAATCTGTTGTTTGTATTTAAAATACTTAACAACAATACGTCTACTAAGAAACTACGTTGTAATTAAAATACTTAAACCCCTGTAATACGTCTAAGAAACTACGTTGTAATTTAAAACAACAGATTAATTCAGAACTTATCTGAGGACCAGCTTTAAGTTTTAACTGATGTTGAAACTAGAAGACCGAGTCAAATGGAAAAATGAGACCAGTAGTTTGAAAACAAAGACGGAACATGAGGCTGCATAGAAATAATGTCATCTCAATGATGGAGTTTAATTATACATCGCCGGAGCCACCAGATCTTCTAGGAGCTCTTTTCTCCGGCAGTGTTTATTTTCATTAGGTTGTTGATCGGATTGGGCCGGCTATGTTTTGTTTGGTTTATGGTTTATTCTTTGTGTTTTAATATATTAGTGGGCTTTTGTATTAGCCCAATGAACTTTTCTAGGTAGGTTGGACAATTTCATAAAATTTAGATTTTTGTAATTTTGTTTGTGCCGTCATGGGGTCATCCACACCATAAGCTAATTTATTTTTTGGCTTTGACTTTGTAAGTTGTAACGTAGTACTACTAGGAACGTACAATGAACATAAGACGAACCCAATGGCTCTCAGAGACTGGTCTTTCAACTCTTCATGTAAATCATGTGAATCTTCGATTCTTCTTCTGTGAACCCAATGTGCCTCCCACGTGATTTACTTCCAGAAGCTATGATTCAAACATAACCGGTTTCGATTTCGGTACGAACAGAAAAAGTTTTCGCTTTTTGTTTCCCGCCAAAAGGGACTTGATGCGCAAGTTCGCGCCGCCACTAACGGAAAAATAGATATATTATTAATTAAATAGATATTATAAAGAAATTTACCAAATAATGATGGTGGAGCGTCTGAAACGGTGCTGTGGGCTCACGCGTTACATAAATGGGGTGCTGCTACCCACTCATGTCTCACCACGTCACCAGATCCAGCTCACACCAAGCTGTTCGAAACACTCTCCACCGTCCGATTGATCTGAGAACAGCTTCGTGAGAAAGATTCCCGTTTTTTTTTGTTTTTTTGTTCTCCCACCCAAATTTCGAAATATTTTAAAGGGAAAAAAATCTAATTTTTCTGATTTTTAGTATTTTAATTTTATTTGATATATTATAAAAATGAAAAGATGTAACCGCCTCTTCTTCATTCATACTTCAAAATTTTGTTTTCCCTCTTTATAAGATTTCGAAATCGAGAGAAAGAGAGAGAATCGAAGAAAAAGAAGAAGAAGGATGGGAATGGAGGTAGCTGAGAGGACGACGGAGATGGTGGAGGACGGATGTACGACGCCGAGAAGCAGTATGTATAGGATTCCGGTGGCTTCTGTTTGTCCACCGCCGCCCAGGAAGAAATCGATGGTTTTGAGGAAACGAGATCCACCGAGAAACGGGTATTTTCAACCACCGGATCTGGAAGCTTTGTTCTACGCTCAGCCTCGACGAGAAGCTTGCGTTTAGATTCGAGATTTCTTTCTAGGCTTTTTTTTTTTTTTTTTGGTGGCTTTCTTCTTTCTCTGTAAATACATGTTTAGGATTTGCTTCTTAAGAGATTGAGGTTTCAGAGCGATGACTTTGTTTGTTTATCGAAATTGGAATTTACTAAATTGAAACTGAGATCTATTTTCCAAGTCTAATCTGTTGGCTTTGTGTTGTAGATCTATCATTGGTTTGAAGAGTTTTTTTTTTTTTTCCTTTTCAATTACAATTGTGGGATTCAGAAACTCTGAACAAGACAACATAAGAAAAAAAGCTTACAGAAAATTTGCAGATGACCACTGTAGTAATGTCTTCTTTTGCTCTGTTCTTTTCTTTTGGTAACAGTGTCTTAGCTTCCTGTTGTTCCATCATACATTTATACATGTTAAACTGTACTGTTCTCTTACGAGTTTGATCAGTGGTTGTTGTTGGTCTTTTGTGGTAGTTCCTTCGGAATCTGCAATTTAAATGGTGTAAGAATATCATCTTATTCAACTGGTGACACTAAAATCCTTGACTGTGGTAGATTTGTCTTTGATTCTTTGCTTTTGTTTTCATAAATTAGCTATACCTTTGTTGCTAACACACTCCACCTAGCAGAAGAAAGAATGTATAAGACCCTGCCTACTTAGTTTTATGATTGCTTTGGAATAGTATTGATCTATCCTTTGATGTAGCATGACCAGAAACTTGAATTTCCGGGGCTACGTACATAGATAGAGTCTTTAAACATGTACAAAGAAGGAAGGCCCTGTGACAGATGCAGAATAGCATTTGATATATGATGATGGACATGAAGAATCAACATATAATAGGACGTCGTGGTTGATTATTGTGTGCAGAGGGACTTGAATGAGAAGTAGTGACTTGCGCACAGTTAATAATCCAAGTCACTCTGCACACAATAACCAAAATTTAATTACAGATTTACACAACAATATCTTAAACTCATATACTGCGGATGTAATCTATGCATGCAGTGTGTAACAAAAAAGTTGTAATTCGACCTCCAAAGAAAAAAGTTTGATGATAGAAGACCGAGTCCTAGTTGTTTAATCCCGCTCTATTCGGATCGGTTATTTTTTTTTCAAATTATGCGGATATTCTCTTTGAGAGCTTATGGTTATCTTGTCTTCGTGTGTAAAATATTAATAAAACAAATTTGTAATATCAAATACCAAAATCTACTTGACGTCCCCGTGTAAACCCTATAATATATATATCTTCACATCACTCAATTGTATCATTAAAGTTATTTCGAACCTATCCTCCTCCTCCGTTCTTGATTTTCATAAGATCCGATCTCTCTTACGGCTGAGAAAATATGGGGATCATATCATCTAGGCATCTGAAAATTGAACACAGATCTCACGTTTCGTCAAGCACTTGGCGTCGATACGACGATTTCATGAAAGGAGGTCCTTGTAAAGAAGAATTCAGTCTTTTTCAAGATTGCGTGCATGAAGCTGAAAAGAAGAGGGAACTTACCGGTCCATGTTACCCGATTTTGGAGAAGTGTATGGAGGCTCACTCTGATTACTATCAGCCCATTCTTGAGTCAGATAAAGCTGCTGAGAAAATTCTGTACGAAGGCCTAATGAAAGCTTTCCTGCCGTTAACGGTTCCCCTAAATGAAATGAACGAAGACGCAAATAAGTTTATAACATTCATGGAAGGAGGTGATTGCAAAGAATCATTTACGGCTTTGAGGGTTAATTGCGATTTTACTGAGGAAGCTGGGAATAACAACGAAGATTTGTTCACTAAATGTGCGGGACTCTTTGGGACACTGCTTAAGTGCGTGGCCGATCACTCAGATTACTATCATTCAATTGTGTCTGTGACTAAAGCTACCGAAGAACATTTGGAGAAGGACCTAGAAGCTTTATTCTCGAAAGCAAGCTAAGAAATATGATTTAGAGGATTTTGGTTTTTTTTTATATATATATTATTATTTTTTCTTTTACTTTTTAAGAAAACTGAAACTTTTCCACCTCAATGAATACTCTTTCCTTTTTTTCTTCTTATGATTCTAGATGTCATAACTTTGTTGATGATGCCTATCAATGTTTCACTGAATGAACTTTGATTTTAAAAAAAAATCAAAGCACACACAAGATATTCTCACCTTTTGGATTATCATTTGTATGCAACATCGGGGACATGTAATGTTCTGATCTGGTTTATATGTTTTTAACAAGAAAACAAGGTGAAATATTTACATAAACATTACCGTGATTAGTGATACTGCTACATATGTAGGTTCATGTTGTTGTTACATCATAAGTGTTGAAAAGTACTGCTCAAACTCTTGATCAATGGTTGGTTTCGTGTTAGCTTCTTCGGAATCTGCAATCCGAATGGTGAAAGAATATCAAATATGAATCCCATACACAGTGTTGCAATGCATGAATCCCATAAATCATTACTCTTTTTAGCATTTCATTGGTTACCTTGGCTGCCGACACTCCACCTTGCAGAGGAAAGAATATATGATGCAACTGGATTCAGAACCTCTTGAAGATCTTCAACCGAAGTATCCGGACAAATGAATTCCATGAGAGTCAAGTCTTCAGCATCTTCTTGTGTTTTGTGATCAACTTTGGAACAGCACTGTTCTACGCTTGATGTAGCATAACAAGAACTAGAACTTCCGGATGAACAAATAGAGTCTTTAAACATGTAGACAGAAGGGCCTGTAATGGATGTAGAAGAGGAGGAGGCCTCATCGCTGGTTTTTGTGTCTTCCATGGCATAAGAGCATTCTGCATATTCTATACCTGATGATTGACATGAAGAATCAAGAAAAGAAGCTTGTTGTTCCAGACAAAAGTGTTTTGGTAGGGGTAACAAGTCTGATTCTTCACCACGCAGTTTTCTCTTTTTGCTCAAGTCTAGAGATTCCACAGCAATTATCATTGGATCGTTGATATCGCTGAAAGTAAATATGGTATAGTAAAGGCAAAGTCATTATTTTTCCATGAGATAAGAAGAAGAATAATACTCAACTCATATCCATAAAGGGTCATATTCACAATTACAACTATCCATAAAGTATCCACAAGGCCGTTTAACAAAAGACAGAACATTTATCATCAATACCACTGAGATGAAGAGAAAGTATCAGAAATCTTGCTAGTCCAGAATCTCAAATTAGGAAAGAGCAAAGATAAGCTATGCTCTTAAAGATTCAAGTGTTTTCAGCAATCAACAGGTTTGTAGTTGAAATACAAATCCTAAACACCAAACACATTTCATTTTAAAACACAGTGAGGAAAACTATCAAACACCTTACAGACACCATACTATATAGCTCATGAGGTTATATAACTCACAAAAGATGAAAACTTTCCGGAAACATATGAAAAGCAGAACACACAACACAAGAGAGTAGTATCTAGCTGAGGATTTGAGAAACGTGGAGTGATTTTTTCACATTCAAGATAAGATTCTTTGAGGATCAAGTTCTAATCTTTACATAAGATTCATCATATACAGTTGTTTTGAAAAAAAAAGGTTTTAAGTAAAAAGAAGATATTTGTGTGTTCGTGGGATGTGATTGAAAGAGGAAAAAAACCTATGATCCAGCGATGGACTACAACACACATCTGCATCATCCATGAATTCTGAAGATGCTACCAAGATTCCCTCCAAAGCCGAGAAATAATTTTGTTGTTGTTGTTGTTGTTGGTGATGACTGATGAAGTTGATGATGATGTTTCATTGTTTTGTGTCCGTCTGAATAATTTATTTAATTACATTAAAATGGTTTTGGTTTACAAGGAAGGAGAAAAGCAAATCCGTGTTCTCAACCAGAGGCGACTGCAAATCACGGGCCTGAGCTGGCGAGAGCCCATTGGATCATGAAAGAGGCCCGCACGTGTAACCGCGCGTGAGCTAAGCATATTTTAACGGAAAAGAGTAAAGACAGTAAACCGCGTGATGTTCCCACGTGAGAGTGCGACTTCTGTGGACCCTGGCGTTTAAATAACTTGTCTGATTGCAAATAAAATCTTTGGTTATGGGCCTTTTGAGGGAAATTAGTTGGGCTTCTTTGAACACCATCTCGGCCTAATAATGATCTTATTTCGTGATTCTGAAGATACAAAATTGATGACGATTAAAGAAGAAGTAACAACTAATTACTTACGCAAAGAGGAGTAAGTACCATGTCAAAATCAAAACCGACAGCGAAGAGGAGTAAGTAACAAGTAACAACTCGAAATTATTACCCATCCGCACGTGTTGGTAAACTAGTCTCACTCTACTCCATTACTACTACTACGTAGGCAGAAAAAAAAACTATAATTACACAAAGAGAATGTTATCTATGGTTTATGATCCGATTCCGAGTCTCTGACCGGATACATCACATTGTACCGGAGCTAAACCGATTCTTGATCTCTGGAGATCAAATTCGATCCACATGTTCTGCTGATGATGATGTCCAATCACGTATGCCTCCATTCCCATAAGATCGGAGTTTCCGAATGTGAAACAATAAACGGAATCGTTCCCAGCCGTCAGATGTGGGACTCGGTACAATAGTGGCTGACCTGAAACCGCAATCTCAGCTCCTTGGAAAACCAGGGAAACTGTTGGTAACCGGTGGAGAATCCCGGCCCGAATCCGAAATGGGGAAATCCGATAACACAAATCCATGGTTCCTTGGAAAACGAAATCCGGGTCATTGTAAACCGTTAATATCCCGTTAGTCCGGTTTAAGAACTCCGAACGAAGAGCGGTGTAAACTGGTCCGAGCAAGAAAGTAAACTGGGTACCGGAATCAACCATGGTTTGGCCAGCACCGGTATGATCCGGTACGAGAACCGATTTAGGGATGGGTAGAAGCTTACCGTTAACCTTAATCCCCGTGAGCTGGACGGTGTAAGCGACACGGTCGAAATAAGGTAACGGCGTCGAGATCCTGATCAACGGCGTGTAATTTAACGGCGTCAACCACGTGAAATTAGAGTCGCCGAGGAGAAGAAAGCCGGGGAAATCGTCGGTGCCGGAGATGCAATACGAGAATTTGGGGAAGCCCATCTGAGAGATGAAAGAGAGGGATCCACGGTTCATACCCAATAACCCGGTTGTCTTGTAGTCTTCTTCCGGGTCGGATCCGGATACGGATCCCATACACCCGAAAATGAGGTTGGAGTCGTTGGTAGAGTTTCCGAAGTGGAAAATCTCGGCGGCGAGGTTCCCTTCGGAGGAGGAGGCGTCGGCGTAGGATAGAGTGGCGTGGCAGAGTTTGTCTGAATCGCAGGAAGCGGGTATGAGGAAGTCTCGGGTCCGGGTACGGCAAGTGGGCGAGGAACAGGGGACTGGGGAATAAGAGGAGGAACGGGTCGGGTCGAAGTTGTTTACCGGGTTTGGGTTTGAGGAACGGTTGCAGCGAAGCCAGGAGAGTTCGCTGCCAGTGTCAATGACCATGGAGATGTTTTGAGGAGGAGTTCCGACGGTGAGAGTAACGGTGAGAGTGACGTTGTGGTGGAAATGGAGTTTGTCGGTGGGTCGATGATCCATTGGAGTTATTCGGGTCTTTAGAGGCAGAACAAGTGTTTGTGAAGAAGAAGAAGAAGAAGAAGAAGAAGAAGAGAAACATCTATGTGTTCTAATGAAAAGAATGAGAAGAATAAGAAGATGAAACAGAGGATGTAATCTTGAGGACATGATGATGTTATTGTGAGTTTGTGTTTCTTGCAAGAAAAATATAAAAACTAAGTCTGTGTCTGTGAATAAGAAGAAGAAGAAGATGCGAAGAAGTTTGGTGCAAGTTCACTGAAGAACAATGAGAGATGTTTGTTCTTTTCAGCTGGAAAAATATCTCTGTTTTGTTTTATTTTTCTTCCATGAAAATAACATATACTACAAACTTTTTCATTAATTGTTATAGGATTAAATATAAATAGCTTTCAAATAATATTCTGCAAAATAGCTATCTATCACTGTCATAATTTAATTTTCTTATATTGAAATTATGTCTTTGAAATCCGAATTTCCTTTTATTGTTTGAATTATTTTAGTTTTAGTAATTATGAAACAAACGTATGTTGGTTATGAATAATTAGTTATTTTTGGTTGATAAATGAAAAGTTAATATGCAAGAGTACGACACTGCTGAACACATATGAGATGAACTAATCAACAAAATTTGAATAGCTTAACAGTTCAGTCTGATTCCCTAATTTTAAATGTGTGGGTTGTACAGTGGAAGGCTCTGAACCCTAGGCAAATAATAATTAAGGGAATGATTTTTAATAGTATTTAATCTCTTCATTAAGGCTGAGTTCTGCTATTAAACTCATGAATTTAAGCTTACACTACTGTTTTTTTTTTTTTAAGCATGTGTGTTTACCTTGGTTTTGTCAATGGATTTGCCATGGAAGTTTGGACGGTGCACATATTTTAGAGAGAAAACAAAAAACAGAGATCGACCCATTTACATATACTCCAACAGTCCAATGTTTTCTCCATATTTTTTACTTTTCTAATCATTAGTTCAACACTTCTTTATATCAACGGCTTGTAATAGTAATACATTGCATTTGATAAGGGTTTGGATCCCATGTTAAGATGTTAAACTTTTCGGTTAATCATTATACTCACCTTTTCCCAAAACCCTTTCGAAACAAATAATGAATCTACTAAATAAAGAATAAACGAGCTGTAAGATGAACTAATGAAACTATATGTTTACTTTTTGGGAAAATGGAATAAAAACGATGGAAAGAAAGAAGAAGAAAAGAGAATAAGAGATTAAAGATGTGACAATCACATGGAAATGGACTTTTGAAATGGGGAAGTATGGTTGCACATGTTGGTTGCCTTGCTGTTTTTAGGACAAAGCCCCCATCATTTATGAGTTGGGTCCATTTCTATTGAGTCCTGCTCCAAATCAGGATACCTTCACTTACCAATCAATACTGTCAACTTCTTATCACTTGCCCACTAGGTTGCTCGTGTGACACATTTGCTTTCATTTCACAATGTTGTAGGGGTTCTATATTGTACTATGCAATTATCGCATATGATAGATATCTATATATAGGTTTAATTATTCTAGTTGTGGTCAGTGTTAAAGTGTCATTAGTGGCTAACCACAAAGACTAGTGGTCAGTGGTCTTAAGTTTTAGAGAGAATATTGATGATTGCAGTTTGGCAGGACCAATCATTTCATTGAATAACGTATATTAAGTTTTTGTTAAATCAAAACCAGAATACAAATGAAAGATACATTTTGTGACAAATTCTAAGTTCAAACGGCGGGGGACTATCTTTGGTATAATCTCAATATGTTTTCTAAAATCATGGCATTTGACTAGCTAATCTTGAGATAGCCGAGTAAGTACCACAACAACCACTCACCAAACCAAAGAGTATAATGAACATGCATAATCCAATCTGAACAAATGAACCACACAGAGAAAAATAAAACGATTAAACTTTAGGTTCCAAGAGAATATATTTGCATTTAGGCTATATATAGCGGATATGTGCTTACTTGTGTGTTGCTTAATTTACCCTTGAGAATACTGAGATAACAAAGACATGGAAAGATGAGAGCCTGCAACAACAACAAAATATTGTCAGTGGGTTTGATCAATATTTTTTATTACAGTTTAATCTTGAGATGGAAGAACTTACCACTAGCATTGCGAGGAACGATCCGATCAGTGCTGCCACGATCGCTGTAATAGAGAATATATGATTAGAGAAGCTATGGTGAGATGTGTTTCTTGCATAGGAAGTTAGGGCTACTGTCTTGGTAAATAGGTTACTTTCTTGGGAAGTTAAAAAGAAAAACAGGGGATCAGAGATACATAGACGTTACCGAAGAAAGGAACTGAAAGTGCAACCACCAGAGTAGAGGTAACTAGGATTGTTCTGAATAATATCGATACACCATGTGATCTCATCTTAGCCGTTGGAATAAGCTCTTCGAGACTCATAACGATTGGGGTGATGGTTAAAGCGTATTTGGTCATTGGTGTAATAACCTAAGAGATTGTAGAAAATCAATTTCTGGTCATACTAGTATAACTATGTTCAGAGAATATAAGAGAATGTTGTATTTTACCGCTGTCCAGACTGCGACTTTAGATGGAAAGAAGTGTTTAGGCATGTTTAATGTGAACTGTGATTCGACCGCTTCGCCAAACATGGTGTAGCCGCAGACCGCAACAGCTATGTACAATGATGTGCAGAAACTAAAGCTGCATAAGAAAAAGGACAGCAACGGAGCAAGTCTATTAGGGGACATAAGCAAAACATGTAAGGAGAGGTTTTGTAGCTGGAACTTACCAGATGACTAAGACGAGAGGAAACTTTGAAGGGTCTTTCATGGAAGAGTAGATGTTAGGAAAAACAGAATGACCCGAGTAACCAAAACCAAAAATTCCTATAACGACAGGTAAGTTACTGAAGTCAAAAACTTTTCCTGTAGCATGAAACCCGATTCCATCGACCGCACCAACCCAGAAGAGGCAGAGACCGAGCAAGATTGACGCCAAGACTCCACCAACTAGATTATAGAGTTTCAAAACCATAAGACAAGGGTGCATTAGACTTAGCCAATCGAGGAGATAAGTTAACACAGAGATTTTAGTGGGAAAGACACCAAACCTGAAAGGTAAGAAAGCAAGCTAAGATCTTTAAGCCAGACTGTTGGGAGAACAAGAAGAGTGGTTAAGATTGCAAAGACCTGAGGAGAATCTAAAGATATCCCTGAAGCAATGCTGAATGAAATGTTTGGGAATAGTCCTGATAAGTTATCACTCATCATGATTATGTATTCCACACAAGCTGCCTATTTATGGAAAAAACAAAGTTACAATTAACAAAACAGTTAATGGAAGCTGTTCTCAGACGACGCATACAGAGTATTCAAACTTACGTACAACTCCACGTACAGAAGAATCTGCAATTCAAGAAACAGAACACGAACCTAATTCTTCAGTGATCAAGAAAGAGAATATATGATGGGATTTTTGGGTAAATGGATCTGAAACTTACGGAGATGATTAAGCGACCGGTGATTCCAAAGGCGGCTTGACCTATATCGGGGTAAGTTTGAAGGCCAGGAGAACTTTCTAGACATCTCTTCATGAGAACACCTGTGTAGCAAGTGATGACTCCGAAGAACAAGAGTATGATCAGACCAAGCCATCCACTTTCTTTTATCGCATAAGGCATTGTTATTAACCCTAATCCGCACAGAACATTGGTTCCTGCAAATAACAATGATGCGAAAACGTGATTCTACTAATTTATCTAACATAATCACAGCATTCATCAAGTTCTACAGAGCAATCAATCAAGAGTTATTTACCGTTGAGGACGGATTGAGAGAAGGAGCAGAGATTAGTCTCCGGTGATGGAAGATCGGTGACGGAGAGCTTGAGCTGAGATGAAGGTTTGAAGGGTAAGATGGTTTCGTCTTTGTCAGAAACTGGTTGAGGGAGAAGTGGTTTGCTTGAAGAAGACGAAAACGAATCGGAAAACGAAGATTGCTGTTGCTTCTTCTGAAAGGAAGAGAATAATCTCCGGGAACTGCTTCGAGGCATGAAACTTACGGAAGGTGGAGTCATTCCGGACAACAGATCCATCGATTGTCTGAAACAAATTCATCTGAAAAATGTCTCAACTTTTGTAACCCTAGAGAATTGGAAACTGAATAAAAACAGAGGAAATCGATTGATGAATTTATATTACCGATAGCTTTGTGGCCACGGAGGATTAGAGGCGTCGGAGAGATTATTATCGGAACGGTCTCGAGATAACGGAGAGGAGGAATCAGAATTCGCTCCGCCTCTACGATACTCACCGTCTCCTCCGTCGTGTTCATCGTCGGAACAAGCAAGCTCTGCTTGGTTTTCCTCGTCATCTGTAAGAAACGAATGGTCTCTGTCGTGTAAGAATTCTTCGTCGAGTTTCATCTTCCTCTTTTCTTTTCTTTTTTTCTCAGAACTCAGAAGAAACGTAGAAGAAAAGTGCAGAGAGAGAGAGAAGGAGAGAGATAGACGGGGGAATGATGAGTTTTTGTTACTCCGGCGAGTCAAAGAGATTTCTTCTATATATGGAAACCATATCAATGTTTTAATGCTTTTTTTTTATATATTTGTTTCCATTTTGTTTTGTTTTGTTTTTTTTAATTGCGGTGTAGATTTGATACAGATAATTTTAGGATTCTTCGTATTCTACGAACTTCTCTGTTGACTACCTTCCAAAAACTGTATGATATCTAGATCTACGACACCCACAGTCCCAATTTCAAAATATTCCCTTTTACTTTATTTGGTTTTAAGGATTCATAAAAGAAAAAAGTTCTACATCGGTCACCAATGTTTTTTATTTTATTTATTTAGTATGATTATCGTCTATACTATTTCTTTTTTATATCTATACTATTAATTGGTAAGGATAACTTGAAGCCAAACACCCCCAAATTTTTTTAAAAAATTTCATGAAATATATTTCATTTGCCAAACAGAATTAATGACAGCAAATTTTTTTTTTTAATAAACAAAATAATAATAACAGAAACTATCTATATTTATGGATCATATTAATTTTGTTGCCAAAAAAATGGACAATTAAATTCAAAAATTTCCATATATAACATATTTAAAATTTTGAGATATTTTTCTAAAAATAATTTAATATTTAAAGAAATCTAATTTATAGTATTTTTTATTTGGTTTAATGGTTTTATTCAAATAGTTTATGTTATTTGTATTTTTATAACTCTTATGATATGATAATATATTTATTTTGCGTTACAAAAATCATCATATATATTTTTATTTTAAATTGATATTTTAGGAAAAATAGAAAGAAAAATAAATATGTTATTTATTTTACAATAGCATAAAATAAGGAGAAATATTCAACAAAATTGATATTATCTTAAACATTTTAAAAATAATAAAATCTTAAATAAATAACTAAAAAGTTTAAATAAAAAAAATCTTTAAAAATCAGTAATAAAAATTTGTTTTCAAAAATCAATCGAATTAATATTTTGTATCACATACAATTTCTTATATTCACATTTAAAATTTTCATATTGATTTTTTTTAAAAAAATATAGCACAAAAGATATTTATATATTTCTTTGAAATAAGATAAAAAACCAAAATATATCATGTGACCAAAAATAAAATCGTAAAATAAACATTCCTTATTATTAACATCAATTTAATAATATATTAACTCCCCAGTTTCCCTGGATATTAACTAATATGCAATTAGCATTTAATAATTTTAAGAAATTTCAGGAAATCATACCACACGATTATTATATTTTCATATAATATAACATTGTCAATCCACAAAAATAATTAAACAGTTAATGTATGCTACAAATAAATAAATAAATAAAATCAAAACATTATGATTAAAAATGGAATAAATTAGTTATTTGAATTTCCATTACTTAGTAAAATATTTAATATATATTTTATTCAATAGATTCATTTCTTTTTGAAGATTTAAACGGATATAAGTTCGTAGTTTATAAATGTGACTCTTTGCTTACATTTCTTCAACAGGCTATATGTTTCTACAACCTAATAATTAACGGTATTTGTTTTTTAAATGTTGTTAATTAGATGAAATATAATGTTGTTTAAAAAAAAATATGTAAATGATGCCATTTATTAAAAAAATATATACATAATTTTATCTTAGAAGGAAAGAACGGGTATAAAAAGAAAACGGGTAATTCAAAAAAAAAATGTATAACTTTTTCTTATTAAAAACAAGACGATATAAAAAATTTGAAAACTTAAATTCAATATCAAATTACGTGTATGATACATGAATATGAAACTTAACTAGCAAAATTAAGTTTTTCAAATTACTTAAATATTTCAGATATCAGGACAAGAAATAACAGATACAGAAAGAGAATGGGTAATTTAATTAATTAATTAAAAGCTATATAATGATGTTTTTTTAAAAAATGTAAATGATCTCATTTATATAAAAAATATATGATCATATCTTAGAGGGAAAATACGGGTAGAAAATGGGAACTGGTAATTCTAAAAAAAAAATTATCTAAATTATTTCTCATAAGAAAAAGGACGATATAAAAAATTTGGAAACTTAAATTCCAATTCAAATTTCAAATATCAAATGACGCGTATGATACAAATATATGAAATTTAAATAGCAAAAAGTAAGTTTTAAATTACTTAATTATTTCAAATATCGGGAAAAGAAATAACGGATACGGAAAGAGAACAGGTAATTTAATTAGCAAAATATATGATCTTATCTTAGAGAGAAAGAATGGGAACAAAAAGGGAATGGGTAATTAAAAAAAAATAATATCTAAACTATTTCTCATCTAAAACAAGCCGATATAAAAAATTTGGAAATTAAAATTCAATTTTAACTTTCAAATATCAAATGACGGGTATGATACATGAATATGAAATTTTAATAGCAAAAGTAAGTTTCAATTTACTTAAATATTTCAAATATCGGGACAAGAAATAACTGATACGGAAAGGGAACGGGTTATTTAGAAAATAAAAATTATTATATTAACAAATTCTAATAATATACAAAAGAGAATTATGGGTAACGGGCAAGCTGAAAACATACTATTTATTCATGCGGGTGGACCAAAATATTTCACTTTGTTGTAAGACATGCATAGTGAACGGGTTTCACTCTCCTGATATCTATATTTATGTTATTTTATTCAAAAGTTTAAATGTTTTTCATTGGTTTATGTGACATGATAGTTAACAAATTTAATTGATTTCCAACTTATCACTCATTCGGTTCACATATTGGAAACTTGATGATAAATTAAGTTTTTGCAACCAACCCCGCACGTACGTGCGGGTCCATCCCTAGTACTAACTTAAAAACTAGTTTGATCAGTTTGATGTTGATAATACTAAATTGAAATATAAAAACTACAAAGATTTTTATTTTAATGAAAACAATACTGTTTGATTAAAACCGGTTTCCAGTCAAGATCTCCCATCCGGTTTAGTCAGCAGCAAAACCAATCAGGTCATCTCGTCGATTAATCTGGCAATAGCAGAGTAAGTCCCGCAGCAACCGCTCACAACGCCGATTATGATGATTAATATGCAAACTCCAATCTGAAAAACCAAACTCTTTTCAATCAGATTTTTTTGTGATAATAAAATCTGAAGTAAAAAAATAAAAAATAAGGTTTTTAAAACTTACTTGGAAGTTAGTTAATCTATCCTTCATAATACTGAGATAACAGAGACATGGGAATATTAACGCCTGAAAAGACCAAAACCCACAAATCGTCTAGAACTTGTTTTTTGATTGTTTATTTCCGAATTAATGGGCAATTATAATCATTTGTTGTTGGAGACTTACGATAAGCATTGCGATGAAAGATCCAATCAAAGCCGCCACAGTAGCTGCAATAAACATTGTTACGTTAACGTTAGTCAATTTGGCCACATGCATGTTATTATTTTCTGGAAAGGGGTGTCTTGAGAAAAACGTTACCGAAGAATGGGACTGTGAGTGCGACGACCAATGTAGAGAGAACTAAGATGGTTCTAAAAAGCATAGAGAAACCTTTGGATCTCATCTTTCTTGACGATGACGGTATGAGTTCTTCTAGGCTTAGCATGACTGGAGTGATTGTTAATGCGTATTTCGTCATTGGCGTAACGACCTAATCATAAAAAATGCGAAAGGAACTCAAGAAAAAATATCATGAACATAATGTGAATAAGATAAAGAGTTTTTTTTCGATTGTAAGACTATCTCACCGCCGTCCAGACTGCGATTTTAGATGAGGTGAATTGTTGAGGCATGTTCAATGTAAATTGGGATTGAATTGCGTCACCAAACATGGTGTATCCACAAACTGCTACGGCGATGTAGAACAGAGTGCAAAACGCAAAACTGCATAATCGCATGGAGAAGGGATGATAATTAGAACCTTGAACGATTCTTGCAATACAAGAAAAATGCTTTTACCTGATGAGAAGCACCATAGGGAACTTGGAAGGTTCTTTCATGGATGAATAAATGTTGGGGAAAACAGAGTGACTCCCAAAACCAAACCCGTAAATTCCGATTGCGACAGGCATGTTAGTTAAATCAAGAGCTTTTCCGGTTAGGTGAAATCCAACTCCGTCAACTGATCCAGCCCAAAAGAGGCAAAGCGCAAGCAAGATTGAAGAGAAGACACCTCCGGCTAAAGATTGAATAAATCTCTTAAGAACTAAAGAGATCAAAACTCAGATATTATTGTGCAAATTACGAGATGGAAACCTGAGAGATAGGACAATAAGCTGAGGTCTTTGAGCCAAACAGTCGGAAGAACAATAAGAGTTGTGGTAATGGCGAAAATCTGATGAGAGTCTAGGGATAATCCGGTGATGTATATGGAGGTGTTTGGGAACATCCCTGACAAATTATCACTCATCATGATGATGTATTCCACACAAGATGCCTACAAAAACACAAAACTTTTTCAAAGTTAGGATCTTTAGATTCTTATGAATTATAAAACATGAAAGAGATCGTTTGGTACTTACGTATAACTCCACATAGAGAAGTATCTGAATAAAGTATTTCCAGAACCAAATTAAGTCAGGATTCACAATTCACACACAGTCAAAGTTGAGATTGATTTGAAAGAAGTAAGGAAAAAAAAAGGCTTACAGAGACAAGGATGCGTCCAGTGGTGCCAAATGCAGCTTGACCAATGTCCGGGTAAGTGTGGATCCCTGGAGAATTCTCGAGACATCTCTTGAGGAGAATACCTGTGTAGAAAGTGATAATGCCAAAGGAGAAGAGTATGAAAAGCCCTAACCATCCTCCTTCTTTCACTGCGTATGGCATTGTAAGTAAAGCTACTCCACATAGAACATTGATTCCTGCAGCATAAAGAGAATGCTAAGACTGACTCTTACATTATCAAATCTATATGTATATGATGAAACACTCTTAATGACAAATTATTAATTACCGTTGAGAACGGATTGAGAGAATGTACAAGTGCCCGTTTCTTGGGGAGTTAAAAGATCCCCCGGGACTGATAACTGAAGATGAGAAGCAATAAATGATTTGATAGATGTAGCAGCAGAGTTTTGGATCTCATCTTTCTCGATGAGAAGCTGCTGTTTGCTCAGTGATGAAGTAAATGAACCGAAAACAGAGCTTGGTCGTCTCTGGCGAAATGAAGAGACAAAACTTGTACTGGTCGGAGGAGGTGTAACTCCGGTCAACAAATCCATAGATTGTCTGAAGATATCCACAGGGAAGTTGCAAAACAAAAATATTAGCATTAAAGAATCGTTTCTTCAGATCCCTAAAAAAAAGAAAAAACAGAGCAATTTTTTTTGTCCATAAGTGGGTTACCGGTAACTTCGCGGCCACGGAACGGGAGTGTAATCGGAGCCGTTACGAGAAAATGGAGTTGACGTAACAGAGCTCTCGGTTTGGCTTTCTTCGTCTTCTTCATCTGTATGATACAAATCTTCCCTTTCTTGATCGAATGTCTCGTTTTGCTTCATCTGCTTTGTATTCTATTGTCTCTGTTTTAACAACTAACACAAAGTCGAAGAAGAAGAAGAAGAAGGAGGAATTGGGAAGAAGAAAACAGAGGACGCAACGAAACGTGTTCCAAATTATTGTCACGTTTCTCTATCTTTTTTAATTGGCACGTCTCCCTTGCATATGATGCTGTCTCCGGGTTTTTTAGTTTCAATTTTTTATTTTTATTTTACCAAAAGAATATACCAAAATCAGATTTAAGGATCCATAACTTTTAAATACAATAATTATTACATAAACCATACTATGATTATTACATAAATGACAAAAATGAATATTATAACATATAAGTGTTAAAAAAAAAGAATATTATAGCATATAATTTGAAATATCATGTAAATTTGAGTAAAGGAATTTGACTGGAAAGATATGACAATGTAGATAAAACAGTAATTAAGGTTTAAAAAACAAAATAAAAAATAGATATTTCAGTTTATAGTTATAGTTAGATTGTTTGTATTTGTAATCATAAAATGAATTAATACTGTCTCACTTAGAAGCCACGTGATGGAAGTAAAGCTAAATATTTTAGAACGTCAAATTATTGTGGATCTTTAATTTAGTGTCGTTAATTTTTTTTTTTTGAAAGAAGGTTATTAATTAAGGTTCATCAACTTTTTAAAAGGAATTAAAGGAATATATTATACTCTCACGCACGCGCACAGTTTATCTATAAATCATTTTTGTTCCGATATAAACTAATATATTTGTTTTTGGAAAGAATTATTATTACAAACGTTTCTGGCGAGGTTATTTTTATAAAACGGAACAAAGAAAATAAAACACGTAATGGAGAATTAAGTAATGCATGTGATGTAAGAAGTAAAGAAGTCAATGACAGTCGGTCAATAATTCAATTGGCCATTAAATGTATCTGTCGGGACTAAATAAGAATTTGCCCTGTTCATATAATATTTTGACTGTAAAACAGAGTTTGGAAACAAACCCAAAACCTGAAACAGAGAGAAGAAGGAGAAGAAGAATGGAAAACACAGACTCACAGAAGATTTCTTATATCACAAGAAACTTATAACAACAAAAGCAAGCATTTAAGCAATTAAGCAAAACCATTGATCATTCATTCCAAGCTATCTTCTCGGGAACAACTGAATAATCTCTTACTGTATAGAGTATTACAGAGAAGACGATCGAGGAATGAAGACGAGTTTTTTTTTTCTCTTTACATACATTAAAAGATAGAAATATACAGAATTTATGATTTGTCAATCTGGTTAAGCTTTCCGAGTCCATTGCAGTTTGCGCAAACGATCTGAGGAAGATCCTTGCGTGCCGCATTTGCCCTCAGAGTGGCTCCTCCCTTCCTCACAAACCCTGCTCCGTCACATTCCGGACACCTAAATCCCAACACCAAACATTTTCAGAGAGCTTCACAATGTTATAGGATCTTTCTTTCGGTTTACACTACATCGGTTCTATAGACTATAGATGTTTTCAATCAGGCAAACCAAAATCCATAACAGAGGATTTACTTCGGTTTATTCAGAATCAGTCTGGTTAAACTAAAGTAATCTAAATGTTGAACCGGACAATTAATCAAAGAAGCTGAGTCCCAATTTGGGTTCACAAGCATCAAAACCGGTTTAATTTAAAAAGCAAGATAAAAAAAAATGATGAGAGTGGTTTACGTGTCTTGGCGTTTGAAGATGATCGGGAATGCAGTTCCGACGAGAGCGACGGCGATGGCTCCGCCGATCAAGTATATCGTTCCGTCGGCTGAGACATCACCGACGGCTGCCACAACTACGGATGAAGAAGACGATCTCTTGTTTTTGGGAAGAATCACATTGTTCGGTCCCCACGAGGAAGAAGAAGAAGGTCTCGCTTGTTTCAGAAAGCTCGTTGATGACACGAACGTCGTCTGCATTGCCGGTGCCATCGCCATGATTTCAGGGTTTATAAAGTTTAAGTGATTTCGATTTGGGAGAAGTATTAAATAAGATGTGATTTTGATTTATGGTAAGCTTTATTTGAATCTGGATTTGGTTCGTGACGTGTCACTCTCTCGAAGTGGATAACGTTTTCAAGTTAGATTTTTGGGGTCTTCTTCAGTTCGATTTTGTGTGTGTGGATAAGGTGGGAGCCCCCTCAAGATATTTCGAGTATATTGGGCCTCTTGAAAGCCCATTATGATCCGAAACTATATATGGATCTTTAAGGCCCAATCTGTTTGCGTCATTGTCTCCGGCTTGACAGAGAGTCTCTAATTCGTTGCTGAGTTCAATGGCTAAAGAAGGACCTAACTGGGACGGTCTGCTTAAATGGAGTCTCTCTCACTCCGATGGTACTCGGCCTACTCGTCAGTTAAGGTACGATGTTCTTTGTAGTTTCGCTAAACTCTCTTGTGTTTGTTGTGTTGTCTCATGTCTGTGTGGTTCTGTGTCAGTTTCTGATGAGGATATGAATCATGTATTGGAATTTGAGTTTTTGGGTTCGTGTAAATTAGGGTTTCTTTGCAAGCTTATTAGTTCTGAAATTAAAGTGTCAACTGTTCCAAGTTAGATTTATCCAAGTTCCAAACTTTTCCTGTGTTCCCACATTATATAATGAATCGTTTGGTTAGCTTGAATATAAACCGTTTCAGTATAGTGGTGGATGGTTTTTGATGATTTGAATTTTACTTTTTTGTGAGACAGTGAGGAGGATCGAAAATGGTTTGCAGAGGCTATGCAATCACAAACCGTAGATGTAGTCAAGCGGTTGAAGGAGATTACACAAGTAATGCAGACACCTCAACAAGTTTTAGAAGCTCACGGTGTAACCCTTCAAGATATCCAAGGTGGAAAATCTAATTCATGATTGCTTTCTTAGCTAATTCTCTCTTGTTGCTTACTAAAATTTGAATTATGATGATTTGGTAGATCTGCTGGATGAGCTGCAGGAACATGTTGAATCGATCGATTTGGCCAATGGTGAATCTTTTCATACTTTTCCTTTTTTATTTTTGGTATCTCTCTTTTGATTGCTTGATGTAACATTTTCTTCTTTGAATGTATGGACAGATCTTCATTCCATTGGAGGCTTGGTACCTCTTCTTGACTACCTCAAAAACCCCAATGCTAATATCCGGGCTAAGTCTGCAGATGTCATAAGCACCATAGTTGAGAACAATCCTCGAAGTCAAGAATCGGTTATCAAAGCCAATGGTTTAGAGTCCTTGCTATTGAACTTCACTTCAGACACTGATATGCATTCAAGGACACAGGCGCTCGGTGCAATATCATGTAAGCTGGTTTGAGTTCTAATAAGTTTAGCTAATCAAAAACCTCTCTTTTTTCTATATAGACTTGGTTTATGGTGAATCTGATGATTTAATTATGATTTACTTCTTTTGCTTGGAGCAGCTTTGATTCGCAATAATCAAACAGGGATCACGGGTTTCCGGATTGCAAATGGTTACACTGGATTAAAATATGCTTTAGAGTCTGATAGTGTGAGATTTCAAAGGTAAATCATTCTCTGCACTTTACTTAATATTCAAATTCTACCGAACTTCGAAAAAACACAAAGTTTTATGCTGTTGCATAACTTTCAAAAACTGTTGTCATTGGTTTCTCATTCTTCAGGAAAGCTTTAAACTTGTTGCATTATCTTCTGCAAGAGAATGGCTTAGACTCTGATATTGCTATACAACTCGGGTTCCACCATTTGATGATGCACCTCGTGTCTAGCATTGATGCTGATGTAAGAGAAGCTGCTCTTCGAGGACTGCTTAAGCTCACGGAAGCTAGAAAAGAGTGTAGTACTTGTGGTTCTATCATAGAGAAAGGCGACGAGAAACTGCGACAGATTCTAGAAGATCGGATTAAAGGAATCAGCTTAATGTCACAAGAAGATCTCTCAGCAGCTAAAGAGGAGAGAGAGCTCTTAAATTCACTGTGGATCACATTCTATAACGAACCTTCTACTCTTTAGAGACAAAGGCTCTTTGTTCTTCCTTTTATAGTAAGCTCTAAAATCGTCTTTTATGTCCGGTTTGAGAGAAATCGTGAATCAAACCGACCCACCAGCTAGAGCTTGTGTCTTTAGAACACTAGTGAAGGATGGTTTACCATTTTTATTCAGTTTCCAGTTCAAATTTTCCCACTTTCTCATTCAGTCACCTAAAAACCAGACCGTACATTACCAAATCAAGCAAACTGCATGGTAAACATGAAGACAACAAACCCCAAAAACAATCAAATCCTCTCACTTTGGCGGACAGAAAGTGATAACATAACGAGAAGCCCTACACTTATTCAAACTACTCGAGTCATCGAACGCATAACTATAAGCTTTCGGACAAATCGCTTTAAACAGGTTGGCGAACAGAGTCGGCTTACAAGCCTTAGGATTGGCATATTCTCCGGTACAACAGTACTTGGCCGATTGCATCGCCAAGCAAGCACTTTTACAACCAACCACTTTACCGTCTCTCTTAACTTCCAAAGCCGAAGGACAGCAAACATTCAGATTAACTTCACAAGCCGCAACGCCACAACCAACTCCACCGCCGATTGGTTTCATCGATACCGGAAGGTTGAACCCGTCGACTAGACTCACGTCGTAGAAATGTAGCGGCGAAGAAGATGAGCCTAATGTCATTTCCACGACGGTCGCTGGTGGTACACCGCCGGTTCCTTGGCAATTGATTGAACCGCCGTTGCAATCTCCGGTTTGGCATGAGCCTTTGCCGTTTTGGTTAAAGGTGCAGCCTTGTCGACCCCAGATTCGACCGGACCATTTATCCGGTACGTCGATTATGGTTTCTTCGCCGCTTCCCATGTGGAAACCGCCGTTTCTCGGCGTGATTTGACCTCCGCCGCCGAGAATTCCCGGCCATATGCTCTCCTGGCAGTTATTCACTATTATAAGCTGAGCTCCATCTGCAAAAACATATGTAAAGACACCATTTTTACAAAATTTGACAAACACACATTCAGGAGAAATATTCAAAACAAAAAATATAGATGCTATTTTATGCATTTTAACATTAAAAATGAAAATTGAAGCGAACCAATTTGTATATCGTACCAATGAAAGAGGAGGATAAGAAGGCTGAGATAGTGAGAAAGAGAAGGAAGAGAGTTGCATAATTGGCCATTGTTGTTGTGTGGGGATGGATATGTCACGCTCTAAAGTTTGCTTTTTTTTTGGTAAATTTCAAGAGAATATTAATAGAGGAATATGGAGGACGTTGTGGTTGATTGAGGAAGTAGTGGAAACTTGAGTTGCAAGACTAATTGGTAGTGTGGTGAAGTGGTTTGTTGTATAGGGAACTGCCAAGCCTTTTATAATCTCAAGTCTTTCATGGGATTAGTGGGAAAGAGAAAGATATGGAGTCTTGATTGTGAGCCTTCTATAAAGATCTATTTTTTTTTTACTTTTTCGTTTTTAAGAATGGGTTAAAGTGGGGAGTAAAAAGATAAAGAGAAAGATTCACATGTCTCTCAACTTTTATTATTGGATAAAGATTTAACACTCACTGGTTACTTCATCATTTCTGATATTATAAAGTATGTTTATGACCATAAACTTCAAATACTTGCTAGTATGTCCCAACATTTTCTACCTTTTGCGATGACCTTTTTCACTTTGTAGATCAAATCAGCAAAGAGCATATATGCATTGCTTCAATGAGAGGATTTGCTTTGTTTTAAAACAAAGGCTATTTTTGCACATCATTACGTTCTCTTTTTTAAATTTTAATGTTCTTATTAATTTTTGAAAATGTAATAATACAGATTGAAGCCAAGAATGTCACTAGACCCTAGCTCTAGACTCACTCTTTAATACCAAACAAATGGGGAGGTTGAAGTTTTCGGTGGACAGGTATCTAATCTTGCAAGAGATTAACAAAAAGCTACAAAAATAATGAACATTGGTTATCACTAGACCGGAATCAATTAATTCAAACCAAAATTAAAATTAAACCGACTGACATTGGCCAACCAATTGTAACAACGGCGAGGAAGAGCTCCGAAGTTTTCCGAAGTCTTCCTTCCATAAATCCTTTCTTCTTCTGAGAAAAAAAGATAAAAAAGAAGCAAATTAATCGAATATGATTCGCGCGGCTGCCAAATTATCAAGAGCAGCAGCAGCTGCAACGGCTCGTGTTCGATACTCGACGCCACTGAGATTGATTCACGGTGAAATCAGTGTTCCAAACGCCAATCATGTTGCTATTCAGATGGTTAATTACGCTCTGTCTCATGCTAGGTCACAAAAATCAGGTCTTTCTCTATATTAACATAGGTTTAGTTTTATTTCTATCATCGGATATTTTAGGTGCTTTGAACCTTAGCTTCTGTCTGATTTCGAAATGGGTCTCTGTGCGAATTCTGAATTTGCAGATGAATCTTATTCCCAAGGGATGCTAGTGCTTGAACAATGCCTTGGGAATCAACTGAATGATGATCAGGTTTCTCAAGATTCTAAAGCAACAGTCTTGCTTGCCATGTCTGATCTTTTATACGAAAGGTTTCATCTTTTGTAACCTTTTCTCTCTTCTTTTTGTCTCTCATTTGGAAGCTCTCCATTCTATAATTTCTAGTTCTGGTTTTATATGTTTACAGTGGGAACAGTAGTGGGGCCATTGAACGTCTCAAGCAAGTCATGACTCTGACACACTCTTCGTTGGCTATTAGAGGTTTTTTGTTGTGAACTTGAACTTTTTGCTATGTAGTCTTAGAGTTGTTCTGTAAATATTGTGTGCTTTTCTATGTCTAAAAGTTTCTTTTATTGAGCAGTTGCTGCTGTGGAAGCCCTTGTTGGTCTGCTGATTCAGTCAGGACAGGTTCAAATCCGAACAGTGCTACTATGTTTATGTGTGTCTATATTTAGGAACTTGCATTAGAGATTTGATTATGTTTTTCCTGTTTAGGATGATGCTTCATTGGATGTTGCTGCCGAATTTCTGGAATTGGTTAAAGAGAGTGGCTATGAAAATCCTCAAGATATGGTTGCTGCAGCTAAAGCTATTAAAGGCCTCGCTGAGCTTGTGAAAGGAAATATAGAATCAGGTAGAGAAACAAGCCTCAACCTTTCTTCAATGTGTTTTTACTCCGCAGTAAGTTTGTGTATAGTTTAATGGTAAGGTATTTGGATGCAGCTGAATCTTTATTTCGAGGACTAGAGAATCATGAAAGCTGCAACGGTACACACTAGTATTTTTCTGTTAATCTGGAGATAGCCCTGTATTTTATATGGGGAAACCTGATTTATGGGCCCTCTTAATAACTACATTAAAAACAGGTAACATTGCACTTTCTTATGGTGAATTCTTGCACGCCACCGGAAACTTTGAAATGGCAAAGGAGATATATCAAAAGGCAATTCAAGGAGTTACAGAGAGCAAAGAATCTATGTGCTCTTGTAACATGAATTTGAAGGCAGTCTCGCTGGCAGCCACATTTTCTCTGGGTCAGCTCGAGTCACACATTGGGTATGCTTTGAGTTTGTGCATACAGGATTCATGTGATTTTTGTTTGTTTATATCATTAATCCCTGTTTGTGTTTCCTTTTGTTAGTAACTTTGATGTTGCTGAGAAGACACTGACACAAGCATTGTCAATCGCTGAGGAATATTATGGTACTGTGTAGTGCGGTTTTTTGGTCATCAACTCTCAATGATCAGAGCATCAGACTAACAGGTTCCCGCTTTTATCATCCTTTGATCAGGAGACAAGCATCCTAAGGTTGGTGTGGTATTAACAGCTGTGACACTGATGTACGGTAACAAAGCAAGGCAAGAACGCTCGAGTTCTATCCTGATTCAAGAGGTCAGAAACGAGTTTATTTAAACTCGAATAACTTTGCAAATTTCTCATCTTACACCTATTCTGCTTTCATCTCAGGGACTCTTCAGAAGGGCGTTGGAGCTCATGAAAGCACCTCCACTGGATTCAGAAGGTACTTACAGACATTTACTTGGTACATTATCGAGACAAAGACATTTTCACTGACAATTTTCTCTGTATTCTATAGGTATAATAAACATGGAAAACCAAGAAGTAATAGCTCTAGCAAGAGGTAAGCTTGAGCCCGTTTGCTTTCGGAAAAAAAACGATTGTCAAAATTAGCTAAAAATATTGTTGGCCATTTTGATTGTGCAGGCGGGTATGCAGAGCTACTACTGATCCAAGAGAACAGAAGAAGGGAAGGAGAAAAAATGAAATCATGGGCTGAATCCGCGTGGAGAAACAGACGCATCTCTCTCTCAGAAGCATTAGGTAAAGCAGGAATCATAGATGCTCGCATCACTCGTGTACTCTAAAATCCCTATAGGCTATAGCTGTAGTGGTTGTGAAAAATCTCAAAAGATTCAAATTTTCATAAACAAATTTTACATTTTCATAAGATGTTTTTGTGGGGAAGAACACAGACTACATTATAGAGGAAGATCAAGTCCTTTCCCAATCTCTACACCAATCAGCTCGAGTATTCCTTTGTTCAGAATCTGTAAAGGAAAGTATAATGATGTTTCAATTTTGGTTTTGGTTTCTTTCGTAGCATAATTCACCCGCAAAAGAACTAAACCAACTCACCAGTTCGACAATGAAAGTACCGATGAGACCAATCATGCAAGCTCTTGAGTTCCAAATCTCAGCTGTTTGTGTGAATCCAAGAAACGCAGGTTGAGATTTGGGTTGTACTTTTGGAACGACAACCTACGAAAACAATTTTATTTTACCACTGATTCAACCATATAGCAATCTTTTAATTATTGCATAAAAAAATCGAATTTTTTTTATACCCCTTCTGGGAGTTTTGCGGCTCGGACCACGAAAGACTGTTGCTTCCGACTGAAACAAAAATTCTCCCTCCGGCCATAGGTTTGCGCGGACAAGGTCGAAAGTGGATGAAAGAGAGACGATGATAACGTCGAGGAGCTCATTTTTTTTCTTTTCAAAACGATAACTCAATTTTTCTTCTTCTAACAAATTGATCGCTTTTTCTTCAGAATACATAATCTGCGCTTGTGGATAAACTGCTCTTTTTCTCTGCACCACTCATATTTTGCCACGTTTTGTAACTTGTAACACATATTGTGTACTAGAGTTCATGGTATATATATTAAATAATATTTGAACCAAAAAAAAAAAAAAATCTAATAATAATGATAATTTTTTTATTTCTGTATCTACAATTAAAAAAAAAATTGTACCAATTGGTTTGTTAAAATTCCATCGTCGGTTAATAAATAAATAAATATATAGAATATATAAAAATAAAATAGTATTGTATAAGTATATTATTCAACATTACATTACAATTGGGATTAATAATTGTGTATGAGCAACTAAAGATAGACTTGTGATCAATACAAAAAACAAAAGAAGAATGCTACATGTGGTTTTGACATTCATATTGACACTCTTTTTGCCGGACGAAAATTGAAATGGTTGTTTTCTCTTTCTCTCTTCTTGTTATCCGATCGTAAAATTTTGAAAATGGCAGATAGATCTTCAACGTAATAATCATCCTTCACATCTACACTTTGCAACAAACTCAGAAAACTCTTCACTTCAAAAGTTTTCCTTCTCGACCGATCGATGCTACGTGATTTCATCATGTCAACACATTTCACGATATTGTTCTGCGTCGTTACGATATCATAAGAATATACTACATAGTTGGTAAAACCCTTTACTTATTTGCTCTAATGAAAAAAGAAAAATAAATTAAAAACTTATTTTACCTTCTGCTCTAGTGTAAAAAGATCCATTATCTTTCCTCGGAGCCCATTCTCTTCAACGACATTACACATAGCCGCAGCTGCCACAACGCTTGGTGGAAATTGCAACATCTTCAAATCTACATAATCGAGTTAAAACATTGAATTGTTTAAACTTTCGTCACTTTTCTTCCTTCCATTACATTAAACACTTAGAAAGATGAGAAACATCTTCTTCTTACCGCATAAATCATCAAGAAGATGATTTGTTATTCGATTTATCAGCATATGATCGCCTATCACACCGATTTTGGACACAAGGGTTTGAGAAAAGGAGTAAATGGTAACAGAGTTGACACGCCAGTCGAGAGCTTTCAGCATTATGAGTTCCATCTTCAAAACAGTGTTCTGATGAAACATATGATTTAGACCATCCATCTGAAGTTCTTGAAGATACGGACTGGTAACATCGTTGAACTTTGATGCGATCGATAGTGAGGTTAAGGCAACTAGCTCTACCATCCAATTAGTCCATTCCTACGTTTTTTTATTTATATGATAATAAACAATTCATTAAACCGCAAATTTATAGTATTATAGTAACATATACATATGGAAAAAGAATAAAATATATACTTACGTCGCAGCTAGTCAAATAAACGAACCGATCAAAACAATTTGCGGCGGAAAAAACAGTTTCAAAGGAAAGATTTAGCCGACTCTGTGTCTGAGAAAGAACAAGCAAAAATAAACTTTTAGTTTTTCTAAAACAAAATAATTTTAACAAAAGTCTCATACATACTTTAACAGTTTTTTTTTTTCTTTTCAAGAATCCAACATTAATAAAAATTGACTTAGTGGACAACTAAGAAAAATGAAAACGGTTTCAAATCATTTGCAATAATAATTTCAATTAATTTCTGTACGTGGCAAATTATCACATTGGTATGTATTAACAGTTTTCCGGCAAAAAAAAAAACATTTTCTTTACCGTGACAATTATAAGTCGATCTAGAAAGATTTTGTAGGTTGTTATAGGAATCTAAAAGTTATATAGCAAATCTTAAACAAGTCCAAAAGTAAAATAAAGATACCTGAAGTAGCCATTGAACCGCTTGAAACCTAAATTCGGTTAACCCCTTCGAGACGAAGAAGTCAGTAAACTTGTCTCCATGATTACTGAAACATAACTCTTTCTCCAAGTCCACAGAAATGGCTTCTTCCATTGTCGCATCGTCTATCTCCGGATACATCGGCATTACGTTATTGCGGTCGTTGTGAGTACTGTGGCTTGAGTTTGGTAAAGCCTCCGGAGTTAGAGGACTCGCGGGCCATGACTCTTCGCAGAGAAGATTATCCATTTGAAACATGAACCGGTTTGATATAACCGGTGTCAACGTATACTCAACTCTTCACTCTGGGAACAGTGTTTATATGATCAGAGTGAAAAGGTGACGTATATATATGGATGGAGAGAGATAGAGAGAGAGTCGTGGAGAAGAAAATGGGAAGTTATGTAAAGACAGTTAAAAGTTAAAATACGTCGGTTGAATCGTAAGAAGATGCGTCGCTTTATTGAACCGATTTGAGTTATATAAACTCGACCTTATATATATTATAACTTTAGTCTAGGCATATTTATTGATCTACATGCATTTTTCTTTAACATATATTTTGTTCGATTATAAAAATTTAGTGGCGTATCGTGAAGACTTCACATATCGTCATATTACAGTCTATACAATTTTATTTTACTTTATGTATAAAAATGATGTATACATATATCATATATGTGATCGTGTAAGAAAATATTAGATTTGTTACGTAATACTATTGAAGAGTGGAGATATATATAGTTGCGAAGGATATAATAAGAAGACGTCGTCCCACATGAAATGCGGTAAATGCTTTCTACCCAATTTGGTTATATGATTATCTTCTTCATAGAGATTTCATGTTTACCAAAAAAACGTGTAAACAAATAAATGTTTCAGAAACGAACAAAAATTATTTTTAATTTTTTAACCAACCTCGTGAGTCGTGAATAGAGACTGTTTTTAATTTTAACCAACCTCGTGAGTCCACTACCTTTGCGTAATTACCTCATCCACGACAGCTAGCTAATAATAAGTTACTATTTTTGATATATTTTTTTTTTCCTCTTCTTTTGCACCAGCTTCTTCTGATTTCTGTTACCAACCAACTTCGATGTTCTTGTGATTTTAGCTTATCCACTAATAAATGTTTTTTTGTTTTTGTGTTTATATCTAACGACCAATATAGCTTATGCACTAAAACAACTCTTCCTTGTTTTCTCCTATTAGTTGCTTAAGCCCCAAGAAACTTCTCAATTCATATTGCCTTGTTTTTTTTATAGACCTTAAATAGACAGATTATATAGAATCTATGGAAAATACAATGAAACAAAACAAGATCTAAGAATGAAACAAGGAGTACACACCATATGAAAGCACCCCAAAGGTTTAAGCAGAGAGATCCCCGAATTGCCAAGGGTTGAATTGGGTCAACTTCAGGTCGGTGGCATCCTCGTAGTTATCGGCTTCGGCGCGGTGCTCCAAGTACTTTCCATTGAATTGGTAAACTTCGAGATCACCCCATGGTGTAGGACTGACTTCCTCTGTTTCATCAAACCATTTTGGAACAAACTTTTGGCCTTTCTCTTCTCGGCTTCTCTTCTCTGCTCTCTGTCTCTCCTCTAGGCTGAGAAACAAACCCAAGTTCCATTAGTCTTTACATTGCTCTGTCATGATGAATCAAACAAACTGGTGAAAACCGAAGATGAGCAAAACAGTACTATATGATTAGTTACCTGCTCTTTTCGTATCCAGATTTGGACATATCACCCATCTCAAGTGCGTATCTATCAGGACGCAGACGTGAATCTGATGACAATAGCTTTTTAGGGGCAGTTTCAAAGCTATTGATCTTGTGAGCAAAGTGTGTGTATTGGTATTTATCGTTCTTTGGAGCTTCAGCGACCTTCCATACCTGTGGAAAAGTAAACGGAATTAGAAGGTAACTGACGATTTCATATGCAGAGGATTGATTTGCTTGAGTTTGGTAAGGAAGAATTGACCAAACCTCCTTCAGTTCGGTGCCTGGAAGAGGTTCCCCTTCCGCGTCACATGGCTGATAACTCAAGGACTCGCTCCATTTACCGGTCATTAGTATCTTGGGCTCTTCAGCTGAATTATACACGTAACCATCCACTTCATAACGTCCAGATCTGTCCATTAGGTCCACATTTCAGCTCTAAATGGAGAAGGCATGAAGATAAGATTATAGTGATCAGATTTGTTTAATAGTTTTTAGGTTTTATGAAGAAAGAACTTACCCAAACCAGCCACATGGTTGAAAGTAAAGCACCACTTTATCACCAGTGGTCAGGTTCGTCAAGACCATCTCTCCTGGCGAATCGACCCATGTTCGTCCAAAGATAAGGTTATGAACCTTAGTCAAGGGAGGTACAAGATCAAGAACCACACCATCTCTTTTAAGTGTCACTCGTGTCCTGCACACAGATTCATTAAATCAATAATTCAGTGTTTTTGTCTCCCAATAGAGAATCTGAAATATAAATACATATTCTGGAGACTTTACCTTCCTACAGGGTAGACGTCAATTGAGTTTCCTAGGAATTTCGTTTTCAGTTTTGAAGTGCAGTCGTAAGCGAAATGCTCGTTTTCTGCATGACCAGCACTCATTGGTGGGTGATGACAGACCTGAGGAACAAAAAACATTTGATACATCAACTAAGAACTCACATGGTTTTTTCCAAGTGGAATATGAGCTCTATAGAAACAACTCACCTGTTCAGCTATAAAATTAATCCCATTATGATTAGTCATCTCATAAGTCTCACCAAGGATTGGATTAAACGGCTTCCATGTACGCTGGTAGGCATAATAAACAGATATAGCCCATGATGCTGTCAAAGACGAGTTGAAAGTTAGCCACATCATGAAAGAAAGCTACAAGAATAGAGATATTGATGCTATGAAGCTATAAAGAGTTTGAACACAAGGAAAGAGAGGAAAAATGGGTATGTACTTACATGCATATACCATACGCATGTAAGGGTCTTCAGCTTTGTCAGCCATGTCTAGCAGATGCGAGTATTCCATCAACTGTTAAATACAACAAAACATATTCAATAGAAACCAAAAGGTAAAGGATTTTTCATTTATAATCAAATCTAAGAGCACAAACCTCAGCCATTTTCTGAAGCATTATCATGGGTTCAAAAATGATCACAGGAAGAGTCACCATAGATGTAACATCAGACCCTATGTACTTCTGCATCATCTTCCAATAGCCATCACGTTCCTGAGAAATCAGACCAACATACAAAGCTCAGAGGATTGGTCAATAATATGCTTTTATTTTTTATTTTTTTCAATCTTTGTAACAGAGAAAAATAAGAGAACTCTTTAGTAAATCAGGATCATATACCTCTTGCTTCCATCTTCCTCTTCCTGCTTCCTCCTCTGCATCTTCTGTACTCCCCTCTGGATTAATCACTTCAAGCCCTTCATATCCCATCAAACTAAAAAGCAAACATACCTCATCAAACAAAATTGTTTTTTTTCATAACAAAAACACATACAAAGTTACAAGCAAAACATTTTTAGCTCAGCAATTAACACACGCCTTCAAATCCCAACCAGAGTTTCGAGAATTCAACGATTTATACGAAGCCCTAAATCAAACATTATCATAGCAAGTATGTGAACCCAGCTGAAGAATTGAGGATCCGAAAACGAGGAAAATGTATCGAAGATTTGAATTCCTTACCCGTTAACTGATTTGGACATTACCGATCCGAAATTGGTGATGGTTGAAGCTATAGAGGCGAAGAAACCGCCGCCGTTTTTGGGATCGTTAGAAGCCATCACCACCGCGGATTATGGAACCTACCAGCTCCACCTTCAGAAATAATCAGATCGATCAGCGACGGAGAAGACGAAGCAGAAAATTCTTCGTTGGCGGTTCTCCGTTTTGAAGTAGAAAAAAAGGAAAAACCACCTATGATTCTATTTCTTTTTATCATCTAACAATTTGAAACATTAAACCGAACCAAACCGAAATCGTATATTACAATTGCTTTCCTGGTTAACATATGAACGCAAACCACGTGAGGGGGCCTTACATAAAGCTCACATTCTACATGTTGGGCTTCACATAACGGCCCAGAGTGTATATTTTTATATATTTAAATTTAAATTCAACGGCTATTTTGTGTTTGTTCGTATTCTCCTCACCTAACACGATCCTCAAAACTAAGAAAGTACATTATAGTCATTGCTTTTTGAGCAAGAGAGCCAATTATATCTGCATTGAAGTCAAATTTTTGTATAATTAAGTCATTTTAGTTAACAGTAACAAATATTATTATGTTTGGATAATATATAATATAAAACGACAATGGGATAAAACTTTTTCCTGATCTGTATATGATGCAAAACTATGACTTCATTCAAGATCTCGACGCTAGTGCGGTGGGTAATTTGATACGAAATGAATTTTGAATCAATTATATTATACTTCAAACTGTGATATTGATATACTACTTTGTCTCTATAGAATTCTTGATAGTTGGTTTATAATTAATAAGTTTATTAACAAACTATATATATGATGATACTTTAATTTATCTAAAAAAGGATGGTAAATTCAAGATTGCTTGAGAAGCTCAAGGTTTCTTTATGTAAGTTGAGACTTCCCTTTCACATATTATCTTTCGTCTTATAAAAAACATCTTTTATTTTATTTTTTGATCTTTGGATGCATATCCTCACATCTCAATAACATTATTTACCGTCACGTCTAAGCATACGTGGCATCACACCTATCACGCCACGTCACTATCTCTACCCTCTTCTCTCTTATATTATACATCAAAGCCTTCTCGCATTGATCATCACAAAACCTCATCAAAAAAAAAAAAGGAAGAACACAAAAGTTTCTAAAGGATTTTAAGATATCAAACAAGCTAGAAATTAAATGGAAGGTTTGATTCCATTTTTGTACAAAGCCATCGTTATGTATAGAAGAGAAGGAAGCTTTTCGTCGGTTTTGCTTAGCGATCATCACTCTCCTTCTAACTCCGGTTATTACATGAAACTTCCCGGCGACTCCTCCGGTAGGTTTCGAACGTCCGATCGTCGGAGGTTTGGGACGGACCGTCTTGGGTTGCTTGAAACGACGCAGTTGTCGCCGTCTCGTGTTTCCAAAATGAACATCAACAAACGTACGTAAGGAATGATGATCGATATATATATATATATTATACGTAAAGATAAGATTGTAGTAATTGTGTATTAATTATGGTTATATAAATATGTACAGATACGATCCACTTTAAATTATTATACTTGCTAGTAACACCTAAGTTTGGTCAAAATCATCGAAATTATGGTTAAACTGTAAATACAAGTGTTGTAAGGATGTCCATAGTTCTGATGATGAAAATTTAACAAAGATGTAATAATCTACTGTTTTTTTTTTTTTTTGAATTTAAGGTGGATCGAAATCGATCATGTCTGTACAATTTGTTTAGTGGGTTTGTAAAAGTTGTGTACTTGTAAAGTCAAGTGTGTTATCTAAGATAACTTATCTAAAATATATATATGAATATTATTTATCTTGTGAAAAAGTCATATCATCGATATGTATTGAGATACTGGATCTCTTGTCACATACGCATCCTTTTCTTCTCATCCACGAAATCGCTTAGGTATTTATTAATTAATCTGTCGCAGTCGATACTTTTAAATAAACCTTAAAAAAATGATTGCTAAACCTTTTCATAACTAAAAGTATAACTAGCTAGGAGGTGTGTTTGACTTGAATGGGGTGCAAGTAATAATCATATATAAACTTTGAAATTGAAATTTCCGTTTCACTGGGTAACGTATATATCTTTCATAAAATATAAAGGTTTATTCAAATCTGAAAAATTGTTTAGATTATAGTATCATCACGACATCACTCATACACAGAACAGTATTATCAAACAGAACCCTCCACTTCAGAGAAAGGTCTTCGCAGAAAGCGAAACATAAGTGTAACAAATGTACATAGGTCATATTTACCAAAAAAAAATGTACATAGATCATCAAAATTTGATATTTTGTGTTAAGGATAGATTAAAACTTTTATTGACTTTATAAGCATTTGAGGAATCAACTGTGAGATTCTTTGATGTCCGTAGAATGTCGATCTACGATGAGACGAATTAGAGTATCTTCAACAATCGATTCAGGTTTGTCGCGTCTAACCACAACATTACCCGGTTGGGCTTTTCACATTCAAGCACAACATATTGGGCCTTCTAGTGGCCCATTTATTACAAGCTCATAGTTTTGCAAATAGGGATATATAATTCTGATAAACTCATACTTCTACTCTATTAGTTTTATTTATAACAAGAAAGTACCTAAGATTTGGATTGCTTTGCAGATTGTGTGTGTCGAGGTCAATTCTGTCACTTATACAATATCTTTCTCTTTATGTCAACCAACACTTGTGCATGCATATTTTCCCCTAAACCTACCTACGAAGTTGATCCGAGAAATCTATAAATTGATTTTTTTTTTTTTTTTTATCATGATTATTAGATCTTTTGTTGACTTGAAAAATATGATATAAGTATATACATTAAATATTTGAATTTAAATAGTTGAAAAGTCTGTAAATGAACGTAATTCTATTTAATTAAGAATCATTTTTTTTTTGGTTTGATTGAGAAAATGAGGGAAAAAATTCTATCTAATTAAACACAATTCCGATATCGTATGAAAATTACGTGAATGATTAGCCATAGGGGGTGATCAAGGGGTTGTTGATCCGAGTGGCTTTCCAGTGGTGTGGGAAGTAGGAACGGTATCTTAAACTCCGTAATAAAACCGGACTCTTCTATCGTGTTATAAAGTTTTTGACAACAAATACCAAAACTAAAATATTTGAGAAACTTACAAATCTTTGCATGTGCTTAACTTTGGATCTTGAATACATTGTTCATACTTACTTATTCTTCTTTTTTGTTCCTTAGTGAGTTAGTGTGTTTATTAATGTTCGTAAAATATCTTGGAAGATGTATACGATAACGGGGAAAAAACCTTATAATAATTGAATTACTAAAAACCTGTTCTAGAAAACTCTATTATGTCAAGAAATTATATATATAACGACTATTCGTTTCAGAAGTTGAAGAACACTGTATCGCATACGGATAAAATACTAAAATATGTGATATTACAAAGTTACTTTTAGTACGTATTAAGCGAGACCAAAAGCTTATTATAATTATTTATGTTAATTTTTTTGACTATGGCCGAGAGATGTAGTATAGACCATAGTTGTCGATCGAATCTAAATTTATAACGCAAATTAAACGAGAGTAATCTTATCATAAAAATGTATCAGTAAACTTTACAGTGTAAAAGAGAATAATGGAAAGTATAGTTGTCGCTGAATAGTACTACTTGTATATAAAACATAGGAAACATGAAAATGTCGGGATGGTAATGATTCATGAGAGACACTGAATCTGCACAATCTTCCTTAGAAAATACAAACATGATTTTGAGCATAACCAAATCAATCGTCACAATTTCTCGTTTCACAACAACAACTCGGGAATTGCTTTTTTTTTTTTTTTTGTTTACTTTATCATCGCTAGAAAATACGTAACTACTGTATAACCACAACAATAACATTAACAATAATGACCTTTCATTATTAGTACATAAACCTTTCTTCACATCTTTTGATCACTAGTTCTCCGCACTCTTTTTTTTTACCAAAATGGAGAGGAAGCAATCCTACTACGCCGTATTGATACCAACGTTATTGATCGTATGGCTCGCATGCACAGGCCACTCTTGTGCCCGCCACGCTAAGGCAAAACCTCTCATGGCCGGACTACCACGGTGTCCTAACTGCGGACCCATGGTTGTACCTTATCCGCTAAGCACGGGTCCAAACTGCGGCGATCAAACCTACAGGATAAATTGTGTTGGTGGTAAGCTCTATTTCGGTGCCCTCCATGGGTCATCTTATGTCATCACGTCCATCAACTCGGTGACCCAGCGGATCATTCTACACCCTCCCGGTCTTGCTAGCTCTGGTTCTTGTATCTCGGCTGATGTCTCTAAACAGGGCCTCGAGCTTGACCCACATCTCCCTTTCAGTATCACTAGTAGCAACACTATTTTGCTACTTAATTGCTCTCAGGCTATGCTACAGGTAATGCAACACTCAATTTTCCTCTTGTTCGAACTGGTTTTTGGATTAATGGTCTTAAGAGTGGCGTTTCGAACTAGATATAGCAAACTAGTTTAGTTCAATTGGACTAATCCAGATTCGGCCAGTTGGTTTGGTGTGAAGATCGTAGAACCAAATTGTTTGAGATCAGTTTTAGTTCGGTTAATACGGTTTGTGTTCAATGAAAGTAGATTTCGAATAAAATGTAATGAAACACGGTTTTCAGGACTGACCAAGAGATTTTGGGCTCTGCAGGCGCCAATAGATTGTAGTCCTACGAGCTTATGTTACAGCTACATCAAGAACAATGCATCACCTTGTTCTAAGGCTCCCTTGTGCTGCACCTTCAGAACCGACGGGTCTCAAACTGCTTACACGATCAGGATCAACGGTGGAGGATGCCTTGCGTACCAGAGCTTCGTAGGGCTGAATCCAAGCAATGAGATTCCTCCTCCCGGGAAAAAATGGCCTGACACGGGGCTCGAGTTGCAATGGGCATTGCCTAAAGAACCAGTTTGCAAAACTGATGGAGATTGTAACCTCTTGTTGGGTAAATCAAAATGCCTGCCTGACCCGACAAGTCTCGGCCTGAAACGATGCTCCTGCAAAAAAGGTTTGGAATGGGATCCGATTAACGCAATATGTAAGTAAATCGCATAAACAAATGAAACATTAAATCAAATTTCTTGAATCAAGTAACTGTGTTTTTGATTACTTCTTGCCATACATGTATTAGGTGGAAAATGTCGCCATGGGAAACACTGCAAAAAAAAGAAGAAGACCGTTGTTTTCGCAGGTACAAAGGATGATCATTAGAACCCAAAAAAAATCAAAAACTAAACTATTGTACACAATTTTAACTTCTTTCTCTTGAAGGTGCGACTGTTGCTGTTGTGGGAGTTACACTAGCGATTGCAATAGCGTTTATTGCAAAAAAACATAGCCACCAAAAGGTCAAAAAGGATATCCATAAGAACATTGTCAAGGAGCGAGAAGAGATGCTTAGCGCGAATTCAACCGGAAAATCATCAAGAATCTTCACCGGCAGAGAAATCACAAAAGCAACCAACAATTTCTCAAAAGACAATCTCATAGGCACCGGAGGTTTTGGAGAAGTGTTTAAAGCTGTTCTTGAGGACGGAACCATAACTGCGATCAAACGAGCAAAGCTTAACAACACAAAAGGCATTGATCAGATCCTAAACGAAGTCCGGATTCTCTGCCAAGTCAACCACCGAAGCTTAGTTAGGCTTCTCGGGTGCTGTGTCGATCTTGAACTGCCTCTCTTGATCTACGAGTTTATTCCCAACGGTACACTATTCGAACATCTCCATGGCAATTCAGACCGTATTTGGAAACCCCTGACTTGGCGGCGTAGACTGCAGATCGCATACCAAACAGCTGAAGGATTAGCTTATCTCCATTCCGCAGCACAGCCGCCAATTTATCACCGTGATGTAAAATCGAGCAACATTTTGCTTGACGATAAGCTAAACGCCAAAGTTTCAGACTTTGGGCTTTCAAGGCTTGTGGATTTGACAGAAACAGCTAATAACGAGAGCCATATCTTCACAGGTGCGCAAGGTACATTGGGATATCTCGATCCAGAATACTACCGGAATTTCCAGCTAACTGATAAGAGCGATGTGTACAGCTTCGGGGTGGTGCTTCTGGAGATGGTTACATCGAAAAAGGCAATAGATTTCACTAGAGAAGAGGAAGATGTGAACCTGGTGATGTATATTAACAAGATGATGGATCAAGAGAGATTGATTGAATGCATCGATCCGCTGCTGAAGAAGACAGCCAACAAGCATGAACTGCAGACGATGCAACAGCTCGGGAATTTAGCCTCTGCGTGTCTTAACGAGCGGAGACAAAACCGGCCTTCAATGAAAGAAGTTGCTGATGAGATCGAATACATCATCAATATTCTGTCACAAGAGGTTACTGAGACATAGTTGTCTTAGATATCACCAAAATGACTTGTACCCTTTCCCCTGTTTCGGGTTATGGATTTGATAAAAGAAAAGAGAAAACACAATTCATAGAAATGGATTTTCGTAAAATCAGGAAGATGGATTTGTACAATGTCATATCAAGATCCAAAACATTGCATGAGACGAAATAGCAGCCAACACCCAATTAAAGAAAGATAAACCGACAGAAATCTGAAACCTATCGCAAGAGAGAGCAGGTTGCTGACTGCAAAATTCAGTGTCTTTTGTGAATAAAACCGTAACTCCTGCAGAGGAAGACGCAGCTGCAAGAGCTAGAAGTGCAGTGACCTGCATGTCAAAACATTCCAAAAAGAAAACTATCAAACCCCATGACCTTTAAAACAGAAACATCTACAATGCGTACCAATTCTGATACAGCTTAACCAAAACCATTGTCAAAAGTTTAGTACCCAATCACCAACAGTGAATAGGCTCAGTAAGACAGGGCTTCGTAAATCACTTTTCCTCCTTATCGCATATACATCAAGACACGCAAGTCCAAAGCTCCAAATTAATTGAAGACCCATAGATGCAACTAAGAAGCTGAAATCATAAGCAAAAGCTATCATCACTTTAAGTCGTTTTAAGATAACCCTATCCAGTAATCAAAATATAGAAACAATCCCAATTCAGTAACTAGTTTTGTTGGCACAAAGAGTAATTGAGATAGAAGATCGAGAAAATATTACCAGAAAGCAGTGTAATTAGAGAAGCCGTAAGCAGAAACCATAACACCGATGGAAGCAGCAGCAGTAGCACATTGCCCTAATCTCAAAATCAGACCACTCATCGTTCCAGGACTCCCAATTATCTTCTTCATTGATCACACACCAGAAACCAAAAAAAACGGAGACTTTCTATCTCTGTTCTCAAAGATGGATACTTTACAAAAAATCGATCATAAAAATCCTAAACCCATGATTCAATCAGGAAACTTCACAATCCCAAAACCTCAGATTCCGATATCTCTCACTTCTCTATGATTTTTTTTTTTCAATTAAGATCATAAAACCCAACGGATTGGTTAGTTAAGAGCATCGCCACCAGAAACATTAAAAGATGACAACTTTTATTTTTGGGCAACCACAAATTTAATTCTGCTCTCGAGAGAGAGGAACGAACAATTATGTTTCCCTTAACTTCAAGCCAACGATATCAAAATGAAGTTGATGAAAACAGTGACGGAAAGTGACGTAATTCTGACGCCGGAGAGATTTGTTCTATCCCTCTTTTTTTTGCCTTTTAGCACGTGTCCACACAGAGACATTCCTCTCCCTCACTGTACGAATATCCCAACTTTTTAATATTTTCTACTTTTTGCCCCCTTTTTTTTTTAACAGATTCCACTTCATCCCAAACCGACCTTTTTATCTCGTTGTAGTTGTTTTGGATAAAATTATAATATCGTCTTGAGGCTTTTTCAATAAAGAATCTAACCCAAATAAACAATTGATCCGTTGACAAAAAAAAAAAAAACAATTGATCCATTATCTAGGGAATATGGGCTTCAACTGATTCATTTAAGTAAACTAAAGCCAGCAAAGTATGGGCTTTAATTGATCCATTAAGTAAACTAAAGCCAGCACAATATGGGCTTCAATTGATCCATTAAGTAAACTAGAGCCAGCAAAATATGGGCTTCAGTTGATCAGTTAAGTACTTGGGCCTTATTGAATATCACATCATATAGATTCCTTCACTCTATTAAAAGAAACCTTAAACCTCTCTCTCTCTCCTCGGTAAAACCCTCATTTCGATCTCTGCTCATTTCCAGAAAACCCTAGACTCCTCAGAACAATGGCGTTGAGCACCGTGTTTCGTCGCGCCTCGTCTGCAGTGGCTACTATCGCCTTCCGTGCGGCTAGATCTCCGGTGAGCTTCCGTAGTGGCGCTGTCTCAGCGGAGAGGCTGGTTCTTGGTAGCCAGCTCGGGCGTGGGTCGGTTAGTTCGTTCTCATTCTCGAGATTTTCCACTGAAAGTGCGATCACTAAAACAACCGCCGATGAGAATCTCATTAGCGTCATCGAATCTGAAATTGAGTGCGCCGTAGCAGAGGAGGCGCCTCTTGATAATAGCATCGTAAGTCTCTGTTTCAATATTCTTGATTCTGCTCAAATTCTGCTACAATTTCATGAGATTTGGATATTTTTAGGTTTCAGGAATGTGTAATGTATGATTTTAGTTCAATTGTATGTTAGTTTTCGATGAATCTTTATCACATTAGAATGGTTTTTCATTTAGTTAAGATGTTTTGACAACAGTTGGAAGATAAGCCAGAAGGGTTCCCATTTGAAATCATTGATAATCCAGGGGAGAGAACTGTGCTGCTGAAAAGGCAATTTGAGGATGAAACCATCCAGGTGGAAGTTGACTCTGCTGCATCTTATGATGATGAAGAGGAAGGAGAGGAAGCAGAAGCAAACGATGAAGCAGACGATGGAGATCAAGAAAGCCTGGGCAAATTCCGGATTCCCATGGTTGTGAGTGTGGCGAAAAGTGATGGCGTCTGTCTTGAGTTTGGAGTGAGCGCATACCCGGATGAGATTGTGATTGATAGTTTATCGATCAAACAACCGCAAGAATCTGATAATGAGCTTGCTTACGAAGGACCTGACTTTGAGTAAGTCCATATTCAATCATACTGAGAGCCTTGCTTGCAATATATGAGATTGGATATTGAATTTTTGGTTATTGTGTGTGCAGGGACTTGGATGAGAATTTGCAGAAGGCTTTCCACAGGTACTTAGAGATCAGAGGGATCAAACCAAGCTTCACTAACTTTTTGTCTGATTACGTGGCCAACAAAGATAGCAGAGAGTATCTGCAATGGCTCAAGGATCTCAAGTCTTTTGTCGAGAAGTGAATCTGAACTTTGTTCAGATAAATAAGAGCGAGAATTCTTTTGCTTAGAGTTTATCTTAGACGAGCTTGATATCACCATGATCAAACAATCGTGGAAAGTAGATGAGGTTATGCTTGTTGGCAATATTGCTAAATGTTTTTCCTTCTTTTGGGTTTTTTGGTTGCTTCAAGATTACAACAACTCTTTCGAGTTTCAGTTTGCAAAATATGAGATACGACCCCAATAAAGGGTTGCATTTTTCCAAATAATCTTGTAACAAAATTTCTTATCCAAAACCTCTTTTCTCTGTTAGTGATCATTTTTTAACATTTCTTTGTTACTATCTCATGAATCTCATTATTATTGTAACCAGACAGATCAACTAACCTCAACCCAAAAGAAAAAGAGAAAATGCAAAGCTTTTAGACGATTCTAGTACTTGTACACAAAGGGTTTGTAGGAGAAAGAAGAACAGCAAGAAAGCTGGCTTTACAACTTAAAAATAAGAAAAAAACAGGACTATGCTATCAAAAAGGCAAAACCCAAATCAAAGAAAACAGATGATCTCTCAGTCATTGAGCAACAAATCCAGACTGAAAACCCAGCGAACATCGATAACAAAAACCGGCTCTATTTTAAAGAAATGCTGTAAGTTTGGTATTTCCTGCGTTATGTCCTCAGCAGAACACGATCACGATAGTACAACCTGCCAAAGAATGACACCATTTCAAATAAATAACAATCCAATTAAGCTCAAATATGTTAGAAAAAAAAGAAGAATTTTCAAACTTACATTACTCTAAATCTCGCTATAATTACGCCATACTGCTCGGAATTCTTCCCTAAATGTATTAAGGCGTGCCTTCAAATTCGGTGTTCTCAAGCTAGCATGAAGAACTGTAGCTGTATCACAAATTACAAAACGAGGGTAGGTTTATAAAAGCATATGAATTTGAGTGAGAGAAAATAAGTTATGACTATGGACAATTTGTGTAGATTGCATACCAAGAAGTCCAATGAGTAGCGCCAACGAGACTGTGAACAAACCACATGAAATATACCAAAGGGCAAAACTCACTGTGAAACAAAAGAATACCAAATCATGTTTTATGTGTTTCAGGATATATATTTCACAAATTTCTCATCCCAAGTCCCATTAAGTGATCACAAAATATAGTGGAAAGCCACATACCAAGGGAGCATGTCAAGACAAAGACCCAACGGGGTTGACCACATACATGGATTGCTCTCTTTGCTGATGGACGTCCACGAACGCCAGGCCTATAAAACCACAGATAACATAGAGGATAAGCAAGTAACAAAGAGTATAAAACGTAATAAGGAGAGGAAAAATGATAAACATACGTCAAAGGAGGTCTCATTTTAGCAGCTAATTGAGGGGAGAATTGTCTGGTGGTTCGAGTTGCCTTCTCACTAAAAGAACCTGCAAAGCTGTAGACAAGAATCCTCACTATGGATCAACTGATTCAAGCATATCCAGAAGACAAAGGAGTGAGATTTAACAATAGAAGGAAGAAAAAACCTGTCATTAAGAAAGGCAACACTTAATGCCGTCAAAACCGCAGAGAAGATGGCGAGAGGCCTTGTAAGAAATCCCAATCCTGATAAGTAAAAAATTTGACAGTTCCTTAAGTGACAACATCATTGATAAACAACACAGGATGATGATAAGATAGTTCTTAGCCACTTCCTCATAGTACCTACCAAGTATAACGACGATCATGATGAAGTAGTTTGTTCGGTAGCTGCAAAAATAAGATCATCAGAAGTCAAAAATAAAGCTCATAAGCTACTCTCTGATCCACTACTAAGGTCTAAGAATCAAAGTTCTTATTAAAATGACTTGAGCAATTGGGAATTGATTAGATAGGTTGATTACACAATCAGATCCAAACAACAAATTGAAGAAGCAAAGAATCAATCGGCGAACGAGAGAGAGAGATCGTACTAGTAGAGATTGCACTTGAGGCGACTATCCCACTTAGCGAAGGATTTAGGAACGGTGAACCTAGAGAAGAACTCAGACGGCGGACGCGGCGGAGAAGACCAGTCAACTTCTCGGAGAGCATCGACGAGATCCTCAACCGTTACGTTTCCCCAATCCATAGCCTCCAAAAATCTCCGATCGCAAACAAAATCAACTCTCCTAAAATCTGTAGAAGAAGCTACTACAGATTCAAGGTGATAATCAAATTCAAAAAGCTTCCTCGACGAAGATTTAACCAAAACAATTTCGTGCAAAAAGTATCGCAAACGAAAAAAGTCGAATGCTTTTGGGGCAAAGAGGAAAAAGGAGATTTTATATTACGCCACGCGTCTCTTTCTTTAAATGACGCTTATGCCCTTTACGCTGGTTTTTGTATACCCAAACAGACCAAAACCAAATTTTAATTATAATCCGGTTTACTCAAACAGAAGACGACGTTGTCGAATCATTTCATGCCTATTTGGATCAACAGATCTGTTTCGGAGCTTACAAGTATAAGATACGAAGGTTTGAAACCTTCACGATACAAGGTAATAGAGATCGTATTGTGCTCAATGGTTGGATTTATTAATCAAAGGTTTAATATTTAGCTAGAGAGGAATATATAGATAGGGGGACACAAAATAATATTAGTAGCATAAAATCAAACTGAGACTATGTATCAAATCATATCCCACTTAGTGTGACTAGACCAAATGATTGATGAATATATTCTTCTCTTAAAATAGTATATGGTACATTACCTGCGGATAATGAATGGAAATTAAAGAATAAACCATGCATTACTGAAAATGTATACTTCTCGTACGCATATAAATTTATAGTACATATCGAATTCACCTGCTCATAAACATTTACAGTTCAAACAAACATACGTCTCCATGCATATTTGATTCATATCCGTCAACCGTTTATATATATGTACCAATAGGTGAACAGAGAGTGGGAATTACTACCTTTGAACTAAAGAATTTCAATGGAGTTAATGTGATAACTTGATGCTTCTTCTTTCTGCAAAAGTGTGTTTTTCTTGAGTTGGGCTGTTGTGTTGTACCTCGAGTAAGGAAGAGGTAATCTGTATCCCGAGGATTAAAAACTTTACATTTGCATATATATGTATGCTTATAAAGTTTTAAACCTCAGGATGCAGATTACCCATTCATCACCAAGTACCTTCATCTTTATTTTCTTCGTGTAGGTGTTGTTTGAGCTGTTGTTAATGGTGAGATTATATATATAGAGAAGCTTATAAATAGTAATGGTGCAAAAGAATAATACTTATTCCAAAGGTTTAATGCTTCTGGAACAAATACTCACACAAAAACACAATATATTTAGTTTGTCCATGGTTTCTTATATATATTCTCCCTAGTTCAGCTTCAGCATATACTACATATCTGGATAGACCAATATGCGTATGTATATATGTACATGTACGGTTGTGTATAAGGTTGCCGATATATGTGCAAAACGTCTTGTTTCTTAGAACCAAACAAATATGATTCGGAGATATCTAGCCACAATGGCATGAATTTATTTGATGGTTGTATTGTGAAAATGATTCATTCAAAACGTTTATAAAATGAGCACATCGGCTCCTATAAATAGGAGACACAGAGAACCAAAGAAAAAAAAAAAAATTACCAACTTTTATCGATCGTTTTTATTTAGAAGATTAATTCTTGTTTATACGTTTTTGTTTATACGTCTAAGGTGTGGAGAGTGTGATTTCCACATCCACATAAAAGGAGAGGGATTGTGAGAGATCAAATCAAATCATGAGAGAAATTGATTCTTTGTTCTTTACGAGCCAATGATGGCTTCTTCTATTTTTTATTTTTTTTCTTTTTGATTTTTTTTTTATATATAAAAATAGTCTTTTAAATTTTTCTTTGACTGCTTTTATTTTCTTCCCTTGGCTCATTTACATGAACCGATTCTTTCTCAATTGTTTATAATTAGATCGAAAATATATTCGCTAATCCCGTATATGCATGTTTACATCTTTTCTTTCCTATTTGTCGAAAGGTTTTTCATTTTTTTTGGACATTTTGATCAGTTGAATTACATTAATGTTGAGTAACCCTCGTGCATTGTTTGTTTCAGTTGAGTTATGATGAACACAATTATGATCAGTTGAGTTCTTGATTCAGTTTTAAATCAACAATTTAAATTTCATCATTTGAAAATCCTTCAAAATTTTACTTAGAAACTTTTTTAAAACGGATGATGTTTATAGCGATTTAAAAGCATAAGAACATTATATCAGGCTTTGATTTACATAACAGATAACTCATGGATTTAAAAGAAAGGAACAAAAAAAAAAAAAAGTATTAAAAAAGCTGGTAGAGACGAATAAATTCTGAAAGAAAAGACAAAAAAAAAAATTACGAAAGGAAAAGGTTTGTTTTCCAAAAGCAAACCCAAAGTGAAGTGAAGCAACAAAAGCACATCGTCTGCTCTCATGGGCTCTTCAAAAGCCAACCTAATTCCCCGTGTAACATTCATACAAGCGATATCGCACAACCCGAATTGAACCTTTACACCAAACTACAATTTCATCGTGTGTTTAAAGCCGATTGAATTATTACCTTTTTTAATAATTAAATAGATCAATTAACATTTAGTTTAGTTGATTAAAACCCTGACTGCTTTTAGGGTTTTAAAACAGAAGTGTTGGGTGTTCAAAAAAAAAAAAAAAACTGAAGAGTTGAAGAAAAAAAAAAAGAGCTACTCGGCCAAAGACAATTTAATGGAGACTTCAAACATTTTGACAAGTTTACTAATAATATAAAGAGTTAATATAAAACTGCATTATTCACCAACAAAAACTGAACCACGTTAGTTCCAAACAGTAGAACGCCTACCGTAGCCGTTACTCAACACAATACTAAACTAGGTTTTATTTTTCGATCGATCGATACAATTCAATTTCATGCCTCATCAGAAAGATTGCATTTGTCAAAGGAAACAAAAAAATTGAAAACATTCTAATATACACATTCATATGCATTACAATTCCCCCATATATATCTCATACATACCCGAACGTCAAACATATTCTTTTTTTTTTCTCTTCCCACACAAATGATCTCATCCTACAAAATCATGTAGAAACTGATGATTACTACCACCAATAAAATCTCTCCCAAACTGACGATTTTGTCCTTCATACCCACCGCCACCATGACCACCACCGTCGCCGCTACCACCGTCAAGCCCGAACCTCTGAGCAGTTGTCATCGGAAACGGCTCCGGCAAACCAATCTGATGATGAAGCCCTAACGTCAACGACACTCCTCCGTTTGTGCTGTTACTCATCACCGGAACATTTGACGACCCAATTCCGTAGGAGAAGCCAACCGCGTTGCCGCTCCCAGTGTTCACATAGCTGTTGTTGTCGGTGGTGCCGTGAACGTCGTCGTTTCGAGCCCTTCTAGCCGGAGATGAGTTGTTAGCTCTTTGATGTGCTGCGGAGGAAGAAGGGTTGTTGTTGTTGTTGGTGTTGTCAGGGAAGACAGTGGTGCTGCTACGTTCGTCTCTCCAAGAAGAAGAAGAAGATCTCTGAGTTTGTCGAGTCTCCAGCATGTGAATCTCTTCCACCATCGGTTTCCAAACCCTAACTCGTGCGTTTATGAACCAATTCGATACCTGAAATAACATTTCCACAATAATAAATTAATAACCCACCACAAGCGATTTAATATTACTTGGAACACAAAATTCTTAGTTAATCATTATCAATATAATCATAGGAATTAGTTCGCTGAATGCATAAGGAAAAAAAAAAAAACCTAAGGATTTAGTTACCCATTTTTATTACCATTTACCAAGTTGCAATCCTGCCTAAGATAGAGTAACAATTAAATCGAAATCTTTAACGGTTTTATAAAACTTATATTTATGTGCTTATATAGCAAGCAATTTCTTAAATTAAAAATAAGTATAAACTTAAATGTTGTTGTGCTGTGTTTCGTAACCTACTCGAAATTTTAAGATTAATATTTTAACGGTTTTATAAAACTTAGATGTATGTGCTTAATTATATAACAAGCAATTTCTAAAATTATAAATAAGGAAAAAGAAAAAGACTGAAGGTAACAGAAGTGAAACCTGATTTCTGGAGAGACCTGTCTGCTTAGCCAGCATGAGTTTGTCTGTATCAGTTGGATAACTGCAAACAAAAGACACAGACAACTACAATTTAATATATCATTGTATATATACATACATCTACATACTTATTACACACATAATTGCACTTGCAAAACGACATATCCAAGTTTGAGAAACAAACAAGCAGTCGACATGTCCCATCTTAAACATACTTCCAAGTAAAAATACACTTCTATACACACACATATTATATATATTCACACTGACACACACATACATGTGCATCTATAGCTATTGCTCACAAGCATATATATATATATGTACAATTTGGTTCATGAAAACATGAATGGAGTTAAAGTGAAATCAATTGTTAAGTTCAAACTCGAACCCAACAACTTTCAAAAGCGTATACATGGCAAGAGGGTTACTTACGGATGCAAGAAATGATCAAAGAGCCAAGCCCTTAGAACAGTAACGGCACGTTCAGGTAGGCCACGGTGCGGTCTCCAAACAGGAGCATGATGATCAGGGAATCCATGTCTTTGACCAGCAGAACAGAAGCCTCTAGAGCTATCACTTCCTCCAAATCTCAAAGAATCAGTCTTATTCTCGGAGTTCATCGGATGACCACATTGTTGTTGTTGTATCTTGTTGTCGTGGCTGAACTGAAGCTGGTCCGTTATAGCATTCTTCAAACACTTGAAATGCTTAGACAGTGCTTTTAAGGCTAAGGTTGCGTACGGAGCAGCGTGCCCAAGACCTGCAACGCATTCGAATGATCCCATCACAGCTTGTAGCTGCTCATAGTATTGCTTATACCTCTTGTAAACCTTCAAAACGTCACATGGAAATGTTTTTAGATTCCCACTTAAAATAATAAAAATTGGTGATTATAATAAATTTGAATGGCTCATACATTATTTCCTCACTCAAAAAGTATGTTATATACCTCGGAATAAACTAATTAAAATCTTTAAGTCCCTAGCTTTAAGATCATATATATATCTATTGTGTGCATATATTCCTTCATAAAGATGAAGTTCTCTTTTTATCACTTAATGTTTATACCCTTAAGATTTGAAGAATCCAATTCACAAATTTAGATCAAGAGCTATCTAAAGTTACTTCCTCAAGATAATATTATAATTACTTTGGTATAACCTTAAAATTCTATTAAAACTAACAGTAATCAACAATGAAGAAGAGGGTAAGCTTTTTATACACAGGTAAATGTATTAATATGGACGCTATAACATCCTCTATTCATGCAAAACGTTTTAGGGGAACATCAACTTAAAATAACATGTCGTATTATAATGAATAAATATTATATTAAAACGATATAGTTTTAAAATGGCTTTGAAGGAGTTTCATTTTCCAAGGAAGATCTTTTTATTAGACATATCATTTATCACATTTTGTCTCCAATTTCAAAGGACACCGACCAAAAACTGTGAACATTTAACTCAATAATACATACTAGTACATACTTAGACGAAAGTATAGACAGTAATTTACAGATTTAAATAATTTTTCGAAAAATTAAGATTTGATCATATTATTGTATACCTCGTCAAGCATGGAAATGAGTTTTGATTTTTTCTTTCCATTATCTCCGCCGCCATCAGAAACACCGCAGAGATTCTCAACCGTCGGATCAAAAAGCAGGGAAGAATCATCGTCGTCGATGACTTTGTCGGTGTAAATCCCACGACCCACATTACAGAACTCATCAAGAAGCATCTGTGCTGGTTTCAAGAACCTTGATCCTTTAAGAATCGATGCGTATCCAGTGAAAGGTCCAAGAGGGCCGGAGCTTCTAGACGCAACGGTGACGGCACCGGCGTTGGCATCGCCGGCAGATCTACAGAATCCAGAGTTGACAACGCCGGGAACGAGTAGATCGTAAGCAAGTCTAGGGTGAGACGACAAAGATAGAGATAGAGGCTCGGGTTTGAAGACAAGAACGTCTCCGGAAGAAAGACCGGCGTTAAAAGAATGATCTCCGGCAACGGCGACTGCGGTGGATGAAGAGGAAGAAGGGCCACCGAGAAATCCCATGAAATTACTGTAGCTAGGGTTGGACATGTGGTTGTTGTTGTTGTTGGAGTGAAAGCCACCGGCTGCGAGGAAATCGGAATCGGCGAGAGGAAAGACGCCACCGGCCCCGCCACCGCCGCCGGATGAAGAAGAGGGAGGAGGAGGAGGAGGGTGGAAGTGAAAGTGGGAATCAAGAGAGGGAATCCGAAGCTTGTCTCGACGGCTTTGTTGAAGAACATGATAAGGCTCATATGCATCAGCCATGGTAGAAGGATGATGTCGAGATGCAGAAGAAGAAAGAGAGAGAGAGGGAGGGAGGGAGAGAGTAACAGTGTAAGAGATAATGGCGAAACGAGAGGTTAAAAGAGAGAGAGAGAAGCTCTTTTGGTTTCTTTTTGAAGCACGATCAAAATTTTCTTTATGATATATTATGAAAACCTAATATATATATATATAAAATATCTAACGATTTAAAGACTTTGGAATGTTTTAGTGCGGACGAATTTAGTATGAGCATTACAATTTTCTGGTCAAGATTCATCTTTTTTGTGTTTGTTACTAGCATCTATTCAATGTTCTCATAGGCAGTCCCATATAATGGTGAATGATTGTGTGGAATTTTTACTAGTTACATAATTCTGTGAAATCGTTCGTAATTTATATTTTAGTTATGATACTTGAATCATGTTTTAATATTGGTCTAAGCATCTTTTTCAGCTTTTCACTCTGTATATTACTATAAAGTCTATAATATATAGTTTTCAGTCACCGGGATATCTAGTTAACCTCATCTATTAAAAAACGGGTATGAAGACGATGGATACATACGAAACTCGACATGCTGCTATATCTTCGTCATGTAAACAAGAATTTCGAGATTTATTATAATGATAAATAATAAAACTGATGAAAAGTGAAAAGTCCCGGGTTTGGTGGGAGAGGGCTTTAGGAATTCGAGAGAGAAGGTGACCGGGTGTAACCGGTGACACTGGAACTACTGGTTCTTGTACAAACTGTTCTGTGTCTCAGTCTTTCACATACTTACTGACATTTCTACAACTTTTAAGTCTTCTTTTTGTCGTTTTTCTTCTTTTCTTTTGCTCGAATAAATACCTTTTAACGCTAAAAAATAAATTATTCTTACTTTATTTTTATTTTTTTCGACAATCATAATATATACTAGTTGTAATTAGTGATGTCTCTTGGTACAACGTCCAACTTCTTGTAATAAAAGCGTGGATGGTATGGACTAAGGAATGGCCCGTCAGATTAATGGATTCTGCACTTCATGTTACATCGTTTAAGCAATCGTAAGACTGCCTTGACTAATTAGTACGTAATTACATAAACTTTTCATAGTAAGAAAAAAAATCTAAAAGAAAATAACTTTTCATAGTTAACAAACTAATTATTCTGATCACCTTGCAGAAAATTGTGTTTCGCGGGTTGGAATAAACCGTCAAATATGTGTGGATTACAAATTATCAATGATCAAAGACAAATTTGTTGTTATGTGAATATAGCATATAATAAAATACGTCTTAATGAGTTATTTGTACGAATTAAAAACCTAATGAACAGTGTTCTTTTATTGTAGCGAATATCTTTCCAAAAATTATATCCTAAGATATGAAAGAAAATGATTAAAAACGGGAAAAGTAAATTCGACTGTACTGTAATAATCGTGTTTGAAATAATCATTAGAGGATATTTCGTTTGCATGGGAAAATAATGCGACGTAAATCATTTGAAAATGTGTTTCGAACACACTAAGTAATATGGTTTTGTGTTACAATTCTTTATTTATAAAAGTATTTCCTCTTTTGGCTAAGATGGACCACAAAAATTGAAAAAGAACCAAGGCACTCCAATAAAGTATTACAGTAAATTAAAGTTCACGTAATTATTAGTTCTTCTCTTTTTTTACATTGCATCACGGGTAACCACATATGAATATTTTTAAGCAATGGTTCCTTTTTTTATATTCTTTGCTTAACAACAAAAAAAAACAATTCTGAAATTATATATTATTTTAAGAATCTGTCTCCTGTATATATAATAGCTAGGTATTTTGGGACACTTTTTTTAAGTAAATTTATAACAATAGTATCATTCGATTTATTAGTATCTCTAGGTTGATATGCTGCATAGAAAACAAACTTTACAAAAGGAATGTTTTTGTGATGCATGAGGACTAGTTACTAAATAATGTGATGTGTGAATTCCCTCAACCGCAAAGTTTAGAAGAAGATTTGGTGACTAAACTACTTAATATTGAAAAAGCCAAATTCAGTTAGGGAGGATTGCCTTGGATGATCGGGATCTTGCGGTGATGGGGTCTTCGACGTCTTTTTTTGTGTGCTTCTAATGTGATATATGTTGAAAAAGGCCGATTCGATCGAATGTAATAAACTGAGTCGGAGTTTATTGCAACGATGTTGAATCTAAAAGAATCAGTACTCCATGTTTATTTGATGTGTTTTAACAAAAAAAAAAATGTTTATTTGATGTGGGTGTTCAAAGAAAATATGATAATTGTGGGATTCATTAGCTTGATCACACAATAGACATGCATGATCTCGTCCGTGTTGTTGATTGCTTTGGTCCTGAAATTCGCGAACCATGGCTTTGGCTCTGCATATAAATAATTTTGTAATTTTGCGCACAACGAAGAGTCTGAGCCAACACTTGTCAACTTGCAAAACTCTTTTCATTTGGTCGTTATGCTAGTTTGTATCAACACATTTTGACCTATTTTATAGTATGAGAGTTGAAAATGTTAAAACTAACAGTGCGAAAAGTATTAATTGCTTGGTTGGTAGGTCATAATTAAATAACATCCCAACCACAAGAACTATTGAAATTAACTTTAGCTTATCTTTTGGACGAAAACATGCTATATATATACACGAGCATCCAAAATATCACATCACGAGTAAAAATAAAATGAAAATAAGTTGATAAAAAAATACATATATTATTAAAATAAATCGTCACATGCTTTGAAGATGAAAATCCATTGGACCGAACTTCCTAATTGGACCGAAAAATATTGTTGGACGACCAAAGTAGAATATACAAAATCAGATTTCAATTTCGTTTATTTGATACGTATATATATAAATCTTGTTTAGTTAGATGAAAGTCATGTTAAATTTCCTTCATTCTACTAGTATACAAGTAACCAAAATATAATATGAACAAATGCACCAGCTCAACAGTGTTTGCTTTAACAAAATGCACCGTAAACATGATTTTGGTTCAGACTTGAGCCATGAGAGAGGTATACAGTGTTAAAAGAAAAACCTAGGCTTCGTAGAGACAGTACAAAGATTTGAGAGTAGGAGTTAAGTAAAAAAGTAAGCTTTCAAAACTGCAAAGTACTCTCAAGTTTCTGATAAATATGCCCATTGGGATTCTCAGGTGACGTCGTCATGCTAACGTCGTTCAAGATTATTTAGTATTATTTTATTTTAAGAATGAAAGAGACGAAAAATAAAAAGATTATTACGTTTTTGATTTTGGTCTGCACAAATCTTTTGCTTAGTGAGAATCCACCGAGTTTGCCGTCAGTTGATGTAACGGCGTTTCTCGTTCTTCACAAAACTCCGTACTTATTCATAACCCACTCGCGAGTAATTCGTACTCGCTGTAATAGAAATTGTTATGACTTATGCAAACATTTAAAGGCACTCGATTAGAAGAAAAGAATGGTGAATTATGTTATGTATGTAGTAAAATTATGATGGACAAAGAATTTAAATAACACGAGGCAAATCAAGAATTTAAATAGCAGAAAGAAGATAAAATAAAATAAAATAAAAGGAAAAGAAGGAGAATTATGGAAATAGAAACCAAATTTCATGGTACCAATACCATATTTTGGCACATGGAAAGATAATTCCAACTCACTTCTTAAAGTATAAATCACATCAGTCATTCCATGGTTTTTTTTTTTTCCTTCTTCTCTTTCTTTTAAATTGTGAACTAGGGGTATATATATTTCATTTATAAAAATTGCTCGTGAATCAAATCAAAAAAATTAAGGAGGAGGAGGAGCAATAAAGATTAGATTAATAAATGGTCATATCAAAACATTAAATGACAAATCCACACCACATGTTGACGACTATATTATGTTATGTTACATCAAATCCAACTTAGCATCTAGGTTAAAGAAAAAAAGCAAAACTGTTTCTTTTATCGATTCATCTTTTTTTTGTTTATTTTAAAACATTACATTTTAGAAGAAAAGAACGTTTGTTCTTGGGTTATTTTAAAACATGTTTAAGGGCATTTTCAATAAAATATCCCCATTTTTTCAAAAAAAATTCTTATATAAGATGAATGCTATACGCAAAAAAAAAAAATAAGTGAATACTATAATGAAGAGAGGTAAGTTTTTTGATGGCCGGATAAGTTTTTTTTCTTTTTTTTTACAAAGAAAACTAAAATGAAGAGAGGTAATAGTATTGGTCATATCATAAATATTAAATATTTTATTAAAAAAATAAAAATATTATTTGGGATAATACAGTGAAATCTAGGGTCCATGGAGGAGAGGGGAGGGGGGTAGAGGTACAGAGTAGAGGAGAGAGAGAGAGAAGCACTTACTGTGATGACGTCAGCTGTTAGGTTGCGTGACTCCTGGGCGCTGTTTCTGTCTTCGGTATTTAACTTACTGCTTCCTACGCCATCATCCTCTCTCTCTCTCTCTCTCTCTCTCTCTCCATCTACTTGGTTTTTTACTTTTACTAATATTTTTGAGGCTTTAATTCTTTTAATTTTGTTTTAAAATGAAAATCAGAAAAATCTCTTTAATTACTTGAATTATCATGTTTTAAAATATTTCCAAAAATAGTCAGTAAAAAGAGGCACCAGTTGTCTAGTGGTACGATAGTAACCTTCCACGGTTCAGTTCCTGGCTCGTTCACTTTACGTTCTTTACCTCCTTCTTTCGAAACCACAGTTGGTCTAACACCATTTTCATTTTTTCGGCCCATTGGGTTTCAAATAAGGAGCCCAAAGACACATTGCACTCTGTCTTTCTCTCTCTCTCTCTCTACCCAACCAATAATCTAACATCACATTTGAAACCACAAATCTATTGGGCTCTATATAATTGGTCAAGTTCATTTCGTATTCGCTAGCCAAAATCTTGCTAACTACCACAATTTTAAATTATATTATACTAATGATACGCCTTTTTATTTCCACATGTACTATATATATAATTTCAATCGTCTATCCTTATTTACTTATTTTTATTTTTAATTTCGTTTTATGTCACATACTTTTTTTGTTTTTTAAAGGTCATATCTTGAAGCTAAATGTCTTTTTAGATCACATATCCCTTTTTTTTTAAGCTAAATGTTTAGTTAACAACACCTAGGGAGTTAAATAAAATGAAAAAAAAAAGAAACTCTTGATGAGATGAAGTAAATAGAAATGACTTGTGTTAATATTGAGGAAACATGAGTAATAGTGAGACGAAGAAAGATGTAATTTGTATTAGAATCTCGATAAGAGGAATAAGGAAAGGTGTCGTAGTTAGCAGTTTCCCCGACGTATCTCCCGCATGCAACCAAGTTCCCCCCAGCTAACTATGTTCACATTCTACAAATTAACTCTCTTTTTATTTTTGTCTCTATTATAATTGTTATCCAAAACACTATATACTGTATGTGTATTAGGTGAAAAATACTAATATTTATGCATAGTCTTCCTATTAATTCGTTTGATTAAAATTTAAAATATAATTCATTATATAATATTTTAGTTTTTTTTTTTGTTAAGTTTTTTGTCCATCATGTGGTCTAGTTTTATATGTTTATTTAAGCAAAAAGCTTTCAATCTATTTATATTATGTAATTTAATTGTGAGATTCCTCAAAAATAATCACAAAAGCCAAGACGTAATTGAATCTTTACTTTTTTCATTTTACCGTCAAATCAACTAAATTTTCAACTCTTTTGTAAATAATAATTGTCTATTAATTTCAGCTTTTATAAATAATAAAGGTCAAGTTCAATGTTGCAGCCGACAATAGAAAAAGAGATAAGGTTTTGTTTTGTTTTTATTTTAACTGTCACGTGAAACTGATATCTACAAAAGAGCGAATGAGAGAAGCGGAAGAGTCAAAGGATTAATAAACCCAACGAACTTTGACCCATCCTTTTTATAAGGGGTTCGTTAATTATCCATTTTGGATTATATTTCGTGTTTTTTTTGGAGTGACTCGTGGCTAAGGAAGTTGGTAAGTGGTAACTAACCGACCTTTGTATTGTAAGATAAGTTTTGGTCCTACTCTCTTTCTCTCAATTCCATTACCACGTGTCGATCGTCTTCGTCAGACACCTCTACAGTGGGAAGTTGTATGTGGGAGTTAACTAGATAACGGTAATAGCTAGAGAGATATTGACACAACATTATTCTCTTTAAGCTTATCTTTTACTATTATGACATTGACATGAATTCCAACTACCGACGTTTCTTTCCTCCATTGATGATATGCGCTAATCTTTTAGATATAAAATTTCATCAGTTGCCTGTTTAGTTGATGTTGGTTCAAACCTAGCTTTAAGTATCTTTAAATTCAAAAAAGTTATTATATTATCAGTTAAAGTTAATGAGCTATTTACACAAAGATATAAACACTTTAGAGATCAATATATATGCCATAGAGACACGTAGAAGAAAACACTTTTATTCATTTCTTACTGTTTTTTTACCATTTCACTAAATAATAATTAACAAAAAAAAGTATAATATCCCAGGGGTATAATAACGTCACCAGTGACACCATAAATAAATGTCTTTAATTAAAACGTTGGAAACAACATAGTATGTGTGTATTAAAAAAATTCTCTTAACCTTTTTTTTTGTTTTCTAGTATAAGGAAAGAAAATTACTTTTGAGATTTGATAGGGTAATTAGTGAATTAACTACCCCACAACAAAATAAATTAGTTGTAGTGAATTAATTAGCTCTCTCGAACCAGCTCTATAAATTGCCGAGAGTGACCACACACTTTTGCTTCCCCTTTCATCTCACCACATTACTTCTCTCTGTAAACTTCATCTTCGTATAAACCAATACACATCTCTCTCTCTCTCCACTATATATATATATATAGACAAGTACGTATATTACATAAATACAAATACGTATATATGTGTGTATAGTATATAGAGATTTCTGGGTTTAGCTTAAAAAGAGCGACCAATTCAATGGAAGGAAGAAAGAAGAAGGCTTCATCTTCCTCTTCCTCCTCTCCTCCTTCTTCTTCTTCGTTAACCTCTGAGCTTTTTGGTTCTAGAGAGAACCCTTCTTCTCCTTCTTCCTCTTCTGGGATTTTCGGATCCATTTTTGCTCCTCCTCCTAAGGTAAAGTTTCGATTTTTTTTTTTCTTCTCTTTGGAATTCGATTTTGTCGGTGTTTGAATTTACCTTTTCGATGATGTTCGTAAATCTCGGTTTCTGTTTCTATTTCGATTTGAGTTTTCATTGGGGATTTAGGAATTAGGGTTTTCACAATCGAAACGATGATTTACCTGATTTGATCATTTAGCTGAATTAATTAATTGATTGATTGACTGATGTATTCTCAATTTCGTATTCAGAATATTTGAATTGTCAAAGTTTATTTTGTTTGTTTGTTTGTTGCAAATAGTGGATTTTCAAAAAGAGAGATTTTTTAAAATCGAAGACCCCACAACCCCAAAATTAACAATAAGAACACTAAAGAGGAAGAAGAAGAAGAATTTAAAGTGATTCGTGGCTTGGAACACAAGTTTCTCCATTATGAAGAATTTGATACTATTCTTCTCTATTTAGAAAATTTATTGGTTTTGTTCTTGTTTCAGGTTCTGGGTAGAGAATCTATGCGACAAGAGACTGTGACTGGTGGCTGGAACGACAAAACCTCCAAATCTGGTAATCATAATAATCAAAATACATCATCTATGAAATGGTCTTTTGTTATGCTTGTTTATTTATCTGAGAATTTTGTTTGCAGGTGATGTTGATAGAAACAGGGAACAGCAGGAGAATCTTGGTTCAGCTTATCAGCAGGATCAGAGAGTACAACCTTGTCATCTGAGTTCTTCCATCTATTACGGTGGCCCTGATGTTTATTTCCAGCCTCAGAATCCCACCGTCAACTCTACGGTATATGATCTAATGACCAGTTACTCTTGGCCCTAATGTTCAGCTAGCGGTTTGCCTTGTCAAAGCTAGAAACTTTCTTTTATCTAGAGTACTTAAGTCTTGTGGAGCTTTTGTTGAGTTTTAGAACCACAAGTACTTATCGCGCTTTAGATTATTGTTTCTAAAGAATCTTATTAGAATTTTGTATCTTTTGTTTTGAAGAACAAGAAAGATGGAGGCGAAGATGATTCCGGAAGTGCATCAAGAGGAAATTGGTGGCAAGGTATCGATTCTCATCTTTTGATCATTTTGTTCCGTTATGGGGAAATCGTTTCTCTAACCATTCCTGAAATGTTTTACAGGATCTCTGTATTATTAAGTAGAGATCTTACTACGTGAGCAACTGTTATAACTACAAAAGCAAGGTACAGGATAATGAAGCCAAACATCCATTGGAACGATTCTGCTTTAGGTTCTAAGACATGAAAATCTGATTTGTTCGGTTTTGGAATTTGCAGGTAAATAGGAACAAAAAGAAAGGAAGATAGGAGTAGCTGTGGATCCGTTGTTTTTAGTAACTTCTCATCTTATTATTACAAAAGTATGGAAGAAGTTTGAAGCTAGCTAGCTACTTGCAAAACAGGGGAGTGTTTTTTTTTTCTTTTTTTCTTTTTGGCCCTTGTCGTGGTTTAGCGATTGACCCGACCGGTTCAGATTTAAGTTTCCCTTAATTACATAGATAAACCGTTGATGGTTTTGTACAAAAACGCTGTAGTATAGATCTCCAGTTTCCACGCATATAAATAAAGTAAACTCTTTTTGGTTCTGTTTCAGTCGAAGGAAACAGTTATTATACACTTATAATACGGTATATGAATCTTTAATTATCGGTCTGGTTATCATCGGTTTGAGTTGATGTTATGAAAGGTTCCTTATCAGGTTTTGATGGGAATCTACTTTTGAGTTTTGAGGAGAACAATGTTGAGATTCTTCTGCCTTTTGTCATAAAGATGTGTCCTCGAAAGATTCCAATGAGATTCTTTTTACATTTGTCCTAGTTCTTGATTCTATTAAATTGTTCATCCTCTTTGTAGCGTTCATATTTGGGTTTAAATTTCCAAAATGCATTCATTAGACTTTACTGACTCTTCAAAAATTTGGTTTAGTTAACTCCTCTTTGTTGTAACTTGTAATCTCAAAGTCAAATCCCGTCTTTCCAATTATTATATTACAAAACTAAACTACACACAAGAAAGAAAAAGAAACATTATAAAAGATTTAGGATCATAGGAAAAGGGATCCATAAACACCAAGGAGTAGTAAGTAATTCAAATCCCAGGATCAAGGTTCGACACATTCAATGATTCCTTCATGCACTTCTCGAGAGACAATCTCTCGCCTGACGGAGAGTGGCTCGATCTTTCTACTGGAATATCCTTTAATCTTGGTTCGTTCTTCGTTACATAAGCTGTCAAAACCCTTTTAACACTGCTACTGTGAGGAATCTTGAACCGGGAAGGAGATGGCGGAACTGTTATTGATGATCGGAGCTCCTGTTTTGAAGGCGAATAGCTCGGAGTTGTGTAGTTTGAAACAGGCAACGCGGTGGTCTTAAGAGCGTCACTACCGTCGTTGCCTAATGTTGTTGGAATCTGGTCCGATGAATGTCTTGTAAGATCATCAACAAAGAGCAAATCATCGATACGTGCAACAATGTTGAATGCTAAACTCTCTAGAACCCTCGAGTAGCTTTCCAGAATTGATTTCCCAATGTCCTAAAACAGAGAAAAAGGAAATCGTTTAGTGCAGATTAAAAGAAGCAGAGTGATATGGCATTTGATTTCTGTGTTGTAGAAAGAAACCTTGTTATACTGGATTTTGCTCATGTCTAGTGCGGTTTGAGGAAGACCTGGGAACCGTTGTTTTAAAGAAAGCAATAAACTTTCAGCTCGATCCGCCATTAACTCTAGCTTCTCTGCATCAACCATTAGTTCTTTCACCATTTCCCACGATGTTCTAGTATTTGTAGCTGGCTTGGAATTAGTTCTCTTGTGCCATAGATAGATTGATGACTCGACTCGGTTAGCTATCTCTATGGCTTGATGTTCAGAGGATAAGTCAAGGCAATCAAGAAGACATTCAGGTGAAAATTGATCCGATGAAATGTATCTGTAGATTAAATCACCGAGGCAAGATCTTCCTCTCTGAAACATACAAAGAAAAATGCAAACTTTAGCTTTCATAATGGAGTGTGTCAGCGTGATATATGCATAGTTTGTTTTCTTACCCGTGGAAGAGATTCGAGGTATGAGTCGGGGATTTCCATGTCAGCAAGTGTGATACTGTTGATGGCCATGGCAGCTTTTAGTATCTGATTAGTGCAGTCACGTTTATGCTGCAACTGTTTTCTTGAGTTTTCTTGTAAACCTCCTGGTGAAACCCGTGGAACCGGAAGCCACCATTTGTCTTCCTGTCTCTGAAAAGATTTTCGGAAAGAAGATGATCCATCCGCTGCTGATTCGTGCGCCATGATTCCTTGGTCAACATACCAAAACTCTGTCTCCTCAAAACTATCTAATATCTCCTGCAAAGATGGAAGGTGAAGAAAAATGAAACCTTTGCTGCTTAAATTACATAAAGAAACACTCGGTAAGGTGAGAGAGGTGACAGGTTCTCACAAGGAGCATGTTATCTAGTTTCTTGAGTGCTGGGAGATTAACATAAAGATCTGATCTTGGTCTGCAAGTCATTATCTACATCAAGGGAACCAGAAAAAGACTGAGTCAATAATCCGAAGATTTTAGTGTTTCTTATCCACAAATAGAGAACTCGAAACAACAAAAAAAGAAACCTAACACATCCAATTGTTACAGCAGGCTGTCTAGTCTGTACCTCAAGTTTGGTTCCATCAGGAAAAGTTTGCCAAGTTGGAGTCATCTCTACAATGTGATCACTCACACAGAGAAGCCATTCCATTTCTCTTCTCCACATCTCTTTCTTCTCTGTAGGCAGTGGTTCTAACCTCCATAGTTGCCCGAACAAAGTAGCTTAATTTGTTTTAAACAATTCAAGCAAAACACAAAGTCAAAGCCTATCAAGATCTGTTCAAAGAGTTGTTACCAACAAATAATGAAAAGCAACTCCATTTCGACATACCACAAAGATTAGTGATTGCGTTTGAGATGGCTAACGCCGTGCAGACACCATTCCCAGAACCTGACATATCTTCTCCGAGCAGAAGCTTCGAAAACCTTTCCTTCATCATCTCAATCTCTACATAATAAAACCAGAAGAACAGAACAACCTTATAAATTCACACAGACGTCCAAAGCTACGAGCTTTTTAAGCTCGATGAATAAAACATGAAATCGTCAGTGTCCCAGTGAGGAATAAAAGCAAACACTTGGTGGGTGCATTTGGACGGACATGACGAACCTGAAACTCTCGACTGTTTCACACAATCCGAACGAATCTTCTTATCTCCGTCGACATTCTTCACCGACCAACGAGATGAAACCGGAGAAGCAGTGAAATCCTCGGTGCTACTAGGACTTTGTTCTTCCTCTTGTCTGGTTGTTTCAGAGCTGCAGCAACTGCTTTCTCTAGCTTTCTCTTCTTCCACTTGCGGCATGTCGACTTTCAAATCTTCCGACGAATCACCCATTGCTACGCCGCAAAATCTCTCTTCAGACAAAGTCTTCGCTCTGCTCAAAAACGTGAAATCAAACTGCTCAAAGGAGCCTCTTTTTTAATCTCTCTCGCTCTCTGGATATTCTCGTGCTTGAATCGCATTACATTTATGAGAGACCCCTTCTTTCTTTCTTTTTTCGATCTGAATCTTTCAGTTTATTTTCTCGGGAAAAATATTGAACTTTTTTTTTCTGAGAAAAGAAAAGAGAAAAAATGCAGTGAGTGTGTGTCTGTGAGTGATGAGGTTCTCTTGCTCTCTCCTCCTCCTCCTCTTCCACCTCGATCTCTGCATCTTCAACATTGATTTAAAAACACCAACTTTATCTTCACTAAACCAGAAGAGGTGATTAGTATTATTTTAATTCCCTTAATTTAATTGTAAACTAATACAAATCAATGACGACAAGATTTAAATTTATACTATATAGTTTAAAATTTAATTGTTTTTATATTTATATTTATTATGGGAATCGTGTAATTGACGGATCCATCTACGATGTTCTCTTGTTTCGTTTTTGTTAATTTTGTCATCGCTCTTTTAGAAAAAAATTGGATTGTGATTTGATAACCAATAGAATGACGTATTCACTAAGATTGTACATTTCTTTTTTACGTATTCAATTTAAATGAGTTTGGAACTAATTAAAGAAGAAGAAAAAAGAAAGTCGCATTCATTCATCAGATGATATATTCCAACGGTACAATACATCTAATCATCTACAAACACAATTTGTATTCCTTTTGTTTCCGAGTGAAGATTGGTAATTTCATAATTAATGATTACACACCAAGAAAAGAAAAGATGTCACACTATACAAATAGTGCCAATACAAAGAAGTCTCATGATCCTAATGTGCATATGTAAGGGCTAAGAGCATCTCAAAACAAGATAAAACAATTTGTATTCCTATATAGTTGACAATTCCTCTTTTTTTCTTTCTTTATAACGAGTTTAATATTTATATAATCTCAATACTAAATTAATGACTCTCACTTGAAGTCAAAGACAGTCACTGGATCGAACTTTTAAATATTTTGAATTTCTAAAGAAAATAATTTACAAATTTCAAAAAATTGTTACTTCGTGAAGCATTCACTCCCAAACAATGAATGCTTCCTCTCTTTCAAGCCTTCATGGTAAAAATCATACTGTATGTCAAAGAAAACACATTTAATTAACACGTGAAGGATAAATTCAATATCAGTATTAAAACTCATATAGTTTATCAAAATCGTTCTATATATGTTTTCATTTACATTTAACAAGTTTGATAATTAATGAATGGTATAGCCGTATAGGCTAGCTCCATGCACGGTGACCACAATTTGGTCCAGCTCTAAGGATAAAAAGGTTAGAAGAAAGTGGTGCTTTTGTCTTTGGTTCTACTTCTAACCTAACCATAATATTCCCTAACGGTTTTCATGTCTTTGCTTATATGTTACGATCCAGAGTGGTCACTACACGTTTTATATAAAAAAAAAGTTATGAAATTTCCCTTTACTTATCTCATAGTATATAATTCCATACAAATATATTTCTTTTGTGAAAATAGGCACAACCTTCACTTCTTTCTTGCCTAAGATTTTAAGGTGTGAAAGATGTTAAAATTCCACAACTTTCTTCTTGCTTGCATAGTTAAATATCTTTGGCAATATTTACTCAAATTTTCTTGTTTTTTTTTTTTTCATATTTTCGTAATGTCGTAATGTGTACATAATAGATGTGTCGAGCAATGCAAACAACTTGATGTTTTGTCTCTTTGTTCTATATCAGTTGTCGTATTGTACGTCGTTGTTTCCCTTACAAAGCAACCCTAAAAATAAGGTCCAAAGTGTTCCACCTTTTGTTATTAACAAACGCAACACGATGACAAAGAAAGTAAATAAATATTTGAATAATACTTTGAACAATTAAACTATCATGATTTTGTGTGTTCTATAATCACATCGAGAGTTTTGAGTTTCACATATATGAATACAACTACTAAAATGATAGTTAAATGAAATATTGCAGCTGAAGAAAGCCTGGAATGATATAAAATTAAAGAATATTATCTACTCATTCCATTCTTACAAAACATTTCATCAACTTTTAATTTCTCCTTACGCTATATCATTATTTTTAACAAGAACATGACTTTCAACTTACACTACCCAATATCCATCCATAATCAAAAGTTCTTTAACAAAATATCTCATTTCCTTGAGCTACAAACTAAGTTATCTTTCTATTTGTTTGTTTTATGCCTAAATTGCACCAAAAAGTTTAAGGATTTTGAAAATTACAAAACTCAGACAAGAAGAGAATTTTAAATCCCTAATAAGACCTGTACTTTATAAAGTTCTTCGTAATGGACCGAAGCAAACCCGTTAAGTTCTTAGTTACGGCTTTTGCGTTTGATTACATAATTTTACTGGGCCACAATATATGGGCCTAATAATATGTTATTCTGGGCCTTATATACAAAACCCGTTTGGGAAAGTACACTAGAATACTAGATGCTGCTAATAAGTAAATGAGACCAAACTTTTTTAAATTACATGCAGCTAAGCAAGGGGATGTTGCCAACAACAGAAAGCAAAGAGGATCGTCTTTTTCCTTCTAAGAAGATTAAAAAGTTATTCAAAATGTCAAAAAAGCTATATTAAGAAAATACTATATTTAAAGAATCACCTAATAAAATTAATATATTTTAAATAATGTAACAAATTTTGTTCTCTAGTGCAACCTATTACAAAGTTAGACCCGGACAAAACCTGACATCGCGCAGATTGGTTGTTTTGTTGAAAAACTTGGAAACATTATTTGCTTCCCCAATAACATTATCTTTTTTATCAATGTGAAATTGCAAAAATGAATCATAACCTCTGTTTCCTTTTCTATAAAGATGATAGTGATGATAACTTTACTGTTTATGTACGTGCATGTTCTATGAATAATTGATTGTTGACAAGAAAAAAAAGATGTAATAATATAATATGATTTTGATTTCGATAAACAAAAATAAATAAAAGAATATCGATTATATCTTTTCTTTGAATTTCTAGGATAGAAATGAATTAAGCAATGTGTAAAGAGTAAAGTCGCATTTCTTGATCAAAAGCACCTTAGTAACCGAGTCATCTTACGGCTAAATCATATCATATTCAAAACCCATGATTGAAAGCATTGGTTTTGGACCATAAAGCATGTTCTTAAATCTTTATAATCTCGAGATTCATTGAGTAAGCTTCTAATTCCCTTTTGGCCGATGCAAGCCGATGTACTTTGCAATTTCTTAAACACGTATAATAAGAGATACGTAATGTTTTAAATGCGTTCGTTGAAGGTATATTGTTTAAAAACAGACCATAGTAAACTTTGTCTTGTTAGTCAAAGAAACTACAACAGATATTTAACAAGTTTACGACGTGCTTGCTCTATCATAATGTTAGGAGAAAAAGAGAGAGACGACAGAAAAAAGGTAAAAGTAGAGAGACTGCCCTTTTACTTTATCGAAATAATAATAATAATAATAACATATAGTACTTACTCTATTCTAATTGGATTAATGATCTCTAAGTGCTCTTTTTAGTCAAACAAATAACAGGCTCCTCGTGCAGAAAACAATATTTTGTTTTCTTTTATATGACAACAAATATAAAGACATGTAAATTGTGGTGGCATACATGTGCAAGATAAAAAATATAAAAGAAAGTTTACTAATAATATCATTTGATCTGATTTTAGAATATATAAACCAGATTATTAAGCCAATTTTAACATCTATATATATAATACGTTTTGTTCATCACATGATATTATTATTAAACCTTGTAAAGCCGTAACGGACAAATAATTGTAAAGATATGCCAAAATCGGGAGAAAAAAGTGGAAAAACAAAAAAGATAAGAAACTTATACGTGCCGACGTCAGCATTGTCTTATTAAATTATTATCTGCGTTTCCTTTTTTTTGGGGATGCGATACGGAAAAAAAGAAGAAATAAAACGGAAGTCTCCTTAATGGGCCTTCAGTTCATATCAACCACACGATCCATCATCGCTATTAATCTCGACCGTACGATCACTTTTTACGCGAAGGGCCTTCTCTTAAGCGGCGAAGAAGAAGAAGATTCTCTGCGCTACTTCTTCCTCGATTCCTTCCTCTCTCTCTCTCTCTCTCTCTCTCTTCCTCTCTGATCACTAAACCTTTTCTTGATTTACGTTAAATCTGAACAAGATTGAATCTTGATTTCTGAGGTTTGTGTTTTTCGATTTTGCTTCTACTCCACGTTGTTCCCTTCCTTCTTCTGCCTCCACATAATAATAATAACAATTATTTTGTTTTCTTCTCTTCGACGATTCCAGGCACCAACTCGAGTTTGAGATTTTATGAAACCTTTCTGGATTTATACATTCGCTTTGTAATGGTAATGTTTCTTTTCTCCCTTTCTATTTTGTTTCTTTCGCCGGGACAAATCATGCGTTAATGTTCCTGAGAATGCGTTGGAGGTTTGGGTTTAAGCAGATTTAGATTTTTTTGCTCTGTGCTTCTTCCTTCCTTTCTTCATATCAAAGATTTAGTCTTTACACATTGTGCTCTGGTCAATCATTCTGAAAGATTTGTTTTTTTTTTAGTGCTATATTTGTTTCAATGGAAATAAGTTTCATTGGTTCTCTGTTGTAGATGGATAATGGCTACAAGAACTGAGCTTGGAGATGTTCTGAAACAGAGCCAAAGAAGAACGGCGTCAGATATGGCGGATGCGAGGTTACATAAAGGAGGAGCAGAGATGAAGGAGTGTCCAACAAGTGGCACAGACAGTGAGATTCTTCGTGTCAGAACGAAACGTTCAAGCCATAGTCGTCGAAAGGAATGTGTCGATGAGAGTTTGGAAGACAAGGACGAGCTTGTGAAATATATGTCCAAGTTGCCAGGTTATCTCCAGCGTGTAGATAGAGGTGAAGAGAGCGTACCACAGAGTAATGTTTTGAATGTTGGAGTCTTGGATTGGGATCGTCTTGAGAAATGGAAGCGTGGTCGAGCAAGATCAGGGAAAAGTGAGAGACATGTGTCTAGTTGTGGTTTTGCTACTACTTCTACCTCAGGAGTAGTTGTTCCCAATGAATCTCATCACAAGTGTGAGATTGATGACCAATTCCCCACTTGCTCAAATCTCGGTAAAGTTAAAGCCTTCCGGGATCTTCAACATTCTTTGGAACCTGTGTTGGCTTCTAGGGATTCATTAAATAAGCAGGAAATAGAAACTTGTAGCAGTAAGCCCTCTGGAAGAGATCACAAAGCAGTGGAACCTAGGAAGAGCAGAAGATCGCATTCGAATCAGGAATCCTCTTCAGGTTTATTGTCAGAAATGGGAAACTCTGGTGGATCACTGTCCATGAAGAAAAACTTAGTGGTCCGGGATAGGGATACTCAGAAGAGAGCAGGGGAAAGAGCTACAGAAAGTGCAAGACATTGTGTTGAGAAGAAGTTCAATGAAGCTTCTACAACTGGTGAAAAGCAGGAGTTCAGCAACATTTTTCTCCTTCGTTCAAGAAAACAGTCACAAAGCAGCACTCTTTCATGTGAGCCCCAGTCACTGGATGATAACATGAGGGGAGCAAGGGAAGCTAACCGTTCCTGTCCACTCTCTATCGACCTAGAGAAATATTCTGAAGATAGGATGTTGCCTCTTGGTGCTGAACTTTCGGGTAAAAAGGAACGGTCTAGTGGGAGAAGGCATTCAAAGACGGCTTCGAGGATATTTGATCAAGAAATACGCGAAGATGAATCAAGAAAGGAGAGACACCATTCACCAAGCAAGCGGTTTAGTTTTAGCTTTGGTCGTCTCAGCAGAAGTTTCAGCGTGAAAGAGGATTCAGATGGCCAACCTTCTCAGGATGCCTTCAAGTCTAGCTCTATGAGATTCGATGGTTCAGTTTGTCCATCTCAGTCAAGTAACCCGGAGAGCCACAACACTCATTGCAGATCTCGAGTTAGCCCTCTAAGACGGTTTCTTGACCCTTTATTGAAACCAAAAGGCTCTGAAAATGTTCTTCCATCGAAAGCAAGGTCAAGTTCTTCCAATCCAAACCCAACCAAGAGCGACATACAACTTCAGGATGAAAAGAAGCAAGATACTTCGAGAACCAGAGCTCTTTTTCAGCTAACGATTAGAAACGGCATCCCTCTGTTTCAGTTTGTGGTCGAGGATAACAACAACAGCAGCAGCAGAAGTATTCTTGGGGGTTCAATGAAAAGCTCATCATTCAAAGATGATTCTGTTCAGTACTGCACGTTTTACTCAGTTAATGAAGTCAAAAAGAAAAAAAGCGGAAGCTGGCTTATCCATGGACACAAAGAGAAACACTGCGGGTTTGTCTACAATTTAATTGGTCAAATGCGGTTGAGCAACTCCATGAGCTCAGACTTAACCGAGCAGAAGTTCAGAATCATATCTCCTGTTATTAGGGAATCAGTTCTGTTTGATGAGTCAGAGCAAGTGAAAGGGAGAAAAGAGGTTGCAGCTGTAGTTATAAAAAAGAAGCCGGTCGAAGAAAACTGTACTGGCCTCGAGGAAACGAGTGTGATCATTCCAGGCGGCGTTCACAGTTTCCCGGAGAAAGGAGCACCATCACCGTTAATTAGTCGGTGGAGATCTGGAGGTTTATGCGACTGCGGTGGCTGGGATGTTGGATGTAAACTCCATGTCCTCTCTAACAAATCACACCTCCATGAATTCAATCAAACCTTCGAACTGTTGGACCAGGTACATATTACCATGTAAATCTGTGTATGTTCTTTGTGTTTTTCTATTATGGGGTTGTTTATACCGTGTTCTTGAATGTACTCTTTTACATTGCAGGAAGGAAGTGAACAAGAGTCTGGTCCAGCTTTGGCGATGATTGAGCTAAAGACAGGGATCTACAGGGTGGAGTTTGGTCCGTTGGTTTCACCGTTGCAAGCGTTTTTTGTGTGCGTGACGGTTATAACATGTGCTTCCGAGGCAAAGACCACCGTAAAATCATCTTCTCCTTTGGCTCCACCCTTATCTCCTGTTGGTAGAGTCTAAACTCTGGACACAAGCAGAGTATCTAATGATCAATTAGTCTTTGTTATAATTTTCCCAACTTGTATTGTGTTGTCTCGTAAAGAAGGGAGTCAAAATCACAGAGAGATACAACACTATGACCAAAATCATGGTGAATATATGTTATTTACGTAATGTTCCAATTGTTTTGTAGATCATAACTGAATTTAGCAATATCATGACGAAGAATACAGTAAATATAAGAAACTATAAATTATAGCTGAAAATGGGAGTATTCAAATTTCCTGAAGCAAGCGACTGACCCATCCACAATTAAGCAATATATAGCTTCGAGTCCGAGTCAGACTCTGATATATGGATTAGTAAAGTTTTTTTTTGTCAACAATAACAAAAAGATTGACTTATAACAGCCAATTCGAAGGACAATGATTAGTAAAGTTGTTAGTTTTGTTTGTATGTTATCGCCTCAGTGTCTTGCTCCAGTGATAAATCAATGTTTTGATAAGGTTTAATAAATATAATAAATGGTAAGGAAGCATTAAAACGAACCATAAGCTAAGCTACTTTTAGTAAGACAAATCAACGTTAGTTGTCCGAGAGTCATAGATCGTCGGATCCCGGGTACATTGCGGAAGACTCGACGGTGGAGATGGCAAGCTCGTTTCTGGAGTTGGCCCATTTTGAACAATGAAAGCCATTATAATCCCGTATGGTAAATGTGCATCCATGTGACAATGGAACAGCCATACACCTGCAAAAATACAAATGTCAGTATTTCACACTAATCACACTAGTACGTATATAGAAAATATAAAGTTGGCTAACCAGGATTATTAGCGACAAATCTGAGGACCACCCAGCCACCAGGTGGTACACCGACGGTATTGTGCATTTGTGGGTTAAAGAGATTTAGCTTTCTTGCATCACGGAGAGGATCGTAGTTACCAAATCCATAAGCCAGCACATAGAAGTTGAAGCCGTGAAGGTGCATGGGGTGGCTCTCCGCTGTGAGTATCCCTGTGTTTTGCAAAACGATTTCAACTGTTGAATTAAATTTAATTGTCTTGACGCTAGTCTTTCTCTCCGGAAACATCATCTTGTAGTCAGATTTGGTTCGCTGTTGGAAATTTACGTAATCAAATTTAAGCGGCGGTTGGTCGGGGAAGTCGTTGGCATATACTCCGGTAATATTGTAGAGATAAGCTTCTTGTAGAGAGATACTCTCGGGCATCACAAAAGTATGGTTGTTGAGAGAACCAGCATACCTTTGACCCAACGGTCCAATACACTTGGTGTTCGGAGGACATGGGTCTAAGCCAAGTCCCATAGTTATGAACATTTTCTCGTCCACGTGGCGAGGCACTGGCGTCCAGTGAGGTCCACCCACGAGGCTAGTGATGTTCGAGGAGAACTTATGAGCGGTGGATATGTCATTAGATGGAGGCATCAACGGCTCTGATGGAGATGATGATGATGTAGTGGCACCTTCGTAGATGATTAAGCCTCTCGTGGGGCTGACATCAGGAGTCGGTATCCCTTTGGCACTAATGTAAGGGATGATGGCCATGTAGTACATTCCGATGGGCTGGTCGGCGGTGAGAAGTGCGTCAACGGTTTGTCCAGGCGTTAAGATCATCACATCGGTGAGGTAAGGCGTCGTGTAGATAGCATCTACAGCGACCACTGTTACATTGTGATTTGCTATTTTGAAGAAGAGGTGAGTGTTGAGCGCCGCGTTAATAATCCTTAGCAAGTATGTTTTTCCTTGGACTACATTGAGATTAAACATCCCTACCAATGCCAAAAGAAAATATGACAATAAAATAAAGACAAGTTTTACATAAGAAGATCAAAAGTAATTTAACTTAAGTAAAGAGTGAAGATTACTATTCTTAGAGCAAGGATATGAATCTCCGGCAATGCCATTTATGAGCATAGCATCAGAAACGGGAGCCGGTCGTAAATTGAGAAGTCCAACATCTATGTCCCACCATTGTTCTTGCATATTACAAATGTTTATCAAGAATCTTCATTGTAAAAGAAAATAATAATCCTGCTTCGTTCTTGATTTAGAAATTAGAATGGAGAAAGGCTTACCAAAGATGAGAGGAACTTCCTTGTAGGGTTTGGGAAAAGGGTAAGGACGACCGGATCGGGGACGGATGATGAGAGCCCCGTGAAGAGTGGCACGTAGATTAACGACGTGTGCATGCCATAACAATGTACCTTCTTGTCCAGTCACATCGAATCGATACGTGAAGTCATTATTTGGTTGAATGGGACATTGAGTTATCATATTCGCACCGTCCATCCATGAGCTCTTCAGCTGAAAAACTCCATGCCTACAAATATAAAATCAAGAAATAAACTTCTATTAATGATACCTACAATTGTTTGATGAAATAATGTGACCATATCAATAAATTAGTTAACGATAATTACCAATGGATAGTTATATTGTAAGTTGAGTTATTAATGACATGAACCACAAGAGTGTCGCCTTCTCTAACGTTTATCGTTGGACCCGGAAGACTTCCGTTAACAGACGGTATTATTTGCTCCTTGCATAACGGTTTCACAATAACGTTTTGGACCTGTTATCAGACGCCGTTAAGTATCATTTATTACAGTTGAGTAATGTCATCAATATAGAAGGTGGATTAGTCAAGTACGTAAATGTTTATTAACATAAATACATCGAAAAAGGGAAAAGGAAATCTAAGAAAGATTGGAAAGATGATATTTTTTTTTTTTTTTTTTTGTGCACCAGAAAGATGATATTTCTAAATATGGAAATTAATGGGTAATGAATTATGTTTAGAGAGAGTTCATTAGGTTGGTAGTGCAGAAAACAAATATAATTAATTTAAAAGTGAATCTTTCTGCGTATCATTTAAAAGAGAGACTCATAAAATGAATCTTTATATTTCTTGGTCTCCTTTCTTCATCTTCAATCTCTAATTTATTCCTCTCATTTCTCATACTATTTTTCTTTTAATTTTCTCCAGATTCATCAAAGAGAAGAAGAAGAACTGAATCTATCTTGGATTTTTATCATATATGGATCGGATCCACATACTAAATGTGAGGATCCGTTATAGTTTTTTTTAATAGAAATAGTGACTATATAGCCTATACAATAAAATTTAGTAGTATAGTATATAAAACCCACAATATATAAATAACAAACAATTCAATTTAAGTTATGTAGAAAAAAAAAAAAAAGAAGAAGGAGAAAGTGGTGTAGGAGTAAATACGTACGTGTAAAAGATGTTCGACAACAGATGCGGAAGCAATCGAAGAAAAGAGAAGAAAGACAATGAAGAAGAGGGCTTCGTTTGCGAGATGAAGTCGATACATTCTTGTTGATGTTAATAATGCAAGGAAATGAAATCGTCGTCCTCGTCGTCGTTACCACTTACCCCAGTAGTGATAACAATTTGCCCAACTTGTAACTCTTTTTTTCTTTTCTTTTTAAGTCAACAACGCTACTCTGCGAGAGACCCTCGTAGCTCGTATGCGTATTTATGGAAAGGAACTAAGCCGAGAGATGTGGGACACTATAATAATATTATACCGACAAAAGTGTTTTTTTATAAAGTTCAAGACAATATATTTTAGATTTTGTAATGATATTAAAATGATAAAACCTCCCATGCATTATTTTATAGTATAATGATAACTATAATTATTAATCAGCCAATTGCAATCTCAAGTTGCACACCGCACACGTTGACAATAACAAAACAACAATAAAGACTGCCAAAACTTTAACTCTCTGGATTAATATTTTTACATTTGTTTGGATTAATATTACCTCCTAATTAATTTTGATTTATGTGTTGCTGTTTGATGTAATACCGTAATCGTAAAGAGGTCGATATCTCTAATACGATTTCGACCCTTAGTGGTGGTGTACGTGGCCCAAAAACCGATCTTATATTAATGTTCCCGAAAAGAAAAGTATATAAACTAGGAGGGGAACGTTGAATCTTACAATATCTACGTTTTATGTTTAAAAAAGAAGAAGAAATAAAAATCATCTCGGGTCAAGGGATACACGACACAGTTACGTAAACATGAATCTACTTTACCTACAGCTAATAAGTGACTTTCCCATGTGAGAATGACGAGAGTTCATCTGGCGTGATTGGTTAGTTTAGGAGTTAGGACTTTAAAGATCAACATACTGTATAGTCTTAAATTAATAACTTAATGCCAATTTGCATTCGTTCACTCACTGTCTCCATCTCCAAATTAAAGTCCAACCCATCATCCTTCACTTATAAACAAATTTAAAAGATAACTTTTTTTTTTTTTAATATATTCTTTCTCTTTTTGGGAACTCATATTTTATTTATTATGATTCGCATGTTCTCTATTTAAGTGGTATATCCTGTTCGAAAGTTTTTTTTTTTTTTTTGTCTTGAAGAATCTGTTTAAAATTTTTATTTGTCATTTATGCAAATTTTAATTTGATTTAATAGATATCAGTGTATTTCATTTACGCCAATATAAGTAACGTTTTATTCTCCGGTAAGCATCTACTGTTAGTATTAGAAAGTAACTTTTTTTTTTGTGGTGAAGAGTACTATTTAAACGTAACTAATAGTATCGATTTGGTCAACAAAATATACTATGTAGATTTAAATTATAAATAAGTATATTAACACAGAGACATGTCGCAACATCATGATTCAGTGTCAACAACAGTTGATTATTGGGCTAAATATGACCGTTTATTTCTATGTCGGCTCATTCTCATCAATTTATTAGCCCATTTAGGTCCAACGCGTACTTAAAGCCCATTTATCCGGGTATTCTTTTTTAATTATTAATTTGATTTTAAGAGAAAGAAATAATAATCTATATTCCCAAACGAGCGCCCCATTAACCACCATAAAACCAGATAATATTATTTTGTAACACGAACAACAAACTGATGATTACTACGATTTATTCTCAAAATCATATCACTGTTAACTTAACAATTCAAACTATATGATGATGTCAAAAAAGCCTATAGTATTCGATAATAATATTATAGCTTACGAAAGCATGATCCACAACCAAACTAACCAAAATGTAACTGTTTAATAATTATCGCTATACCATTATAAAACATGCCTAATATGTAGATCTGAACTTTAATTTGTTTCAGACAAGACAAAAACAAAAAAAAAAAACAAAAAAAAATATCAAAAAAAAAAGAAGGAAATTTTCTTGGGCGGAAGTCTTGATCAGCATTATTTGGCGGAGATAATGGATGCATTTTGCTTTTAAGTCTTTGGCGCAGATCATCTTCATCACCGTCAATTACGTCGACGGTCATAAATAATCTCGAAAATATATATTATTTAACGTAACTTTCCAATTTCTTTGTAGATCGTAACTAAATTTATTAATATCATGGATAGTTTAAAATACAATACAAATAAGAAACTATAAATTATCGCTGATAAATGGTAATAACTTGACACGTCATGAGAAAGAGTCGGCTGAGTGGTGTATTCAAGTTTCCTGGGACCTGAAGTGTAAGAGACTGATCAATCCACAAGTAAGCAAGAGCTTCGAGTCCTTTGTCCGACTCTGACATATCGATTAGTGTAGTTGTTTTGTTTGTATGTTCTTGCATAAAACGAACAATAAGCTACTTTTAGTAAGACAAATCAACGTCAGTTGTCCGAGAGTCATAGATCGTCGGATCCCTAGTGCATTGCGGAAGATTCGACGGTGGAGATGGCAAGCTCGTCTCTGGTGTTGGCCCATTTTGAACAATGAAAGCCATTATAATCCCGTATGGCAAATGTGCGTCCATGTGACAATGGAACATCCATACACCTGCAAAAAGAAAAAAGAAAAAAAAAAAAATACAATTTCAATATTTCTATAATAATCCATAGATAGTTGGTGTGCATGTAAATTAGAGATTGAAAATTCCGCTAACCAGGATTATCAGCGATAAATCTGATGACTACCCATCCAGCAGGTGGTACACCGACAGTATTGTGCATTTGCGGGTTAAATAGGTTTAGCTTTCTTGCATCACGGACATGATCGTAGTTACCAAACCCATAACCCAACACATAGAAATTGAAGCCGTGAAGGTGCATGGGGTGGCTCTCCGTGGTGATTATCCCTGTGTTTTGCAAAACGATCTCGACTGTGGAATTAAATCTAATTACCTTGACACTAGTCTTTCTCTCCGGAAACATCATTTTGTAGTCATAACTTGTTAGCTGTTGGAAATTTACGTAATCAAATTTGATCGGCGGTTGGTCTGGAAAGTCGTTGGTGTATACTCCAGTAATATTGTAAAAATAAGCTTCTTGTAATGAGATACTCGCGGGCAACACAAAAGTATGGTTGTTGAGAGATCCTGCATACCTTTGACCTAACTCTCCAATACACTTGGTGTTCAGAGGACATGGATCTAAGCCAAGTCCCATCGTTATGAACATTTTCTCGTCCACGTGGCGAGGCACTGGCGTCCAGTGAGGTCCACTCACAAGGCTAGTGATGTTCGAGGAGAATCTGTGAGCGGTGGATATGTCATCCGACGCAGGCATCAATGGCTTTGTTGGAGTCGATGACGTAGCACCTTCATAGACGATTAAGCCTCTCGTGGGCTTGATTTCAGGGGTTGGTTGCCCGTTGGCACTAATGTAAGGGATGATGGCCATGTAATACATTCCGATGGGCTGGTCAGCGGTGAGAAGTGCGTCAACGGTTTGTCCAGGCGTTAAGATCATCACATCTGTGAAGTAAGGCGTTGTGTAGACAGCATCTACAGCGACCACTGTGACATTGTGATTTGCTATTTTGAAGAAGAGGTGAGTGTTGAGCGCCGCGTTAATAATCCTTAGCAAGTATGTTTTTCTTTGGACTACATTGAGATTAAACATCCCTACCAATGCCAAGAGATATATGACAATAAAATAAGGAGAAGTTTTAAAAGAGGAGATCAAAAGTAATTAACTAAAGTAATTAAAGAGTGAAGTTTACTATTCTTAGAGCAAGGGTATGAATCTCCGGCAATTCCATTTATGAGCATAGCATCAGAAACCGGAGCCGGCCGTAAATTGAGAAGTCCAACATCTATGTCCCACCATTGCTCTTGCATAATATTATTTTTTTCAAACATATTAGGAAAAATCATGCTTTGTTCTTGATTTAGAATTTAGAATGGAGAAAGACTTACCAAAAATGAGAGGAACTTCCTTGTAGGGTTTGGGAAAAGGGTAAGGAAGATTGGATCGGGGACGGATGATGAGAGCCCCGTGAAGAGTGGCACGTAGATTAACGACGTGTGCATGCCATAACAATGTACCTTCTTGCCCAGTCACATCGAATCGATACGTGAAGTCGTTATTTGGTTGAATGGGACATTGAGTTATCATATTCGCACCGTCCATCCATGAGCTCTTCAGCTGAAAAACTCCATGCCTACAAATATAAAATCAAGAAATAAACTTCTATTAATGATACCTACAATTGTTTGATGAAATAATGTGACCACATCAATAAACTATAATTACCAGTGGATGGTTATATTGTAAGTTGAGTTGTTAATGACATGAACCACAAGAGTGTCGCCTTCTCTAACGTTTATTGTTGGACCCGGAAGACTTCCGTTAACAGACGGTATCAGTTGCTCCTTGCATAATGGTTTCACTACGACATTTTTTACCTGTTAATGTTAGACACCGTCAACATTTGACAAAATTTCAAAATTAAAAGAATTTGCGTACTATGTTTGTGTCAATTATATGAATTTCTTGTATTTTTTCCAATAGGTCAATTTACTTATCAACATATAGATTTTTAAAAAAACGAAAAACAATATATATATATACATAAAAGAGTACTCGAATGCAAACCAACAAAGAATATTCCATTTTTAATTCGTAAAATACCAAAAAAAAAATGAAGATGCCATAATGTTTACCAAAAAAAAAAAAATGGTACTTTTTCTTTGATAAAGAAAAAATAATAAAAAGTTATAAGTTTATATAACAAACACGAGAGATCGATAGTTTATATTATTGCCACGAAAATGTAAAAACAATACAAAAACTAAAACAGTAGTAACAAAAATTCGAAGTATAAGTATATATATGTTTGTTCACCACCACTCAAAGCATAATTATAATATGATGTTTAAAACTGTGAAGGATATAAGTAGAGTAGTTTCATCAATTAAAAAAGTTGGTTAGTCAAATTCGTATATCGATTTGTTACTGCTAAAAAAAGGAAATTAACGGGTAAAAAGATACTATGTTTTTAAAGTGAAGCTTTATAATTTAAAAAGAGAGACACTCATGAACTGAATCTATTCTTTCCTCTCCTTTCTTCATCTTCAACCAGTTTT